TGGAGGATTACTGGCTGCTCTGCTCTAGATCTGCACCAATCTGAAGGGAAATCCCAGCCAGAGGTTAAACAGCATCAGTGGTCAGCCAGGATTATGTAGCAGTGTGAGAGGTTTACAAATCCCATATCCTCCTCTTTGATCAATGCACAGACAGGTTTCAGCTGTCTTGATCATGTCAATCATCATATCTAATATTCAGTATCTGACTCATTTGATCAGTGTGACGGCTCTTGTGAGATTGGATGTGAAACTAGAAGGTTAATTTTTGTTGGAACAGAGTGCGTAACACCCTGCTGCTGTTCAATTCTTGCGCAAGGGTGTTACGAGCATGAAGCGAGGAAAGGTGAAAGCCAACAATGGGAATCTGATGCAACACACTTTCACAATGAGTTCAGATTTTACATTTGTAAGGTTTATAACCACCCTGTTCATTTCCCCCCCTCCACATCTTTCACATCTCTTTTGTCTCTCCCTCCTTTTCTCCCTGTTTTCCCCCCAACACCTCTAGTCACTTCATCCTCTCTCTCTCTCTCTTCGCTCTGTCTCAACTTTCTCCCCCTCCCTACCTTTCTGAGATATTCTCACCACCTTCCCTTTTCTCCTATAGCTGTCCTTTCTCTCACAGTTAAGATGCGATCATCTGTGCTGAAAAAGTTCGACAAGCTGGCAAGATAACATGCAGCTTGTTTCTCCTCTCCCTCTCACCCTCTCTCTCTGTCCTTTATTAGTCCCCCGCTTTCCTCCTCTCTTTGCTCCTTCTTTCTCTCTCCCTTGGTCTTTAAGGCCAAAATCAGTAGTAATCAATATCATCATCACGATAATTGTCGGCATTTACCCCCACAATGTAAATTGCAAATTGAAAAAGTGTGTGTGTGTGTGCAAGTTCAATTTAAGTGTGCATAAAAGCAATATTTTAAGCCGTGGATGTGTCTGTACACAACCACAAAATGTCCACGCTCCTAGTTTATCTCATTGTTTGAACAGCGCTGCTTTAATTAGGGCAGGCCTGTCTATCCATACGTGTGTGTGTTTGTGTGTGTGTTTGCGCGTGCATGAACCTTAAAGTGAGTAAAAGTATCAAACTATGTCAGCATGTTACCATAGTGCCCCCATGTGGAGGACAGTAGAAGGACACATTTCCTATAGTCTTGTTTTTAACACACTCACACACTCCAATGACACGGTGTTATATTTGGAAACACAATTTCATGCTATCAGTACTGGCTAGCTATTCCATTTAGATAGCAGCCATCTATATATGTGTGTGTGTATATGTACGCCTGTGTGCGCGTGTGTGTGAGGTTGTGTGTCTGTATGTTTGCATCTGTTTGTGCATCTGTGAATGCACAGGCTGCCTGTGTGCCTCACAGAGATGAGCCCTACCCCAAGTTTATTGAAATTAAAAGTTGGTTGTCATGGTAACATCAGAGATTCTCGGTAATTATGTTGATTAAAAATGTGAAAATTAATTAAAAAGTCAGGAAAATGATCTCACAGCAGATGATCAGCGAAACATCAAAATGATTCAGATCTCTCTCTCCCTCGTACAAACACGGCTCACCCGCTTCCTCTCTTTCTCTGTCACACTTCAGAAGTCCTTTATTGCCACGCAACGCTGAATTATCTGCATTCATCTCACACGCTCACTTTGTCTCAGTCCGTTTCTTCCTTCCTTTCACACTTATACACGCGATTGATGACATGATGAAACTTGTCTTTGTGTCTAATAAACAGAACCACAGCAAAATAACTTACACACTCCCTCCCTCCTACTGTATCTCCCTCCATTTCATTCAATCACTCAGCTCATTCTCTACTTGTTAACAGGCATGACAAGAGTTGTCTCCCCCTGCCAGAGCAGACACATCAGCGGCAAAAAGTAACACCAAACAATAGCAACCTCACAGTCTCACTTCCTTCTCCCTTTCAGGCTCTCCATTATCCCAGTTTTCTCATTCTCACAATCCATCTCTCGATTCTCGCTCCCTTCTTCTGACAGAATGAATAAACAGGCTCAGCAAAGTGTAATCTCTTTCTTTTATTAGCTACAGCAAACACAGAAACAACAAATTTACCCTCCCTCGCTCTCTCTCACCATCTGATCCTCTCCTCTCATCAGCTTTAATGAAGCACAAATCTCATCAGCCATCTTTTCATCAGCTCCTTCTCCTTCCTGCACTTTAAACCTGACCCACTGCTCAGACGCATATGTGTGTGTGTGTCTGTCTGCTGTTGGCTGATGACCAGGAGGACTGTACATAATTGATATTTAGCTGGGAGCTAGAGTGCATGTAGATTTTACCCAAATATTTCACTGCCTAAAGTTGGAGTCAATATTCAGCAAAACTCACTTCTGTCAGCGGCTGTCAGAGGCGGCAGTGTTGGTGTGACTCAGAAGCTCCACTTCAAGCTGATCTTCTGAAATATCCCTCCATGCTGTAGTTAATTAGGACTTTGTAACTACAGTCATAGATTTAGGCATGAGCCCAATGCCTTGAAGCGAGAGTACAAACCTCCTCTGTTTCTGCATCAACCACTGGCTGTACGACGGTGGACGACACATTTCAACGTCTTCCCATTTTATTAAAGTGAAGCCAAAATACCCTTACCAGCAGGCACACACCATAGACTGTATATAGAATGGATGCTGTCTGCCTCCTCGCTGGGTGAAGCCACTCTGAGAACAGCACCCTCTGGTGACAGGCTGCAGTATAGGTCATAAATCCCGCTTTCCCCAGCAATCCATACGGAGCTGTGGACAAACTTTAGAAATTTATGACACAGAATATATATTTTTCTCCCCCCTGCTTGCAATGTTGACATGCAGTTACTCTAAGACTGGTTTCTGCTCAAGTCCTCTTTTTCCTGTACAGCTCCATTTTTAAAAGTTATTAGGGGGTTCATGTTTTCTATGATTGACACTTGATACACTGTATGAAGATTGCGTAGCTCACCCGGGGGATACACTGTTTGAGCCAAGCATCATCACAGCAACTCTCGGCAACTCTTCCACTGAATGCGTACAACACTACTGCGCAATGTCAGTTTCAGGAAATGGAGAAAAATCACGGAATTACCAAGAGCTTTGTGGCTTCAAATCCATATACTGGCAGAAGGCGGAGCAAAGTTGTCCATAGTATATACAGTCTATGGCATACATATATTACGCATTTGCCATAGTCTGTGCAGTTGACTTTAGCTGACATGGCACTTTTCAGCCGACTGCACACTTTAAGGCTGCTGTTAGAAAGTTTCTTTAAACAATCAAATACATCACACTCACAGAGGGGCATTGGCTACAGAAAAGGCATTTCCTTCAGTATTCTGCTAAATGTCTTGTCTGACACCAGCCCCTTGATAGTGGCATGTGAACTGTTGAGTACGTACAGATTGCTGAGTCCAGTTTGGATCTGATTAAGGCATATACAGGAAAGAGAGAACTGCATTATCTAGGTATGTTCGTCAAGAATTTTAGTGAGATTTCACACAATCATGTTACCATGTGTTTTAAAGTTAAAGTTTGTGCCTTTTCTTGGTAAATCTGGTGCACGAAGCGCAGCAGAAGCTTCATTGACAGGGTTCCTACGGAAGTATGGAAAAGTATGGAAAGAAATTTGATCAATTTCCAGGTCTTAAAAAGTATGGAAAATGAAAAATAAAGCATGGAAAAAATTGTACGTTTCCAGACTATTACCACAGTTCTTAAGTACTGTTTTCTAAAATAAAAAAGTAGGTATTTCCAAGGAATAATTCTAAAAAGTAGGGTATGGAAAAGTATGGAAATCCAACTGTGTAGTAACCTGCATTTATCTACAATATCATCCATCATGGTGACCCTTTAAGCATCAACTTCTGAAGAGAAACTGTTTTGGGAAATGATATAAATACACGGCGAGAACAAACAACAGTGTTTTAGAAATATTTCTCTGTAGTGTATTTTTAAATTTATCTGACTAATCTGTTGACATGTATCTTGCAGATGCTGCGGCCTGTCAACAGGGAGATCTGTAAGCGTTGTGGCTTCAGTTCTAGGGAGGTGTCATGCTGTCCATCATCGCATGTAGTTTACACTGTTAACAATGTTAGCATATCCTCCAAAGGTACAGCTTAGACACCTCCATCATGTGTGAGTTTTTGAACCCTGTGCTGTTTTATGGATATAGATTTTGAAGAAACCACAACGGCTGTAAAAGTTTTCTGCAACATGTAAATAAAATCCTTCATGTATAAAACACCTCTCACAACCTTTGGACAGAGCCAAACCATTGATCATATGCTGAGCCGGCCCTCCCTATGGGCAGAGCGGGCTCACCTCCCTCCAGAGTCACGACTTGGCTTGGCCCAGTCTTCAAAGCTTGTGTTGGTGAGAGCTAAATGAGAAACTCTGCCAAGGGCTCCTTTAAGCACAATGTTTAGCACACCAACAAAGATACAGACACTAATAAAAAACAAGCCTTTTTTAGACATGATACCTACAGTTAATTATCTCTTATCTGATCAGTTTTTGTGTTTGGTTCATGTTGTTCAATGTAAATAAGCATGGCGTTATTTTTCAACGAGCCAGTCTCTGTTTTATCTCTTTATTTTAGCAGACACACATTATCATTTCTTTGAATGTGTACACAGCATTGTCCATGAAAACTACACATTCAAACGTTCTGCTTCACTTACCATCCAGCATCAATGTCAAACCTTTTTTTTTTCTTTTTCCAGGAGACGTTTCAGCTTTATTCAAGTTTTACTTTAATTCATTTTATCCAATTAAACTTGTGTCTAATTCAACCATATTCTGATATGGTATACCTCTTTTTTTCATACAATTAAGTCATGGTTGCACCCTTCTTCTTAAACAGCTATCATTTTAACTATCACTGATTTCATTAGTCTCCTATCAAGCGCCATGTTCATGGGCTCATTATATTTAATACTGCTAATTTGATTCAGAAGCAGAATCCAAATAACAGATTTTGTGAACTAAATGAGTTTGGACAAGTTTCTTCCTGATATGTATTATTAATGTTTTCTACTTCCTCCTGGAAGGAGTGGGACTCTTCACTCCTCTGCCTGCCTTGGGGGTCGGGGTAGGAGAGGAGGGGGTGGGGCTGGTAGGAGGCGGGGATTTTGGCTGAGGCATCTCAATGGGGAGTTTGGGTGGGATGATCGTTTTCGGAGTCAGAGTTGGTTTAGCCTCAGGGATTTTCTCTCCATGGCGGTACACGCTGACCTGAAGAGAGGATGGAAAAAGTACATAGAGTCAATAATATACACATATTTTAATATTTTTCAAATGTTAAATCTGTTGTCAATAAAAAGAAGAGGGAGTTCAAGGGAAAGGGTATTTCATGCAAAAATAAATAAAAAATCTAAATTCATCTTTTGAAGTCCAAAAGGGTGAAATAGGTCAGGATCTATGATTTAACTACAAAATGATGGTTGGACAAACATCACAAGGTCAAATATGAGCTCTGCGGCAGCTCTGAGTAACACTGAAGTGTCATCACAAACACATCTCACTGTCAGGCCCCCACGAAAGACAAGATTTGTGCCGCAGATGGTCGGAAACATTTCATGGCTTTGAGTAAATCCAGTAATTTGTGGCACACAGCAGGGACACTCACCACTATATCCACAGACTCTCCTCCGTATTTGTTCTGGACAATCATGGTATATCTGCCAGAATCCTCCATGGAAACACCTTTGATCGTCAGGCTGGCAAACTTGCCCTGGTCCAGGGAGACCGAGTACTGAAATATGAAATCAAAAGGTACAAAAAGTGAGGAAGGCAGCATGGGGAGTTTTAGCACGATATAATATTAAAACTCCTGTCACTCGAAGAGCTATTAAAGCAGAGTTATCTTTAACCCAGAGCAGCAGCTATTGCAGAGACAGAGGACTGCTACGAACACTCGGACAAATCATCTGACCGCCCTCACAACTCCACTCTGTTAGCTCAACCAAATCATGACCACATGACGATAAAAACGTATTTCACCAGTTGTTCTGTAGACCACAAAATGTGATGCTTCGCCTGAAGCAGTTTAAGCACTCTTTTGTCTTCCCTCTTCAAACACCTGAGACATGATAAATATCCTGACTTGTACAATGAGTGGTGCCAGCGAGATCACAGTAATTCCCTTTTAAAACCTGCACACTTATGGCAAGGTCTGGACTTCAGTGAAGTTTATGGAGAGGCACTCGTAGCAGGGTGATTACGTTCCTATTAAGAAAAACACTTGTCTTTAATTAAAAGAAATTAAAGGCTGAAATAAAAGTCAAACTGAGAAAAAAAAGGTAATTTGTGCGTCTGATGAACTGTTTTTATAATTAACATGTTTCAAGGTTTTTGATTTTTTGACTTAAGGAAGAGAGAACATTGTGGTGCCTTTATACCGGAAAAAAAACCTGCAGATTGGACAGCGTGCTTTGGATATTCTCCTGGTACCAGTGCGGATATCAACAGAACTGGTCAGCCAATGGCTAGTATATAAGTCAATTAAAGTCAAAGTTTATATATAAAGCACTTTAAAAAGACAGCAGTCAAACAAAGTGCTGTACATGAGATAAAGAAAAGAAGTAAATAAATAGATAATAAAACAAAAAACAGTGGAGTAAAATACAAACAGTAAAAGAATAAAAGCTACAGTGCCTATGATTTGTTTGCGCTCATTCATTAAATGCAAGGGTAGAAAAGAAGCATATAAGGCTGATATAACCTTGTTAATATATTTGCATTTTAAAGGAATCTTAAGAAATAATAAATATAACATCCATTATACCATGCAGATTACAATCTAACACAGTTGGTTATCAAAGCTAGAGACGTGTTTCAGATGGATTTTGAATTCATTCCATTATTTTTTATTTGCTGTCATTAAAGGTTTTATCTTGTAAAGGCGTTGATCTTGGTCGACAGCAGCTGTGTTTACTAGCCTTCCAGTAGTGTCTGCAGAAATGAGTGGTTTTATCGTATTAATCAGATTAATGAGTGAAGATATGAGCTAATACTGATTATTTCAAAATACCATGAATTGGTCCGATTAATCAATATCTACTTTTAGGGATGTAACTTTATCTTTATATGTGTTCGGTTGACATGCAAGATCATTTATTAAAGTCATTTTTTACTTAGATTTTAACTTTTTTTTATTATTATAATTTTATTAAGATTAGATAAATCAGTTTACCATGTGAAGCACAGCAGATTTAATCTTACTAGGCAGTTACTTTTGCAAGCAGGAAGTAGGATTTATTTTTTTGTTATTGTGCATTAACAACTTTCACCACAAACTGTTGCATAAATATTCACTCGAATCCAGGTAGTTTAGTGTTAAAAGCTCAAAATTTCCTTGGAAAGAAACCCCAGACTCCTCCTTTATTATTTGAGCTCTATGATGTTTAAATAAAACTGACCCTGGCTATCAGAGGTTCGAAAAACGATTCAAATTCTGTAACCATTATGCAACCTACCTTATGATCACTATAAACTGAGGAGGGACACATCAGTGGAGAGCTTAAATGCTGCTATGGTCAGATCTGCGTTAATCATAGATTTTTGTGCAGGGGGTGCCCTTCAGGGCTTTCATCCCTGTCCCTGAAAATACCAGTGTGCCGCTGGACTCATTCATTTATTTGTAGGAACACTAAGATTTTATAACACAAATGAAAAGTAGATGATTGAGGGAGAAGGTATCATCCTGCCAGACCATGGTCAAGATATTTTCAGCATAAAAGTCTGCAAAGTATTGAAAAAATGTATACTATTACTAAAACAAGGTATAATGTGACAACAATACCCATGTTCTCAGTTTCAGTGTACTGCTCTCCTCTCTGTCTGCTGTTTGTTTTGGCTCTTATCTTAGGTAGCCTCTGAGCTAACTTTGCAGGGGAGACACACTTCTGAGGTTTGGAAAACACTTCATCAAGGACGTCTGTTCTTGTTTTCGACAGATTATTAGCGGGTGAGGGGCTGAATAAAGGAAAGGGCAAACTTCAACACATATTCCACCTGGACCTGGGTTTCTCAAGCTTCAGTCTTCAAAGCTGCAAGGTGCCGCAGGATGCTACTGAAAGAGCTGTCACTAAGTGAAGAAAGCCTACTATAGACTTATATTGGTTTGCAAGTAGGTCAAGAATTATGAGCGGGAGATTTGTTCAATTAGAGACCCAGGAGTGTGCTGATAATACTGACCTCACCCACAGGATGCTGATCCCCCCAGTGAGGGATTGTAACTGGTGATAAAGAGTCAATAATAGCGCAGAGAGGTCTTTTGTTTCCTTTAATCCTGATCATCTCTGCGGCACATATAGAGGCTGCATGGAGACCTCCAGCAGTGCAATCAGACTGCTTCTAACGAGGAACTGGAGGAACTCAACTGTATCATTTGAGATCCACTTAATTAACTTTGACTCATAATTTAAATTTAATTGAAAACATACGCTATCTTTGTGTATCACTACCTTGATAATCCTCCATTATTATTTCCTGCTTTTCACAGTCGAATATTACTTCCCACTGCTTAATATAAGTATGTGCATAATTTAAGAGGTAAAATCTCTTTTTTCTCCCAAGACTCCTACCCTAATATTAAAACTGTTAGTGTACTCATAGCTGTGCATGGTATTTTGACAGAGTGTGCTATGTGCTGCTTTTTGGGATACTAGCCATATTGCTACAAAAAGTTTGTAAAATATCTAAACTACAGGGGATAACACAACAGAGAGAGAGGGAAGGCCTGCGGTATCACAAGACAAGTTAATAAAAACACAATGTAGCAATTGTTTCTGAAAAATAAGGTAATTAATCATGAGAAAGGGAGGAGAGGCTGGATTTGGGGAGGGAGGAGTGAAGGCTTTTACAGTCAGCAGCACTGTGTTACAGCGAGAAACAAGAGGATTAATGATGTCAGGCTGCCCTGTATGTGTGTCTGTCTGTGTGTCCGCCTGCCTTTACCTGATCGTCAGGTTCCACGTCTGTTCCATTCTTTAGCCAGGAGACGTGGGGCTTTGGGTCTCCACATACTGTACATGTGAGACTGAGGGTCTACAGGAGGAACAGAGGAGAACTTCTAAGACAAACATGTACACATTCATAAAGATAAAAACAATCACTCGGTTACACACAAACACTGACAACTGACCTTCTTCTCCATAATAGTGACCACATCAGGAAGTCCTCCCACCACCTTACCACGGTCTGAAACACACCATTGATAGCATAACTCAATTTTGTTTCCTGTAGAAAACATCCCAGGTAAAGTATCTGAGCTGTGTTTTGTGTTAGTTACTTTGGTTGAACTCTTTAAATGACAAAACATTGACATCCTCTTTGTGTACACGTCCTACTTCATTTTTAAATTCATAAATGTTCCACTGCATCAATGCAAATGAACAAGCACTGCAAATAATGCACACAGGTGAGGCCAAACAGAGCAGCAAGATATCCAGTGAATCTTGTGTATACTTAGTACTTTGTATACTACTTTGCATTATAGGCCAGGATGTAGTTACCAAAGGACCATTTTTTGGTACTAAAAGGCTTAGTGGTTTAGTTTAATGCTAATGCAGTATATTTTATGATGATAATAGTGATTTTTTTTCCCAAGCATATGAAGAACCCCCTTGCTTTTCATTATAAATTAGAATTCCTCTTCTCTTGAAACCACAGTCTGAAGAGTTTCTTACACTGTTTCACAACAAAAGTCGGCTTTATAAAGCTGTTTATCTCAGTACCAATGAAGCCACAGTGAAAACAATCAAAACAGGAGTTTTCTGAAGACTGGGGGGTGAAGGACACATCTCCACTCTAAAGAAAACGTGCTAACATGTTCGATCAGATTTCTTTTATGAAATCTTTTATGAAATCTTTTTTGTTTTGGTGGTGACAACTCATCCAATGACACACTCACTGGCCTCATTTTCAGAAAGAAATGAAAGGTTTGTGCAAATTCTTTGATAGGTGCTCGAAATCTTTGACTGTATTTGTAAAGTTCCTGAAACTTAAAAAATGTGACAGAGAAAAACAGTAGACAAAGAAATGAAAGGATGAACTCACTTTTCTCAGCATAGGCCGCAGCTCTGAAACACACAGAAAGAAAAGTTAGCTTGCCTCCTCTCACTTTTTCATTACGCAGAAGTACACCAATCATAATCTGCACTGAGTGTAATGCTGGTCACCCAGATATTTCAAACGGCATTAATTCATTTTCAGATTAAAAACAGCAGATAATAATCCGAGTGTTTTCAGATAAAGGCCTGTGTTGTAATGCCAGGTTTGTTTCTGGTCTGTGTCCACTACCTGGCTCTGCTCACTGCCCACACACATAATATTTGCTCCATTTTTGGGTCCATGGCAGTGGTCAGATGGTTTGCCACAAGGCATTCTGGGTTTGGAGCCAAAGCACATTACACAGTAGTTCAGTCAGGGACTTAACAGAATCTTTTCTATGGAAAAACTGATTTTGCTTTGTAATAACTGAGTGAGGTCTGTTGGAGCAGCATGAGAGGAGCAGAGGTCAGCCGCAGGACCAGATGGCTGGTGGAACTCTGCTCTCCTCCCGGTGTGTTGATGCTCAATCAAAAAGGGCAACAGGGTGTCACTTGTTCCAGTGTGTCTGCAAAATCTTGTGCTTAAATGTCTCTCTTTGAATGTTAATTACAAGACGGATATGGACAATTTCCACTCTGCATGCAAGTGTTTAGTGCTCTGACTTTTAATAGATTTTTCTAAATGGATTTGTAAAATTCAGTATGAGGAGTTTTTGCTTTTGCCTAATTAGCTACAGAATCAAAAAGAATCTCTTTCACCTACCAGATTCAGTTTTTCACATTGATTTCATTCTCAAATTAAAACATATTGGACTTCTTCCAGATAGCGGGGCTTGTGAGATTTTGTGCTCATTTTTTAAATGCAGAAATGTGGAACTGAGGACTACCTTTATCTCAGCTGTACAAACTAATTATTTGATAAAATATTGCTTACTTCAATTGTTTGCAAGTATAAAAAAGACAAATGTGACGGACAAAAAATGAATTTAAGGTGAGCGACTCAACAGAAAATTTTCAGTAGAAGTAGGAATAGTTCTTATCTAGACTCAAATCTGACTGTTTGTGCTCACAAACAAGAAGATCAGGACATTTTAGCGTTAGCTTGATTATTTCAAGCTCCAAATTATTAGAAACGTGTGTTAGGTAAGCTTACAACATGCAGTATATGAGATCATTTGTGAGTGTAATTCAAGTTGTCTGTCTGAACTGAAGGCTTCACTCCATTTATACCTCTGTAACACGCCTGTGGTATCAAAAGACTGAATTTTGAGATTTGAATATTAACCAGTGCCATTTCTTTGAAATGTTATTTTTTGATATTCAAATCTGATCATTACTCCACAAGGATGAAGAACAACGTTTTCAGTGAATTAACAGAAAGTCTCCCGGGAAATCATTCAAATAACTTTGAGCCCCAAAATTTTAACCTTCAGTGATAAAGCAGTGTAAATGTAGTAAAAGCTGTCTGAATATGCACCAAATGACACAAACAAAAAGATTTTAGAGAGCAGTCTTACTTGAGTTTCTGGAACTCTGCGAAGGCCTTCTCATATACTGTAAGAAGAAAAAAAATAAACATGTTATTCTTAATGTTTACAACAAAAAAGCATCCTTAAATTTCAGACTTCAGTGCAAGAATATTAAAATACAACTTGAGTAACATGTTTAATTTTGCTTTTTCAGAAACAGGGGTGGACTGATAATTAGTGGCTGATTTGGCTCTCTTGCCCTTGTATTCTGCAGATGGCCAATAAAGATAATTAATTAAAAAGTCTGGTACTTTGGCTCTGTTGCCATTGTGTCTTTCTCCCTAGGTCTGTGTTTTTGCACCACCTTGTCCCATCTAATGTCCCGCACACAACGCTGTCTGGTTGGTAACTAGAACAAAGTGTAACTAGTTAACTTGAAACTCCTTTATATGAACGTTCCAGGTTTGACTTATCACTTGCTTAAGATGTTTAAACAAAGTTTTGTGATGGAGTTTGTAGTAATCCAAAGTCCAAATTTTGACAAAGTTTCTTATTTAACTACAACCAATTGGTATCAAGATTGGCCCTGAAAAAACAGTGCCAATTGATTTAATTAATTCTGGTTGAGCTAACAGTGGATAAGACTGAAAAAGATTCGTCAAAGCTTTAGCACTAGGGCACTGGTTTGGTTTGGCTCGGTTGGTGGAGCAGGCACCTCTTATACAGAGTCTACATTATAATGGGTAGGATGGAATCCTGATCACATTCTCAACCCAAATTTCCTTTGCTGCTTTTCCAAGCTGCTCTATTAAATAAAGGCCAAAAGCTTAAAAATTTAATCATGAGGAGGGATATAATTCATCATTGACCTGGAATTAACCTTATTATTTATTAATTATCTACCCTCGATGTAAAATGATATAACCATTTAAACCTGCCGCATAAAAGTAGTTGATTTTTTTTCTGCAAACTTTTCAAAGTCAGACCATGAGACCACCAACAATAATGTATGATAGACTAAAATTAAAGCACCAGGAGAGCAGGTTTAGTTGTGTAGTGAAAGCAACCCTTATACAGAGGCTCTAGTCTTTGTCCCTTTTAGCTCCTCACTCATTCCCCACTCTCCACGCCCGACATCGTCTGTCCCTTTCAGCTGTCTTATCCAGTAAAAGCTAAATACTCCAAAATAACCTAAAAAAGCTGAAGGATCACAATGAAACTAAAATACACATTGATCAATTGGAAAGTCACAGTGTTGTCTCCATCAATTTTGTTTTACATCTTCTCTTTAAAATGAGAGGGAGAAAGTAGACACTGACCATCACCAACGAGATCCAGTGAGCGTTTGTGTGAGTTTTCGGGGTCGGTGATCACGATGGAGTATAAGCCTTTGTCCTTCTCTGTTGGCTCGATCAACTGCGAATCAATAAAACACTTTTACACAAGACAGTAAAAAAAGAGCTGAAACCAATTAACCTCTTACAGCTTTGTTGTTTGTTTTTTTATTTACGTCTTTAATTTACAGATTATAAAAGATGATATCATCTAATAGCCAATTAGAGCATAAAACACTCTGTGATAAAGAATAAAACTGAATCAAGTGGATCATTAATAAAGCCGTTAAAGCATAATTTGCTTTCATTTATTAGCTACCTCTTTGAAGAGAGAGGTTATTTACTCTTTTTTCATTAAAGTCGCCCCTGCCTCACCCCTGTAAGGGCACTCTGAGGCCTTAATAGCTGTTCTTGTGAGAAACAGCGCTCTTCTTATTGTATTGTCAGACATTTACACGTGATCCTCCACCTTTCAGGTAAACACTGTTTGGGGTTAATCAGGATAGAGAAATACCTCCATGGTTGCCATTGAAGGAGTTCCTCCAATCACATGCTTGTCACCGGGGGTGAGTTTAGTCTCACTGAGGAGAAGAGAGCAGACCTGAGGTTAGGGAGTGTGTGTGTGTGTGTGTTTACATGTAGGTTTGAAGCTTCTGAGCTAATGGAAATTCATGTTTACACGCCTGCTTAATGTTACACAAAGGGATACCAATTTCTCTCCTGCTGCTACCTGTCCCTTTCTCTCTCTCTCACACACACACACGCACGCACGCACGCACGCACGCACGCACGCACGCACGCACGCACGCACGCACGCACGCACACACACACACGCACACACACACGCACACACACACGCACAGGACGGGGAGAGGTTAAAAATCTAATCTCCATAATTTTTGTTCTTTGAATAATTGAATAACACAAAACTCTCCACTCACCCCTGTCATCGCTTTCTCTTTGTCCGTTTTTTCTTTTTGTCTGTCTTTCTCTCACACTCTCTCCCCCCGCCCTTCACATTTTATAATCTCTGGGGTACGACAGAGTGCTTTTAAGTGCAGAAAAACCTTGCTTCTTTATGGAAAATGATAGGGGTGTGATTTTGTCACAAAGCAGAACAATTTTACTGCAATAACCAGGATAATGAAAACACTTGCCAAGAGACATCACAAGTTTTATTAGGCTGCTTATTGTTTTTGCCACTCCCGGCAATTTAACTCAAGAAAAAAAGAAAAAATAATGTGTTTGTGGTCAGCATTGTCATAGCGAGACTCGAATGAGTACTCTTATTCCTCCTTGAAACACTGCTATGCCTACAAGTACTCTGATACCCTTATTTTCTACCTCTTATCCCAAGTACTTCTTTTGCCATGGTGGGAGAAGTGTTATTTGAGAAATATTTATATATAAATGTAATTTCTTACCCACGATACCAGACGATGTTCATCTCTGAGGTGTAATACTTCATGTGACACTGCAGCTGAATGCCTGTTGCTGTGCAGTTAATCACCAGCTCTGCTGCACTGGCTCCTGGAGGAGGTGATGGAGGTGATAGAGGTTGAGGAGGGAACATTTGAAATCAGAATCAGATACATATTTCCATCTGACCCTGGATAACCTGGCCTCTCTCTGCTGTATGAGCCATAGAATACTTCATATCAAAAAAAGTAAAAAAGTCAAAATATAGCTCTGCAGACAGACTGTCTGTTTTCATAATATAATTATGCAACGCTTTTTCTTCCCAACACTGATTCCCATACCTTTACCTGAGATTTGACTGACGCTCCGTACCTGTCTGGCACTAGTGCAATAAAAATGCTAATATAACTGTATTTTAACAGACATTTACAACTTTCTCTATACATATGCAATTAAAGGGATGTCATTGTACACCAAGGCTCAGTATGATACAGAAATTCAAAACTGAAAATATGCCAGACGGCTAAATCAAGCTAAGCTAATTCATGAAGTCCTGAGCTCTACCAATAAGAAACTGATATTAGTTTCCAGTGTTTTCATGTTTATTTTTTTCATAACGTCATTTTATCATGTTACTGCCATTTGTCTGCTTCTTGAGTAGTTGTCTTTCTGTGGTTTTAACTCTGTGTATTGCTGCGTTTATGATGAGAACAAATTTTGTGGTAGCAATACTATGACAAACAAACTTCCTTATATCCTCGTGTCCTCATCATTGCACTGACTGATGTATCAACAGAAACCTAATGCTGCTTTATATGCTGTCCTGGAGGATTATCCAGTATCGGTATTGGTTTCAGGTCACTTCTGACTATAAAACTTCCCTTTTCATGCTACCTTTACCCAGCATCAAGAGCAGAATCCTCCAAATGAAGCACAGCACTGAGTGTTTGTACCCTGCATTCAGTAAAACGCTTCAAACCTCAGAAGCTTTAACAACTTCTTTTTTTCGAGCTGTTATGCCTAAAAAGGGGTTTCACACTCCACTATGTCTGTGTGGGACTTTGCTCCCTGCACATTACAAGTGTACAAGTGTGTCATGCACCTGGTCACATCACCATGGTTTCCCATTATCACAGTAATGAAGCCTCTTCTCCTGTGCAGCCGCTGCTGTAACAGTTGCTGCAGAGCTGTCAAGTGACTGTCTCTTAAAATAGGAGTAAGATGCTCCTCCACACTGTCACTGTGACAGCGCAGTGGAATTTTAAAGTGATTTCTCCACATGATGGTATGATGGCCGAATGCTTCCAGCATGACAACTTCTGCCACATGCTGATAAGTATGTCTGTGTGTGTGTGTATGTGTTATTGTGTGTTTGTGTGGTAAGGTGATTTAAAAAAAGGAATGTATCTGCCTGGTGATGAATCTAAATCTCTTATCACAGAGGTGTGAATGTCCCATGTCCCATTTGGACAATTTGGACTTGATCCTCTCAGTGGGTAGCAGATGATGAGGGTGATTTTTAGGACTGTTTCAAATGTGGACGTCTGTTTGCGAGATATTGATGTCTGTGTATTCACCTCTGTGTGTGTGTGTGTGTGTGTGTGTGTGTGTGGGTGTTTGTGTTTGCCTGAGTGTGTGTGTGTGTGTGCGTGTGTGTGTTTAAAGGCAGATACCTACCAGCCAGCTGGCTGATCTTGTTGATGGCATCCTCAAAAACTAGAAGAGAGAGAAACACGAGGTCAGAGGAGAAAGATAGTGAAACACAATGCTGCCCTCTGGTGGCTGCATTCAAAACTCCTCTGATTAGAGTTTCCAGAGACTCTGTGTCGGTAAGAACGCCTTTAACATAAAAATAATCAGCTTGTATTGCTGTGTATGAGTGGCAATAAAAGTATTAATCATAAACAGGGCTGAATATTTGAGAAGCTGTGTCTGTCAGCTGGTCTTCATCTGATATTCAAATTAAATAATCACCACCTTTACAGTGGTGATAAAAGATGATTTAAATAGGTCACTGATGCTCAGTGCTGCCATCAAAATGCACACAGAAACACACGCCTGAGGGGCTTCAGAGTTTAAGCTCGAGTACATCTCACAAAAACTTTTCTTGGAAAATTTAAATGGATTTTTATGGGAGGGGGAGAAACGATTCCAGGAGGTGAGAAAGCTGTCACATGGCAAGAGCTATTTTTATACAGGAGTCAGAAAACCAAGGTTGGTGTTAGCGGGTTTGTTAAAAATTCATTAGTGTACCATGTGCAGTATATAAGTTCAGAACACTTATTTTTTTCCTGTCTCCTGCTTTCTAATGAGCTCCAAGTTTCTTTTTAGCTTACACTTTTAATACTCCATCACACCTCTTTCCTAGTTAAACAAGCACCAAACCAAAAAGTCCATGAATTTCTACTCTACTAAGTTTATAAGATGAATTATGTTCAAATAAACATCTACCTTTTCCAGAGATGTCAATCTGGCTCATATCTTTTCCTCTGTCATCACTGATGGTGGCTTTGTAAATTCCTGCTGTCTTCAGTGAAAACTAGAAAGAACAAAAACAAGAAACAAGAAACAAGCAGGTGAGAACAGAGGCTCAGAATTGGTGAATTATGAATTTGAACTCATTGTATTTATTTTGAATGCAGTGTTTTTGTTTTTGGATCCTCAGGACAAACCAAAGTCACTTTAAATAAATACTACCGACACAACACATTACTATATCCTCGTGTGTACATGTGTGTACATTACCAATAACAGTGAACAGATTTTCAGCATTCAAGTGACCAAAAGACAATCACCAGTTTAATTGGCAGTTTGCAGACTCCTGATCCCAGGTCAGGCTTTACATCAGGGATGATCTCTGTGTCTTCTTTGAACCAGTGGAAAACTGATTCCTTCTTCAAGTTAGCAACCTATAATACAAAACAATGAACCTCATTTTATTTAAATGTCAAATATGATGATCATTTTGAACAAGGTAGAGAAAGTTTGGTGTCTTTTGTGGTTTTTCTAACAAATCATCAAATCCATATGGCAGCCATACAGTTTCGGATGGACCAGGACCAAAGGCTGCACCATCACCCTCAGTCACTCTTTAAAAGTTACTTATCAGTTTGAGTTTAGATGTGTTGCAGCTTATCGTTTCATTGCAACCAGGAGCTATATGCCAGCTGAAGTGTAACAGATCCATTAGAGATGTTCTGTGGGTAAAATCACCTGGATAAATTCACTTCAGTTCCACCTAAAAGAAATCTGAAATGAATGTCATCAAAGCTACATGCGGCACATTTCAAAACCCATTACAAGATGCAAATTCAATAAGTCAGTGATGTGTGTGAAGTTAAATTAATGTGGGGTTCATTAAGACCAAGAGATACCTAAATGTCTATACTGTGGGCCCTTACTATCTCCCAGTCTGATTACTTCAAATTGACTCTCTCCCTCCAGACACCGTTGGTCTGCAGTGATTTAACAAGAATATATTGTGCTATAAAAAATAACTCATACAAACCACAAATGAAATCTTCAAACTAACTGATGCTTGAATGCTTGGGTAGTCAAAACTTTGACCACTTAATGCGAACTATATGTTTGTTGTGTACAACATCATTCAAAATGCACTTTTTCAAGCTTAACAAATAAACAGATTTAACAGCTTCAGATTGTCTCCAGAGATCTGCACAAGACTTTGATTTTAAAATTGCTTTAATTATACACTTCAAGCCAATAAAACCAAGACAAAATCGTGACAGTGTAATTTTGGTTGTTTTAAAAATGGACTCAATCATCACACAGCACTGCAGCACACAGCCTCAACAGAACCTCTAATCAGCTACCCACAACTCAGCCCCCATTTGTTTAGAGTGCAAATATTCAATAATTATTGAGTGTGTCTGTGTTTACCTTGCAGACCAAAGTGACAGAGCAGTCGTCTCCGACCTGAAGTGACAGGAACTCACTGAAGTGAGGACCTGAGGTGGATAAATAGGAGAGAGACGCTGAGGGAGGACATGAGCTCAAAACAAAAATATTTTGGAAGCTTGTTTATAGGATATTAATTATAAACATTCTGCACAGTTCTTATATCCACCATGAAAAAGGCATGTACAATCTTGAAGTATCTGCTGCTCTATTCATTTCTGAATGTGTGACGGATTTTTTCATGTAGTGATCTATTTGAAACAGGACTATTTTTAGGTGTCAAGGTTTAAGTGATACTGGTCTGTTTCTCTCCTGTACACTGATTGGATAATCGGTCTCCAAGGAAACATAGTGATGTTGTGGTGTCAAACTAAGTAGTGTAAAGCTCACAGAAGCTTTAAAGTGGATGCTTTGTGTTTCCTACCCTCCTTGACTCTGATGTACTCTCTCCTCTGGTATTCAGCCTCAGCCAGTGCTGCCTTGAAAGCTGTGCACGCACACACGCACGCACACACACACACAGAAATACATGTAAACAGAACATAATTAAAAGATCAAAGTGTTTCCAGTGGTTGCTACAGACTCTTTCAGCGGATTAACCAGCTAATGGTCCCTTGTACAAGATTGATGTCACAACTTATAAGAAACAACAACATAACTCTTTTGTTTTACAGCCACATATACATTTAGCTAACCAGTATGTTACCGTTACGTAAGTTCCAGAGATGCTGTAAGTCTACTGCCCAACACATGCACACAAACACATTTCTACACTTAAATATCTCAACAGACAGTGTTTATTCTGACATATCCTCAAATTAGCAAAGACAGAAAATAAGGATGGGATTGTAGCAAGTGCTCATTTTCCATTCTTGCCTCAATCGCTATTAAATTTTTAATGCTGTTTAAATGTGGGGGTTGATAAACATTTTCGCTCTTAATCGCTCTCCCGTCTCAGTGGGACAGATTTTAGCCATTTCCAGCAGGGTTTGAATGTGAGACATTGGAGATAATGATAGTGTGAATTTCAACCTGGCGTCCCTTACCATCTCCAATCAGAACCAGTGAGCTCTGTCCTTTGCCTCCTCCGTCTGTGATCTGGCAGGTAAATGTTCCCTCATTCTCCTCGGTGAAATGGTCCATGATGAACTCAATGATACCTGTAGCGACATCATGGCCCATCTTGTTTGGCTGCAGAAAAATAGAGTTAAATGCTGTAAAAATTCCATAACACAGCCAAAGCAAAGCCTCATGAATATGAATATTTTCTTACTGTGATTATGGATTTAATATTACACCATGCAGCTTACTGGAACAAGAACAGTAAAAATGGAGGGCAGGCAGACAATTATTTCTGCTTCAAGCCTGGGAATCTTTTTTTTCCACTTCTCTTCATGTCTACGCTTTAAACTACGGCGTATCTTACATCAGCTCCAGACAGTTCCCTGTTGTTGGCAAAGAATTTGTAGGTGACTTTGGGAGAAATCTCTTCAGCCTGAAGCCAGAACCTCATTCTGCCTCTCTCCAAAATCTTATAGGCCAGCTCCGATTTCAGGGGTATGACTGGAGGTGAGACGTGGAGAGGTGAGGAGGCAAACGAACAGGAGACATGAATATTGGTTAGGCAGGTGATGCAAAAGCAGGTAAGTCCTTTTTTGGATCAAATAAAAAGAGAAATGTGCGTCTAAAAGAAGAAAGAAATCTGAAGGGTTCAAAGCTAGTCAGAACAAAGCAAAATGAGGCGTAAAAAGGAGAAAGCGAGAAATGGAGAGAGTGGGTGAGACAGATTAAAGAGGCAGCAGAGAAAAGTACAAGAGAAGAGAGATTAAAAGGGACAAAGAGAGAGATTATGAGAGATGGAAAGAGTCAGCCAGAGGTACCTACTTGGGTGTCTGATATCATAGCTCAGTGCTAGCATCTTCGCCAACTCTGTAACAAAAAGGGAGAAGTTATTCATTTCATGCAGCCATGGGCACAAATACGCCATTAAAATGAATTTTCCACTTTGAACATAGATGGCATTTTTTCATCAGCTATGGTGGAGTACTTCAATAACATGTTGTAGATGTCAGACCCATAGCTGTGTTGATGGGAGAGAAACAAACTTCTCAATACTTCAAGACTGACACACATAAGAAAGACGACATTATGACTGTTGTAAAGCCTTAAAAACAGAACCAAAGGTCCATATATAGGAGTTCCAATGACAAGCTGCTTTTTAAGATGACATTTCTATTGGCTGGGCTTTCCTAAGCACTTTGAAAGTGAAATAATTGAAGCACTTTATCCTGTAAGTTTATAATTTCTCTCAAAGTTAGACTGAAAAACTTTCGGTCAAATAGTAAGCAATCAGTGACAGTCACTCTGAATAACATATTAATGCCTTGTAGCCGAGTGGTGCAATAGCAGGAAAAGTCTTGTGTAACCCTCTGACAGAAAGCCATTTGCCATGTCAACGAGGCTTTAAAATACACACATTCATACACACAGCCTAAAGCTTGGAGAAATGATGTGAGCAATGTGCTGTGCTTGTATTCATCAGATGTGTAATGAAACAGATACTGTTGCTCAAAGTGAATAAAAGTATGTTTTTCAGCAGAGTCTCGCTGCTGTCATCAAATTTTAACCAAGAGACTGCCTCGTTTTTTTTTTAAGTTGTTTTAATTTTCTGAGCACCGCACCGCAACACAATGCAACGCACACTACCACACCACACTGCACTGCACAGCACGAAATAATAGGATAGGATAGGACAGGACCGGACACATTCCGATATGATATGATGCAATGTGATACAATACGATACGATACGATACGATACGATACGATACGATACGATACGATACGATACGATACAATACGATTCGATACAATATTTCAAAGATCTGTGGATTCAATAAGACACAGGAATTTAAGCCAGGCTTTTTGGTTCCGGCCAAGGCATAAACTTAATATTTAGTGAGAATTTTGCCATGTGCATAAAATATAATTTCTATCCCAGGACCTGCTGTGTTGGTATAACTTTGTATCAGTCATGATGCAGTGCGTAAACACGATTGTGACAGGAGTATCATGGCAGACCCCAGCAAAGGGTTGGAAGTTTGGCTAAATTTCACTCAAAAAGACAATGACACAGCAAAGGAGGAAGTATGTCCAATATGGTGAACCATTTGTTCCAACACAGCGTGAATTTGAGGAAATGCTCATATTTGATATGTCACAAAAATGCCCAGGCCATGACTGCAGTAATGTCTCGTCACACTCAAAACATTGTTGAGCTCAGGGAGGCTTTTACATTCAGGTAGACAAATCATGACAACAAATAAGTCAAAAATGTTTTTGTTAGATACGAGTTCAAAGAGCATCTTTTAGTGCAGAAAGTCTTTTTACTCTTTCAATGAAAGGCCAGATGAACAACAGGGAAGCAAAGGAGAGTGAACGCTGATGTTAAAAGAGTTACACTCTGTCCCTGTTGAGTCACCAGCATACAGGTGTGGAAAATATGACTTGTATTTAGATATTGTTTTACATTCTTGAGTGCTTTAATTTATAGGCTTATTTTGATTTGTGAAATATTATACCTACACGTTTTATTAAACGATAAGTTACAATATGATATAATATGATACAATATATGCTACAATACAATATTATGCAGGGTATAAAGAGATGGTATGACACTTTTTTATTGAGAAATTTCTCTTAGACTCAGTTGCTCTCCACATTTTGCTGCCTCCACAGCTGAAGCTGTGGAAGCATCCACACCTGAGTGATGCTGACATGATCTATTTCAATAGACTGAGGAAAACAAGGTTTGATAAACTTCAATGAAATGCAGGGTTCTCTAAAAATATGAAAATCAACAGAGTCAATCACAATGATTCACAGATTAGAGACTATCTTAGTTCACTTCAGTACATTCATAAAGCCAGAGTCGGGTTGGTTTGTAAATCCTACCTTCAGAAGTGATTGTATAGCTGGAAGACACTCCATGTGTGTTAGTGACAGAAACAGAGTATGTCCCAAAGTCTTCTTTCTCTGCATTCTTGAAGATCAGCTTAGAACTACAGTGAGGGGGCACACAAGGACATAGACAGTGAGATAAGTGTGCACTTCTTGAAAGACTTAAAAGTACATTAACAATCATTTTAGTGTCTGTGGTCTTACTGGCTGCCTTCTGTCTTTATTTCAACTCCTTTGGAGAAATCAGTGATTTCTTTGTAATCTTTCTTCCAGACAAACTTGGAGCCCTCATTCAATTGGCAGGACTCAAATGTCAGAACAATGTCTCCAGTCTTCTCATCCACACCACAAGACACTTCCTGGGAGCCTTCAGTACACAAAGACAAACACACACAGGGTTGTTCTTTTACTTCAAGGAGGATCTGTCAGTATCTTTTAGCACTTTTGTACTTTGTCCATCATCCACAACACTTTATTTAAACAGGAGTGCACTTTAATGGCCTCTTTTTCTGAAGTAAAGATGACAAAAAGCAACACTGTCCTTTTGAATCTGAAAAAATATTACCTTCCACAGCCTTGGCAGTCACCGGGTCAGAGGGCATAGAGGCCATGCCCAGTCCTGCAGCATTTACAGCACGCACTCTTAACACGTAGCTTGAGCCTGCCTCCAGACCTGTCACCTAGGAAGCACATTATCATCAAAACAGTGTTTTTGACAGCCTGAGGACAATGACTTCTGTTTTCTACTGCAGCACCATTGTCATTGTTACTTTTACCACAACGACGCATCAATCATAACCGTGAAGTGTTAACTTTAACCACTAGATGTCAGCATCGCCCAGTTAGTGCATAATTGCATTGCACATTCAAAAGAATAAAACACCAAAGCTACATCTTAATGTTTTCATGTGTGTAAACACTATTATGATGAGCAGGAACCAATATAAATCTTTAATGAGAAAAACATGAAGAGGAGTTGTCAGAATAGAAGAGGAGCTGACAAATCACGCACTTTACAGATCAGGAGCACAATTTACCATGTGTTTGTGTTTTTCCAGGAGTGCAGACACTAACAACAGCAACAAGTTTCCCTCAAGGAGTATTTCTAAGAGTTAAGCTATTAAAAAATAAAAATCATTATGGCATGGAGTTCATAAAAGGAAAAACTATGATCAGACTTATACATAAGTATTCTCTTTTAATCTTCACTTATGTTCCAACAGAATGGGGAACAGACTCTGGAGTCTCAGTCATGTTGTCTTTCACATTAAGAACGGTATGAGATATTTCTTGGCAATCACTTTTGGCCAAAGTGAGACAACAGGACCCTGTAAAAGGTTACCTCCAGGTCGAACGAATAATCTTTACTAAGGATGCTGCAGACATTGTTTTTCACCAGGGATTACAAACCAACTCTGACTGTTGTAGTTAGAAAGACACACAGAATTAATCTTGTGTCACAGATACTGTATTATAATATGTGGCACAAAAGAAGGTGTGGGACAACTCAATAAGCTATGCTGTCAATTTTAAAATGAGCCTTTTATTTATAATAAACCAGTACTTTTTTTTTTCAATTTTGCTTTAAAAGAGAGCACATATAATGTCAGTGGAAATGGGTTAATGACTGAACATTCGGGTCTAAGTAAAAGTTACATAACATTGCATTACACTAGATTACTTATCAAAAACAAACCTTTGCAGCCATAAACATAACAAAAATGATCTCACCTTGCAAAAGCGTTGACTGACAGCTTTCTCATTCGCTGTGGTCCAATCAGAAGAGCCTGTCTTGGCATACTCCACATGATAGCCTGTGATTTCTCCAGAACCAGTATAGACAGGTTTCTTCCACTCAACCACCATTGAACTATCTCTCACTTCACAGCAAGTCAGGTCATAGGCAGGGCCTAGAAGGTGGAGAAGAAAACAGGAGGATGTTTATATTTTTATACACGGAAATGTCAGCGTAAACATCCACTCCATCCTACATGTAACACTCAGAAGACAGAAGTACGGTGACTGTTGAGGTGGAGAGGTGTCTTGATTAGTAGTTTTAACGCTTACATGTTCAACTGGGTCAAAAATGACCCTGTGAGGTTTTTGTCCTGCAATATCTTTGCAACAAAGAGCCACTAACATTTCACATTCCAGCAATTTCTCAATAAGCTTGATCATTTCAAACATATTTCCCCATTGTGGAGTTATAATGCAAAATATAATGCTAACTATTATTGTTGGTCAAAAATGGCATAAAACACATGAACTCTAATACAGGTTATTTCTGACCCACTTATAGGAGGGTGGAGGGTCTAGTCACTCATGCATCAAAGGATTACGTTTGTCAGTGACGATGATCAAAGGATTTTTACAACAAGATTTACTGACCAGGCTCGGGCATGTTCCAGGCCTCACAAGTGAAGTCAGCTGAGTGTTTGGAGGCTGGTCCAAGGCCAGCAAGGTTGGCTGCATAGACCTGGAACTGGTAGACTGCTCCCTCTGTCAGTCCCTCCACCTGTCGGTGACATGTCATCTCTGTTATTAACTTGACATTCAGTGGTATCTTTAACCAACTACCTCAGTAACTTTCCAGGAGAACAGAAACTCACTGAGGACAAAGAAATGGTGCCAGAAATGTTAATGGTGTGGAAATCCAGTGGAAAGTTAAAGCCATATCAGTGATTGTACCTTGTACAGTCTTTCTGTTAGGGGTGGGATATTAATCTCCCTCCACAAGGTTGTTCCACTGCGTCTTTTGTCCACATAATACTCCTTGATGGGTGCTCCTCCAGACACAAGAGGCTTCTTCCAGTTCAGAACCATTGAATGCCCGTCACAGCTCAGCAGAGCAACATCATAAGGAGAAGAGGGGGTGGCTAAAAAGGCAGCACTGCATTTTAATACTTGAAATTACAACTACAGGACTCCATAGCCATCAGGATTGCACAGTATATTAAAAAGGCAGAAAACTCATTTATCAACATAGCCATCAGTAGTTAAAACCAAAAGGTGCCAACACTGACTCAGAGCAGCTTTAACAGTCAGAGGTGCAGACTCCTGGGATTCCTCACTGAGACCAATCTCATTGATAGCCTGAACACGGAACATGTAGGTTTCTCCTGTTTTCAGACCGCTGACCACAAACCTGCAGACACATAATCAATCATTTATCTCTATAAACATGATACTGAATCTCAGTACATATTCTATCTTTATTTAAAAAAAAAAAAAGAAAAAAAAAACAAGCATAGAAAATTCTCTTTTTTATGTCAAAACCATGAAAGTACCAAATGTTTTTATTCACTTTAAAAACATACTTGGTGCTCTTGTGTGGTTTGTGATTGGCTGAGATCCAGTCTCCGGATCCCTTCACACACTGATCGATGTAATAGCCAATCAGCTTGTTGGGTTCCTTTGGAGGAGCCCACTGGATGAGGACAGAGGTGTCAGTTTCCCTGGTAGCAACAACCTGACCAGGAGCGGATGGCACACCTGGATTCAGTGAAAATAACAGGAATTTAATGGTAACAGTGCATTTACGAAACATAAACATTACACAACATATACATCACAAACACAACAGCAACTTCAATGTGGATTTTCACCCTTTATTCACTAAAAAAATGAAACAACAATAATATAAAAACTGACCTTTGATCTCTGGAGTTTCAATAACACTGGTGGGCTCTGACGGCTCACTCACTCCATGGATGTTGGCAGACAAAACTCTGAACTGATACTCTTTGCCCTCAGTCAGGTCAAAGACACCGTAACGGGGGGATTGGATGGGGACCTGAGTGTTTACACGCTGCCATGCACCACTGCCTACCATAGTCTGTGAGAGAAGAGAGATGTTACCCCACATCCATGCACGATATGTTGTGCAAAAATTTAACCTACAGTTGCTGCTGATATTCAGTTTGTTTTAGTCAGGTCACAAAAACATTTCAGCAAGAATCCTCCACTGTACTTCATCTTGTGTATCAATAATATGGTCAAAATTGTATTTTGCCTGTTGTCAGTGTGTTAAAAAACTGTTGAAAACTGTAGAAAAGAGTATTTCATGCACACTGGTGTTAAGCTGCATGTGCAGATAGTGACATGAAGTCAGGATTTAGGACTGACTTTTCAGTTTCTATCACATTCATGAGGCTCTCTTAACTCAAACAAGCTGCTGTTAATTTGTTATTAAAGGAGATGTTTCCTCTTGGGTCTGTCAGCCATTTTTAAAAACACAAATATGTCCCCAAACCTAAAACAGTAGTTCTAACTTTTGTCAGAAATCAGAAAACAGAAATCTTTTAAACACTTTTTTGAGTTTTCACCCTCTCATAGTGTAATGAGTTTAAGCAGGACCGGTGTTAACTTTTGTAATTACCTTCTCGATGTAGTACCACATGGGAGCTTTGCTGGAATATGCAGGGGCTTTCCAGCTCAGAACCACATATGTCCTGTCTGTTTCTGAAGAGTGTACTCCTGATGGAGCACCTGGAGGCTTTCCCTCGGCTAAACACAAACACAGACAGGTGATTAAGTGCTCATACGCATCTAACTGAGTAACACCAACAGTAAGGATGTTATAGATATCATGGGATGAAGTAGATATGTTCATGGTTTGAGATCTTACCTTCCACTTCATCATGGTAGGACACAACACTTAGTTTTCCTCCCAGTTTTTTGGCTACAGGATGAAAAAATAGAGGGTTATTTTCAATCATATGGCAACTGAACTGTATGAGAAACCTTTAGACACTTCACTTCTTCAGGTCGTGTATGATGTTAGTCTTGTATGAAATGATGTAATATAAAAAGCAGGGTGAAGTTTCTCTAATCCAGTAATCCAGTTCAACTCACTATGGAGCCTCTCAAACTCAGTGGGGTCCAGAGCAGCGATGGGCTCGGACATGCGGGAGGGTTTGCTGATTCCTTTGGAGTTGACAGCTCTGACTCTGAAGTAGTAAGAGTGTCCTTCAAACAGCCCAGCCACGGGGTATTTACAGATCTTAATGGGGTGATCATTGCACTGAGTCCAGTTTTCGGTTCCAACTTCACACCTGAAAACAAAGAAAAACGGTGAACAAAGAAACTGGTTTCTGGCAAATTCAAAAAGCCATGGAAAAACAGGAAAGATTATACACTGTCACCCAAAACTTAGTTTGCTTTCTCATATTTAGCTTTCATTTGCTACAGCCTCTGCACAACCTACACAAGACTCTTAAATTTAAATGTTGAAACTCCAATTAACCAATTGGTAAATTTATGCAAAGAAATCACAACCAAATAGATTAATAAAGCTAGCTGTGTTTAACTTAAAGAAACATTACAAACCAGGCCAAGCAGCTTTAATGTTGTATTGTTAAATTGTGTGAGATACATTGACAGTCATCATAGTGTATATTTTAGCTTAAAGAAAAAGATGAGTGTTGCATTGGGTCAAGAAAGAAATACAGTTTTGTGGTTATCAGGTGTTTTTTTGAGGCTGAGGGACAAATAGGCAGATTTGAGGACCAAAAAAATGACGGTTATTTTTCAAAGTTTTTTGTAAAAAAAAGTCCAAGCTAAAAATCTCAGGTACTCTGATGTACTATAAATAGTACTCTTTAAGTATCCTATGGGTAAGGTAACCTCTGTCACTTGACTCAGGATCTATAGAAATTGTTGAGTGTAGTGAGAAAGCTATGTTTTTCTGCTTCAACATACACTCTCCTCTGTGTTTGTACTTGAATCTATCAAGTGACTTACAGAATCAGTATGTCTTTCTGTTTCTCAGTTTTATCTATGTATGCTGTTTGTATCTGAAACCCCTACTTGTCCACAAAGTATCCCAGGATTGGTCCCTCAGTGGTGGTGTTTGGGGGTTTCCATGACACAATCACATAGTCTCTATTGGCATCATGGATCTTGATGTCCATGGGAGCACCTGGTGCGAGGGGGACTGGGGGAGGACCGTCTACACAAGAAGTGACACAGGGATATTTTGTTGATCACAATATAAATACAAATGAATTAATAAATAGAGGAAGGTATCAAACCTTAAAAAAATGCATGCGTTACAACAAATCAGTGATTGGTTATCTTTCAATCTTAAACATCATAAACTTGGTTTTATTTCTGGGTTATTAACTCGTCTTGAGTCTGCACGCCTGACCTGCAACAGAAACAAATGCACTGTGCTCTGCAGTGCCTCCTTTGGTGACCATGCGCAGTGTGTAGAGGCCTTCATCGTCTTTGTAGAGGTTAGGAAGAGTCAAGGTGGTGACTCCTCGGCCAGTTTCAATCTTCACCCATTTAGAGTCAAACAGACGAGTGTCTGCGAATGAGACAGGATCCTGAATTCAGCGTTACTTCCTGCACAGCTCCTCTGATCCTTTGTTCCAAATTACTGCCAAAATAAACACGTCTTCTATGATATACATGAGATCTAACTGCATACTAAATGTAGAAGGTTAACCTTACCATTTGTCTTTAAACCTCAAGACCTTTCAATGCACACACACCATATTAAAGCAGTCATGAATTTGGGCTTGTATCACTTGGGTCTATTTAACTCATCTCACTTTAATTAATAAGCAATAAAAATAGTGTTCAAAACACACTCTCATTTTTCTGCTGCTGTGCCTCTGGCTATATGTCCCCATGACAGCCAGACAGCAGTATGCATTACCAGAAATTATAGTGTAATTACACTGTGATAAAATTCTACTTTATAGCAATTACCGTCTCTATACCACTGTGCTTCAGGCTGCAGGTTGGCCAGGTTGGGGCTGAGTGTCATGGAGGCAGTCAAAGTGGCAGATCCTCCCTCAGATTCAAACACAGGACCAAACTTCTCCAGGAAAGTGATGTTGATTTTGGTGTAATGGATCTGGGGAAGCATGGCAGCTGAAAGATTGTTAAGAAAGGGAAAAATAAAACAAAAATTGAGAGGGGTATTTGGAATAGAGGACGGATCGTGTCATATCAGATGAAGGTCATGCAGATGATTACCTTCAAAAGGCAGCCAAGCATAGGAGCAACTCTCCTCCTCCTGCTTGAACCCTGTACAGTTTAAAAAAAAAGAAAAACAAAGCTAACCCTTAGAGCCTCAGGCAGAAATAGTCAGGGATACAAATGTAATAAAATGTTGTGACATGATCATGTGTATTCATAGATCTGAGTAGATTAGAAAATGTAATAAAATATTAAGTGTGTAGGACACCAAACAATCACTACCATGTTAAAAAGGGAGTTAGAAACCCACTGCTTGAAAGAGCAGTGTATCCAGAAATAGGAATGCTTTAAGTGCTTTAAAATGCTAGAAACCCATTAAAACTGAGGTTTCATGGTGGATTAAAAACTTACTGTGTATTACGAATTGTCTCTAAGTTTACAGACCCAAGCGGAAATTACCTCCAGAAGCAAAATACCATAAAAGTGGACATAAACAGGGTTTAAAGGAGATAGATATGCTGAAGAAACTGATTTTGTCTATTTACCCAAAACAGTATTTAACAACTGGTGATAAACGTTAATAATTTAACACTGTTTCTCAAAAGTCAATTCAAGTCATCAACAATGTGAGTATTACCACTTCATCCACTGGGGGTGCCAGAGGCAACACAGACAGAAAGTTCCCCACAGGGGCTTTAAATCTTTCTTGAATGCATCACCTTTCCTATCAACACTTCAACAATGAACACAAGAGGAGAGGCAGACTTACTCTTGACGATGATGGAGGCCTGACTGGATGCCTGTCCATGGATGTTAAAAGCTACAGCAGTGTACTGGGCGGTATCGTCAGTCGAGCATCTATGAAAACACGATTTAAAGTTCATTTGTAAGTTAACTATCAACGGGACAGTTGATGTTTATCGGCTGACATTTTGACAATCAGTAACAAATAAGTAGAAGTCAGACAAATGTTGTACCTCCAAGGATCTGCTTTGACAGAATTTACAGCAGCTAATAAAGTAGGTAAGGCTTTTTATTTTTATTAGGTGAATAAAAATGTTCACATTCAACAGTTGTCACAAGTATTCATTGGTATAATATCACAGCCCTCCTCCATCAAAAATATCTGCCCAGTCTGATCCACTCGACATACTTGGAAGGATAAAGTGATGCAGACTTGGAATTAGAAGCTTCTCTTGGAAACCAGCACAAAGCTGTCCCATAATCTTGTTTTCTTTTTGAATTGACTTGAATTATTTTTGTGTCTGAATTGGTTTGATTTAAAGAAATTTCCCAGAAAAGTTCATATTTCAGTAAAATCTGATTCTGCATGATGTAGAAAGTGATGAAGAAGCATGTTTGCTGCAAATTATCTATGAACGTGATTTTGCTGATTGTATTCCCTCTACAGCTGTATGTCTGCAGACATTTGACAAGCTTAATGAGCCCTCAGAAATCAAACCAAGAAGTTTCTGATCCAGGCAGTTTTATCCTCAGACAGCTCTGAGACATACAACTATATTTATGGGCAAAGGTGCATGTTGGAGAGATACAGACACAAAACACAAGGAGGCACATGGGGGCTTCTCCAGAGTTAAAAGCCTACATTTTTCATGCTGCCATTGCATGTTATAATTTCAGGTCCGCCCTCTCTCTTGTCTAAGTGTGTCATATATCATTATACTTTATGTTTTATGCAGTATTTTTTTTATCCCTTACTGTATTATTTTCACCCTGATGCCCCTCTCCCTGACTCTTCCGAGACCTCATATAACACAAGTTAGTCATATTAGGTGAAGAATTTCAGCCTGTGCATACTGTGTAGGCTGGTGTAGGCATCAGTGGATAGCTTTGACTGTATTAAAGGAGGAGAATTCAGAGAGTTTTAGCAGGGAGCTGAGAGAAAGCTGCAAATGAATTTCAAATTTTTAAACCGTACAGTAAATCCTGCAGCTGTGTGCATGGTTTTGTGTGTACGTGTGTGTGTGTGTGTGTGTGTGTGTGTGTGTGTGTGTGGGGGGGGGGGGGGGGTTAAATGGGGGGAACAGTCAGCCATGGTTTAAGGATTTAGGACTAAGATGCAGCAGGGGTTGGGGGTTGTGATTCTGCAGTTTCTCTCTCAGTCATGAGCCCGTTATAAAAATATGACAAGCTGCTGGTAATTTGAAATTCAAAAGAGATTTTTCCTCTAAGACCTGCTGTCAGCCTATTTTTAAACCTGAATACTTACCAAGCTTTTCTTTGAATCTATTCCTGACAGTTTTTGCTCTTAAAATACAAAGCATTCATTTCAGATGGTCATCTACTCATTTATTTTTTCTTGACCGCAAATCAAGAGTATTTTTCTACAAGCAGTACAGTCAACGGGCTGATCTGTGTGTAAGTAACAGACAGATGGAGCTAAAGGTGACTGGATCCCAGCAGAGACTGATGACTTTAAGAATCCAGGAGTATCAGGTAGCACCGAGGTCAGCACACGAACAGCTGAGCTTCCTAAGACTGGATGTGCTCCCTTCTCCCCTCCTACCTCCTCCCTTCCCCAGAGCCAGTAACCCTACAGTCAGTCAGCTGATTCTGACGTAATGACTCCAGTTGGAATGTCTGTGAGGATCCTGAGGGGACCGGCCAGTAAGACAATCAGATGATTAAACTCAGTCTTGGGATGGATGCTCAGCTACCAGGGGGCTCAAGTGTAATGAATAACCAGCTGTACCAGTAAGACATAAATTAAACTAAATCTAACACAAGTACAGCGTTTAAATGAGCTTGTCTTCTTTTAAATTCTTCTATTGCTGCAATACCATTATTACATCTGGGTATATTGCACTGAATTAATTTTTTCTGCTGTCTACAAAAATGTAAGCGCTGAAATTTGGTTGAAAACAGGATGAATTCAGGTCAGGATGTTCGAGACTTGAGTCTTTTTTCTTTTGGGGGCATTTTAGCCTTAACTAGACAGGACAGCTGAGGAGAGACAGGGAATATGGAGAGCGGGGAGCAAAGGAAGACATGCAGCAAAGAGTCGTGGCTAGGAATCGAACCATCAACAAAAACTACAGCCTCCATAGGTTGGGCTGTTTGAGCACCCCATGACATGATATTGACAGGTTATGACATTCTGACATTTTTGTTTTCAAATTCTGAATTCTGATCAATTGTTCACTTGAGATGTGACAGGAGGGCAGACATGATTATTTTCAAGGCCTTTCTGAGAGTTAGTTTAAGTCTCTTCTATGCAAAATTGTAATTTCAACTCATTTTATTTTTCAACTGTAAAATCATAACTACACAAAGATTATCAAGGTTGTATGTGCACTGACACTAAGTTTTTGTATATCCACTTATAATGGCAGAAAGCTATAAATGTCTCTGATTACCTGCTGGCAGCAGTTCAGAAAAGACCTAAAGAAAGATGTCAGTGAAGAGTTTCTGGTTTGAATACAGTCATGAGACGTAAACCTTAGTGATTGTTTTCCACAACTCCACACGGCATTTCTTTATACAATCTTAAAGTCTTATTTCTTTTAACATGCTGTACCTTGGGATCTCCAGAGTGTGGATTCCACCTTTGGACTGCACCAGGCAATGTGCAGAAGACAGATCCAGGATCACATCATCTCTGTACCTGGAGCAGAAACACTACAGTTCAGTGGTAGAAAACATATGGAGCTATAATTTTACCAGCAACTACTTATTAATTTATTTTTTTAAATCAGTACATCATGATAGTTTGCAAAGAAGTTTCAAGTTTTTACTGACCATTTTACCACAGGTGTGGGGAAGCCATCAACAGTGCAGAAGATTTTAACAGGAGTGTGCTCAAACACGACGTGGGATCTGAGTCTAGTTAGGAACTTTGGTCCCCTGATCATGGGCTCCTCACGCACATATTTGTCCAACATCTTCGCCGCAATCTAGACAGGAAAAAAAATATTAATGAATAATAAACATCAATAACATTCCTGTTCATACCTGCAAACTCCTCTTTCAAATAACTGTAAAGCATAAGCTCAGGTAGACATGATTACACACACTTTTTCTCAGCGTCCTAAGTCTGGGTAAGGAAAGGTGTTCACAGATTCTTACCATCTGCTGGATGTGAACTCGTGTTTTGTGCTCATATCTTTCCTCCCGCGACTCAGAGCTGAAGACAAACATTGAGTCAGGTCAACTAACAGATTCAGGAAAACAAAGACTTTCTCACACGCACTCTGGGAGTTGTGTGAGAATTCTTATGTGGTTTTAAACATTAGACTACTTTAAAAGTTAATTTTGTAAAACTGTATTATCTTTGTTAAAAAGATTAATGCATGCATCACTATGAAATTAAATACATTTAAAGTAAGTAGCAAAGGTTTTTAGTGAATGGAACATTGATAAATGAATGAAAGCGAACTGAATTAATATTCAACCTATTACAGCCATAGATCTATGAGCAGCGACAGATGCCACTATTAAGCCTCACAAGCCAGCTCATTTTTCTTTCTGGGTGCACCGATCAAAGTCCGGTATCAGATCACAAAGTAGGTATAGAGAGAAAGGAGTCAGTCCTGTGTCTGTTTAAATATGCATGAAGTACATCGTGCTCCATTGAGTACTTCATGTTTAGAGCTCACGTATCAGGTGTTTGGATGTATGTCTTGCTTGTTATGCCAGTATGCCAGTATGCCAGTTACACCAGTCACTTCTTATATATTCTTTTTAACCAAGTTTCTTTGAGTTATTTTTGGGGGTATTTTTGCCTTTATTAGACAGGACATCTGAGGAGAAACAGAAAATGTGGGGAGAATAGAATGGGGGAAGGCATGTAGTAGAGAGTTGAAGTAGGGAGTGGAAAAAGCGACCGTTGTGACGCAGACTGTGGCTTCCATACATGGAGGTGATGGTCCTCCATACCATCGGAGCCCCTTCAACCAAGTTTCTGATCCAGGATCTTAAAATTAAAATAATAATTTACAACTTTGTATGTTTTTGTCTATATATGTATATGTTACTTTCTGTTTAACAAAGTTAGGAACATAATGTTCAAGGAAGGTGTGGAGTTGTTTTCCAACATTACAATAAAACCGGCCTCCTCTACACAAAGAGCTATACAGCATATTTAGAAAACACTAGGACTGAATTTCCATTTGGTTTAGCAGGTGATAGTATCAGATTCAGAGAAGTCAGACTGTGCATCACTACTTTAATCTGCAAAGCACTGCACTCAGACTAAAAACTAACGGTAAACTATCAGGACTGAATCCACCAATCCAGTGTAATGTTTGCTGTAACATGTTCAGTATGACCCCAACCAGCACCCAAGCATCCATGACAGCACTGTTACTACTGAGCTGAGAAGATATATGAGGTCAAAATATTACAACATTTTTACTTTTTACTTGGGTAATTTCCTGGACTGTTTTGTTGTGTGGAGTGTGTGTTTTTCTCTTCAGAGATTGGGCGTCTCTCTCTCTACATTGGCTCTCCCTGCACACTTACACCTTCACCTAATTCCTGCAATCACCAGCAGCTCTTAAACTCTACTCAGATGCCTCTCCAGTGCCAGGTTATTCCCTCATCTCATGTTGTACATGGGCCGACTCTGCTGGAGTGCTCTTGTTTTTTGCTTCTTGTTGATCATTGCCAATTTCGTGTGCTTTTCTTGTGACTTACTTGTGCGATTCCAGTGCCTACAACAGCTCCAGTGAAATCCAACAAAACGCTGCCATTAGCAATAAGAGATAGAGGGGTGGAGAATAAAGTCTCCTTGATTTAGTCAGGCCTTGCCAAGCACTTTGCCTCACTCTGACCTCACTGTCAAAGGGAAAGAGACAACAGCCATTCAAGAGTCTATACGGCTGACATTGGAGAGGCTTGAGCATCACAAGTGAATGTCTTACTGTTTAATATCTGTGATTTGCTTCTCACAGGATTAATTACATCTTCCTCGAGCTGCAGGTTCATTAGCTTAATGATCTGGCTTTTCAGTCCCTCCAAAGAAACACTGACATTTACTAGACAAAGCATCTTTTTTCCTTTTTGGTGTTTGGCTGGCCAAATTTTATATTCAGCTGACTATTTCACTGAAGAAAATCCAACCTACAGTATAAAAGGCTGCCTGAGAGCTAGCTAACAGAGTGTTGCCTGAGAGTTGAAGAGAGTCAGCAGGAGAGACACAGCTGGCAGTGAAAAGCTCTGAGTCTGTGTCTTTCATCACTGTTCAACCATAAAGCCTTTAGGCTTGAAGTCATCCCATCACTGGAAATAAAGATGAGTGTCCTGCAGTCCAGAGAGTGAGGGCGATCCTGAGAGCTGAGAGCTGGCAGCATCAGGCAAAGCTGTTGGTTTAAGACCGCTGTGATGAGAATGAGGTAGGAGGATAGAGAGGATGGGAAGTAATGTGCTGCATGTTAAAGGAGGGAAATAAAGCCATCCTGGTTAAAACAATGCTTTAGTTTTGGTGTTACTGCTGGATGCCGGGTTGGGGTCACACAACCATTTACACAGTCTACACAAGGATTTGTGGGTTCAAGCAGACTAGTGAAGTGGGTGACAGGCTAAACTCTTGGTACTGAGAGAGTGAGAGTAAACCTACAGGGAAAAACAGACTCAATGTGCTTTATAACTTGACTACACACGTAAATTAATCCCTTTTAGATCATGTAAATCTATATGGACCTATTAGTTTGTAGAAAATAGATCCAAGTGCGTATATATTAATTAATGTGTGATCAGCTCATTAGCCATTGCTCACTGCAAATTAAACATAACAAAGTTTAGCTAATAATGTGAGCAGGTTTTCTACTACCACATCAGTTAAAATAATGAAGCACACGTCACTGAGAACTTCATTAAACTTGCTAAGTAGCCTTAATGTCACAAAGGTCTATTTCATCAGCACCCTGGTTAACAGCTTATAAGCAAGTTATGATCAGCATCACATGAAAGACTCATAAGACATTACACATAGCAGCCAGAGTACCTGCAGGTACTCCTCCTCACACAAAAACAATCATGCAAACACTCTAAGATATTATTTTTTCCCATGGTGGAGCGATGTTTTTATCATACCCACCAGTTTGTCTCTGATTGATGTCTTGAATGTTCTTCATTTTGTTTGATTTTTATTCCAATTCAGTCCAAAAGCAGAATTTGGAATGTGTCATATTTTATTCGTCAAAGACAGCACAGCCGAGTGTTTAAGTCTGCATTTAAATTTTAAATGCACTGAGTTTTCACAGACAGAGACTGGATTTTGTCTGGGTACATTGATTCTAAATATGAGCATAGGGCATTTCATTGAAAACTACGTACAAGTCTGGCTTGGGTTAGTTCGTTTTTGATGTTAAGCTGTTACTATGAGAGCCTTGATTTGGTTTTTAATACTGTGTACACTATTAAGCTTAAAGCAGGTTTAGCACAGCAAAGCGTAATCTACTGTTACAAATCTACTGTTAGCTCACTGCTTCTAACACAGCACTGCCGTGTGACATATACCTGCTGTACTCCTTAACCACATATCTGCTCTGTTTGTGGTGGTATTCATGGTCATAAGTCCCACGTTTCATCCACTCTGACATGATGACACTGTAGATACACACACACACAAACACATATAGAGACTGACATGGTAACAGAGTACAGCTGATCATCACTTACATGTTGGACAATAAACACAGTAATACAAACACATGGAAAACAAATGGCCTGAAACCATGAAGGTCTGATTGAGGGACGGCAAAGTGCAGCGACACCAATTTAAAGAAAGAGAGAGGTATCATTATTCAAAAAAGAAACAGTCCTGTCTACTTCTTCATCAAGAGTCCAGTACTATGTGTCATAACAATAGCAGACACACACGTGTTGACTGTCTTGCCCCCTGCAAAAAGAAAAGCCCTCCTGGAATTTGGACACACAAACTTTGTGACACAATCACACACACGCACAAAAACAGAAGTCAGTGTCAATGACAAGTTCACACATAAAGGTTTAAATATACACACACATGTGCATGTACATAAACAAAAGAACTGAATGTGGACTATTGCTGGACCAGGAATGTGTTCGAACAATTACTGAAAGTACAGCCAAAAAGAGGACAATGTAACACCTCTTATCAAATCCTGCAGTACCGTAATGACCCTTATATAAGACCACCCTGATAAGAAAATGACCCCTTTGTATGAGACAAATTTGGGAAAGACTTTTTGAAGATCAAGACTTGATATTGTGCAGACAACAATTTAATCAAAATAATAATATGGACACATTTTGGTGGTTTTGTTGTCCTGAAATTGAACAGTCATGTTAAACAAAGTAAACATGATCTGGTTTGTAAATAAAACATTCAAGTACTGATGAAATTCAGAAAGAGCAGAGATGTATTGATGACAGACTCAGCTGGGGAATCCTTTCAAAACAGTTTTATATGGAGTTTATTTGTGCTGTGAGCAGACGGTGCTGGTGTGTCTAGCTGAACTGGCTTCTAATTTGACCTTCATAGGTCAGCTGATAGTAAATACAGCCTCTGTTTGGCAGACCATAAACAAAGACTTCAGCCTTCACTCAGCGTGGCCAGCTAATGATAAAAACAATAATGTTTTGTTACATTAATACAAAAGTCATTAAAGATTACCATTGTTTTGTGGGGAATTGGATCTGGACAGTTTGAAAATACACTAATTTTCTCTGTGGGTTAAAAAATGAAGTTTATACCCTGAAAGCTGCCTGTCTCACAAAGCGAGTGGATTTTACTGTAAGTCTGTACATCATACCATTCTATCTTTTTAGCTGGTATTGTAAACAAAAATATGATGTTGCATACTGGGTCAATTCTATTAATTACTAAACCTCAAAGGAAAGTCAATCCCATTGTCTGCAGATAAGAAACTCCTGTTTCATAGCTGGGTCATTATGGTAATACAGACTTTGTCTTGCATCATAGCGACGTAGAGACATAATTGCCTTACATCACCTCGGTCCTCAGTGACTAAATAAGGGTCAAAGGAAATCTTAAACCACTCAAGCCCCTCAACTACACTCTGTCGGCCCCTGAGACTCACTCCGCTGGCAGTAACTCTCCTGTTTCCACATCTTTGTAACTCTCGCCAAAGATCCAGGGTCCCCACAAGTCCTCTTAAACGGATGCCCCCAAACTGCCAATCAAGCAGCCAAACAGTGAGATGGATTACACTATAGTGACCTGACCCTTGACCTCTTACCCAAAAGGCCAATAGCAGTGGATATAAGGATTCCTTGTTGTGTATCAGATGGTTGTGCAGTACAATATACAAAATGACACATTTGTGTCTGAAACGTTTGAGGGTAGCACACTTCACTGGGCTTAAGGATTAGTCGGATTGCAGGACAAACAACATACAGTAATGTGACACAAATTCAAAGAAGCTCTTGGCCCCTGAATGTTAATGAGGCTTATTTACAAGCACAAAATCATAGTCAAAGGAAGTGATACAGTAAAGCAATAAGCTTCTTAACTCCACTGCCCTCAACAAGCTCTGCTCTGCACTACAGCGGCTGTCTTCTGCTCCTGTTGGTGCAGCCAACACTGTAACAGCAAAAATGGCAGCCAAATGACACTGGAGCCTCTCTGTATGTAACTAAACACCTCTTAAAGTCTAAAACATAACCACAAAAAACCTCTGATATTATTCATCTTGGTCATTAACAGATGCTTTCAGGAAACAGTCACTTGCCGTAATGTTATAATAATAATAATGACGATTATCCCTTGTAATTTTATTAGTTTAAAATGAAAGATTAAATCAACACTTAATTAAGTCAACACATTAAGAGTCCCAAATCAACACAACAGCAATCTGTCTACTGAAGCAACAATCCCAAGTGTCTTGAAAGCTAATTTAAACATCCAGTAGGGGCCCATTTAAACCAATTATAGTCTCATAAACATAGTGAACCCTGCTGTCCCTCCGCCATTATGCAAAAAAAGGACTTAACTAATTTATTCCTATTGCATTGCTTTTCGTTCTTTATAATCCATATATCCCATCAAGATTCAAGTCAGAACAAACCACTCTGGTCGGGGTCTTGTCTGTGCCTCTCTCTTCTCTTCACTCCTTCTCCCGCTGATATCACTCAGGTTTCAAACGAAAGTCGATCAAAATGCGAAGAAAGTGAGAAAAGTAAATTTTAGTTTTCTTACCCCTTGAGGTTTCCCTTGCAGCGACTTCGGTTGTCAGCCTGAATCCACAGGGAGTCAGCCTAAACCAAGAACCAGGCCAACAAAACCACCACCCGTCTCCAGCCGTCCCCCACCTGCCTCTCCCAGAGGCCTTATAAGGAGAGAGAGCTGCCTATATATATAACCAGTATCCTTCAAGACTCAGGGCCACTACAACCAGTCAGCTTTTTGATTAACAGAGTTTAAGCATTGTTTTTTATGACAGCTGCTTTCTGGCATCTCAGATCAACAGTTGATGCTAAACAGCTGAACGGTCAAGCATACCATGATTTAGACAACAAACAACCTGTTAACAATGCCGTTATTGAAAGTGCACAAGTTAGAGCAGTATGCTCTTTACTCCACAATATGTGTTGCTTTCTTAGGATCCAAACACACTTTTGTTTCCAGGAAACATTGGCTTAGCTACTGAAATACAAGACATATCATGGACATAAGTTCAGATTTAGTAGAGCGGGCACTGTCCTACTTTGAAAATCTGTGCAAAATAAAATTGTTGCTGTGGATAACCATTTAAAGTGTGCATCTGATTTAATGTACATTCAAATTGCTCTTGGTGCACTTGAGACAGTACTCCAGTCCTCTCCCTCTCCAAATGCACTCAGAAGCGTCTTCAGACCCTGTGTTGCATGCTGAACTTTGGCCAGGCCCTATTTATAAAACTGGCTACAGTTACAGCTTGACTATTCCTGACACAGTGGAGGAGCTGTGAAACACATTTTACATCTGAGGTGAAATCATACGATGCAAGAACATGAAGTTACTTTAGAGAGAAGGAAAGAGAGAGAGTGACGAGGTGAGAGAAGGAGGTGCATGATGTGGGAGGGGTGTAGGCAGATGTGAGAAAATGAAAGGATGCAACCAAAAGGACAAAAGTAGATGATTCCTTCATAGCGGAAATCTGTAGCTGTCTGTACTGACTTAAAAAATGTGCCAGTCTCCAACACGAACACAATTGAACAACAAATTCTCATAATCTGAGTACATCTACACAAGGACTGAAACTAGAGAAAAGGAAGTAATGGCTTTCGATTAAAGTTTACACTCCTGGTCAGCTTTTGTGAGATAATAATGGATTATCAAGACAGGAAAAATAAGTCTAAAAAAAAAACAGCAGAAATAGTTCTGAAGCCATCAAAACGATTTAGCTGACAACTTTCCATGACCATATAACTGCCATCCTCAAATTTAACAAATCATTCTGATTGACAGGGAGGAAAGAAAAGAAAACTCCAAGGGCCCTAAAATCAACAGAGAGTTTGTGATGGAGAATTGGTGGGTGTAATTTAATAGTTCAAATGTGGTATAAAATCCCTGGTAGCGCCTTGGATGATAGACACTATTTTCAAATAATAACATGATGATCATGTCAGAAAAACTTTAGGATCCTTCATTAGAAGCTGCTACGTAGCTGTGAAATATTGTGTGTGAAAACATCTCTTAATTTTTCTTGTTGAGCCTCATAATTCATTACAAAGTTATCTTCTCCCATATGTCCTTATGTGTGTTTGAATGTGTGTTATACACAAAGCCCTTGTCCATCTGTGGCTGAAAAGAGCCCTCTGTTGGTCATCAGGCAGAACAGTACCTGTAACCAAAGCCCAGTGATAATTTTGGTAGAATATGCTGCTGGCTTAAAGTAATCCATGACTACAGGGTATTGAGGTGGTAGTAAATTTGTGAGCATGTCGACAAAGTAGGCAGCAGTGTTTCCAACAAAGAAAACAAACAAAACAACTCATCGGAGAAAATAAGAGATGTTTGCAGCTTTGTTGCATAATAAGTCTCTGTTTCCTGTCTTTACATGGATGTTTACAGATTAGACCTTTTCAGACCTTTTTGACACCATACTCCCTGGAGAAAAAGAAAGAACATTTATTTATATACGTTTTAATCATTAAAAAGGTCCACACAGGGCACACATTGAATACAATAGGCTTGTCACACTTGAGCATTTAGCCAAATCATAAAAAGCTGCATAACATATCATACAGGGCAAGCTGTTGTGCTAGTACAAAATTAAAATGGGTATATTTGACATGGAAAGTATCCTTAACACATGGCAACCTACTCAGCCTTCTTTGGAGACCCTATAGGCAGCTGCTAGCCTGGCTGGGCGTTCCAGTTGCGTGAATCACTTGCGTGAATCACAAGTGATTCACGCAACTGGATGGCCCAGCCAGGCTAGGCAGCTGCTGCTTTTGTTTGGGGTTTACGCTTAAAAGTTTCAGAATTTTTACAGAAAATCATATTTAATCTGTTACTCTCTATTTAACTCTGGGGATATTGTTAATCTGTATTGGTTACATGATTTCTGTTTAGCTTGCAGAGGGGATTCCAGCTTGTCAACAAAAAAAAGAAAGAAATACAGCAACTTTAAAGATGTTAATTCATGCAGTAACAATAGATGAATAGTAAATCCTCCACTATGTTTTGAGCACAGCCCAATTTTCATGTCCCTGCCAGGACTCATTACATTTTCAAACACATTTTGAGCTGTGGGTGTTGGATGTGTTTTCTTGTTCTAAAACCTGTGAATATAACAGACTATGGTGGAGTTGTTGCATTATTTTAGTTGAACACAATGCCAGTGAAAAATCCCTGACAGACTAAAAACTGAAGCTGTTCCAATAGCCTTCTTCACGCATATATTCTTGTTAAATTCAAAACTCTTGTTTGAGGACATTTTAGAGAAACAATAGAAAAAGTAAACTGTTTCAAGGCCACCAACTACTATTTCTTTTTCTTTTTTATTTCATCTCAGAAATGGCCTTACTCCTCTGACTTCATGGTGCCGAAGTAATTTATTAATATCTTTGACTATTTTTGATAAGACCTCAAGATTTTACCGGGAAACAAGCTGTCAGATGCAGGGATGATTGAACAGACTTTAGGTTAGTCACTTGTGTTTACAAACCGCCGCCTGCAGGATTTTAAAATCTAATCCTAAACCCTCTTTGGCAGCCGGTGGGGTCCCGACAATAAACCGAGCCATCCAACTCAGCACGTGATGACGCATGACTCGTACGGCGCTCCTGATTGGCTGCGCAGACAGGCAGGTAGTAGCTTCACAGCCGGACAAAAACAGACTGCTCATAAGCTATCGCTGCATCTCGAGTCTTGCTCTAACTTAGTTAAGTTGTGTAATTATTTACAGCACGGAGATCGGGTAACTACCAGCATTTTTTTCTTGCAGGATACCCAGCTCGAGGTAAGACCTGTTCAAGTTATCCAACACAAACACACTTTAAAGCTCGTCTGCTTTACGCCGTATGTTCAAATGTACTTTTCTTGAAGACTCGATGGGACAGGACAGCTTGTCTTTGTGCTCGGTCAAACCACCAACATATTGTCAGTCTGCTAGGTTTGGCTTGTTCTTGTAAACCTGGAAATGCACTGGAGTTAAAGAGCAATGTTTTAAGGGAAAAGAAAAGTAGATAACACTACAGCAGAGTTTCTCAGGTCAAAGCATTCGCTTCAAAGTTGCCTGCCGAGAAATGTTTAGCCGTGGTAAAGAGATACTGTATGTTCAGAGAGACTAATGTTTTATTGACTGAAGGATAATCTGGTCAAAGTTTAAACTGGTCTTTGTTCAGTACATTTGAGGAATAGAAAGCTAACTTGAGGTTTTGTTTGATTGACTAAGCACTCTTGTCACATGAGGTCTTTTTTGCCACACTGTGTTTTTTGCTCATTGAAAACCACAAACTGTGTCTAGCTGCGAATAGTCTGCATTCTCTCCTTACTTACCACACTTTTAAGTCTATTATACTAATATACACTAGCCAGCCATAACGTTATGAAGACCTGGGCAAACTAATGCCACCCAATACAACCGCACTACCACAGGTTCATACTTTCAGGATGCTTCTACATTTCCAGTTGTAGACAAATGGTCTTTATATTTGTTTTTAAGACGCATCTGTTTTCTTTTTTTCCTTTTTCATGCTATTGGGACTTGAGCCTGTAATAAAATTCATATACATAGTGGGTGGTGCTGTACTGGTGTGTGTTGTACTGAAAGATGGTACTAATATTTTGTCCATTTAATTAAATAAACAATCATTTCAACATAACACACTCCTGTACACCACAACTTCAATGGGTTTCTTCACACATTAATGCCTCGATCAGTTACTACACCCAGAGATTCTCCAGTTTTGTATATAGCATGTGTGCTGTCTGATGTTTCCTTCTTTTTTTGTATAACAGCTATATTATCATCTTTCAGGTTGGACATGAAGCTCTGCTCTCCTCTCCTGCTGTGCCTGGTAGTAGCCCTGTCTTCTGCCTATGTGATCACACATCATCATCACCATCATCATGACAGCATGTGGACCAAACTGATTCTGACTCATCACTGGCCAAACACCTTCTGCAGTGTGAGTGTCTCTGTGTCATTTCTTTGACATCCAGATGTTTGTTCTCAGGGAGACGTTTTGTTTGACACATCACAGTTAGAAACCAAGTGTTATACAAAAACTTATACCTGTCCTTAAGCTGCTAAAATACCCCACAACCATAAAGTTATGATAGTTATTACACCTATGCTTAGTCAACAAACTATTTCTGTCTGGTTAGAGTAATCCCTGCACCACAGCATGTTGGCCACAGGTTGAAGAAGGCTCTGCATACATTTTGCTGAGGTTTAAGGGGTAGTTTAGTCTGTGTTGGTAATGACAAAGTGAGGGTTGTGTAGTTATATTAAGATTTATGTAACAGTTGTGTTCAATTGTTCAAAAACATGGTTTCTCAGCTCCAAATATTACCCCAAAAATCGCCTAAATACTGCATTATGATGTAATGTTGACAGAATTATCACTAAATCCTTCAGAGTCATGTGATGTTTAAGTCTAAGTCATGAGAGAGGCTGTGTGACTGTACACATTCTGGTTGGATTGGGCAATTTTTTTTCTACAAGGTACCGTCAAACATTTCCACAAGTCACATCACAAAAAACAACCAACATCCTCTTTTTTGTGTTTTTTGAGCACACTCCTCTGACTTCTTAATAAATTCTGTAAAACAGCACAGACCGTATTGTTTAGAGATGTGTCTGGTGTTATATGTTCAGCTGTAAAGGTTTTATTCGACAAACTGTTGTCACACATGAAAAGTTTTACATTTTTTTGCTTTCATTTTGCTGAACGACTTTAAAGACTTTTATTTTGGGGAATTACTTTCTGTTGGTCCTGGGAGGAATTTGGGCCAGAGTAGACATTCTGTGTATACTATGTTGTCCCTAAATTACAAAGCTGCAACAGTTCCCCTTTCTACATCTCAACAGCGTCACATTTATGGCAGGGAAAGAAGAAATGTCCCTTTTATTAACTTGCGAAAACAAAACAGGGGATATACTGCATCTTTGAAATACCCAATGAGTACTTCTGGAAAAATATTTGGTTAAGCTTTCTGGTTGATTACAATCACATGTTTTTTTTCTTGAACAAATTTCAGATGGAGCACTGTAAACCAAATATCAGCTACTGGACACTGCACGGACTCTGGTATGAAAGTTTGTTGTTTCATTTGCATTAGCCAGTGTTCCTATGAATTTGTATTCATGTCCTTGTGGTGACTCTTTCTATTTTCCAGGCCTGATAAAGGGATGGACTGCAACTCATCTTGGCATTTCAACAGCTCTCAAATAGAGGTATGACTCTGATCATTGTCTCCGTAACCACGAGAAATGCAGGAGTCATTCCTTGTCCTTCTGCAAACTCTGAAATCTATTAATCTCTTAATTCGGGGTACTGAGAAGGAAGATAAACACACACGCATTTACTCCTCTGACAAGATGAAAGACAAACAATGAAAAGAAAATATGTAATTATGTACATCAATGTGAAAAAGGTCCTATAGTTTAATTCACAATAGTGGAGAAAAGATGCAGAGTATATTTTTTGGTCTGTTTTGGTCAAAAAATTGTTTTTTTTTTTGTTTGCTTGTTTGTTTTGACAAAAAATTGATTTCAGGACCTGCTTCCAGACATGAAGAGGAGTTGGCCGGACTTGCTGAAACCCACGTCTACTGAATTCTGGTATGCATCAATAAACCCTTCAATATTTACTGTCAGACCCCTCAAACTTCCTCAGACTTTACTCAACCTTTGACTGGTTTACCAGAATGTTTTTGCAGAGATGGAACCACAAAAGGATGTTATTTGCATTCTCAGCTTTTTAAAGAAGTGAAAATTGTAATAAGGCACATTAAGCACTTATCCATAGACTATAAAATTACATAGTTCATTAGTCATTAGTTTTGCTGGCCTCAGCTGCACTTCTCGATTCTTCCAGTCTAATCCTGAAAACTGAGGAAACATACACAGCTGTGTCCAAACTTAGATTATAGTTATCATGCAGCCCATGCTTAAATTTGTCCTTTGCAGTTAAAAGCTGATTCTGTCTCTCTGTCTGTTTCAACAGGAAGTATGAGTGGCATAAACACGGGACATGTGCAGCCAAAGCAGACTCTCTGAATAGCCAACATAAATACTTCAGCAAGGCATTGGAACTCTACCATAAAGTGGATTTGGACAGGTATGGCATATAAACACTAGTAGTGAGTGATTCTGACAAAAAGTAGTATATGAATATTTGGGGGAATTTTGCCAATGACAATAATCATGTTATTTTGTATCTCTGAAAAAACAGTGCAGTAAAACAACCAAAGGGAGTGTTGGTAAAGGTTGTGTAATGTCCTAGCTCAGTCTTGTTAATGTTATATTAAATAATATTGGGACATATTTATCAACTTTAAACTAATTTCAAGTCAGTACTTTACAAAAACAGTGAAATCACCAGAGCAAGTACTGAGATTAAACGGGGCAAGTTAGAGGAACCATCTAATTTTGCTGAGTGTGTTTTTGTGTTTTTAGTTTCTTACTCAGTTGGCTTTTCATTTGCATATGTGCTGAGAGTTAAACTAGATATCAAACGGTCTTTAACTGCAATTGCTCTCTGATGTGGGCAGTATATTGGAGTCATTTGAGTGTCATCTGTCTTTTTGAAGCCAAACCACCTCCATGCGAGTGAGGACAATCCACTTCTAGCTATTAAATCTAATGGTGTTAATTTAGAGGCTGCTGGGGTTGTGTTATGTCTCTTGGTGCTGTTTGTTCACTCATTTTATATTGCAGCCATGCAAGGAGCTACTCTAGTTTAGCTTGCTGGGATGTGTAAACACTGCATATGATCTTAATGTATTTACACAGCAGTCTGTTCTACTTTGCTTCATAATTTACAGTGATTGTGGGTGGACACTAAATGCATGTTTTTACAGGTTTTTGAGAAACAAGTACAACATTTTGTGCACCACAATGACAAAAATTGTTATGTGACATTGTGTATATACTGAGTGTACACTAGTTTCCTGAAAAACACTGATTTATTTTACTGTTTGTACTTTTTTTCTTTAATCACCAGCTACCAGTTAACTCTACACATTCTGACTTTTTTATTAACTTATTTTATTGATATCTGAATTAAATTTATTAACACAAAAAATAACTGTTTTTGTTTTTGTAGAGTCCTGAGGAAGTTCAACATCACCCCCTCAGAGAGCTACTACAAAGTATGTCTTTTCTTAATCATTACTCAGAACCTCCTTTTTCTGTGCTAACTTTAGTCATAAACATTGTATGTAGATAACAGCATGTGACGTTTGAACAGCTGTTATCAAGAAAGTTACCCTTTTTTTATTATATCTTTTTAATATGTTTGTCTGCAGTTATCACAAATTGAAGATGCCATAGAGAAGTCGTACAGCATCAAACCCAAGATCCAGTGCGCCTTCGGGTCAAGGGTAAGAGCTTCTTTATTTATATCAATGCAGCACAATTGTCATTTGTTGTTCAGTTTTTATGTGTTAATATTTTTAGAATTATTAAGTATTCAAATTCTGTGTTTTATTTCAGCTGTTTCACGTCGTGGCTAACAGTCTGTGTGTTTTTGTGTGTGACAGAGAGATGAGGTCCAGATTTTGGGGCAGATCGAGCTCTGTTTCGACACTGAATTCACCCTGCTGGACTGTGAGAGACCTTTTCCAGACGACACGACATCCAAGGGATACGGAAATGATGTAATGGATGTTGACAGGTCTGGTTTCAGTGTGTGTCAGCATGATATGCCAGTTTACTACCCACCTCTTGCAAAAGAGAGTTAATCACACAAAATAAAACATAACACACGCACACACAAACACACACACTACACTTTCATGTTCACACACTCACAGACATGGGTCTCTGTTTACCAATCAGCGGTACTGTACTATAACACGCACATAAAAATAGTTTAATGCTTAACGATGATCATCCAGTTTCAGTGATAGAGAGGTCAAAAAAAGCCTCATAGCCTCAATCAGAGCAGTCAATCAAAATCCTAACATAAATTCTAGCTTTGACGGGTACGAGATTAAAAAAATTACCTTAAGTGCAATGTTATTTTTATATCTTACACATCCAGGGCACCCAAACACTTCACCACCACCTAGTGCTTTAATGGGATTATGTGCCATTCTGACCCTTTACAGAAGATCAATCCAAGAGTGCACAGCTTGTTGTTTTTCCGCAGCTCAACGGGGGGATATTGTGGGGATTTCAGATAGAATAGGAAGGCAAACAAGTAGCCTACTGTGTCTGTCTAAAAACAAGTAAAGCCTCTTGTTTGCAGGTGACTTCTGTATAATGCTGCTGACATTTTTTTTTTAACTGTGGTTTATTTTGTAACTTTGCCAGCGATATTTTATGCCAGTTTTTCGCTAAGAAGACACAAAATAAGTGCCATGTTGTTTTTCATACCTTTTTTTTTTCCAAAGCTGATTGGATTTTTCGCTGTGAGTTGAATAATGTTAATAATATTTTAATGCATTTTCCATTAAGATCAATACAGCTGTTTTTCATTATCTTTAAATCACTACACAAATAGCACAGACTAAAATTGCACAGTTTAAAAGCTTTTTTGCTGAAGGGCCACCATCTTAAAACAATGTTGCTTTGCACTATCATCTTCATTTTTCAAGCATTTTTAACTAATAGGAGTTTTTACAGACTTAAAATCAACTGTAAATTGTGAGACTGTAAATTAAGGTTTAAACAAGAAGGTAAATAAAGTGTATGATGATACATGGAAAGGCTCCACTGGTGATCAGGTTTTTTTTTTGTTGTTGTTTTGGGCTCTGGGGCTAAAAAGCTTGCTCCTCAAGGATGTTGCAAATGCTCTTATTAACACTATTTAATCACAAAATGATTGTTGTTGTTGTTGTGTGCTGTTAATTCAAATCAATGTAACTGGAAAGTGAATGATAATTCTAATGAAAACAACACTGGAGAAATGCTGTGGTGTATTTGAATATTTGTACTGTCATTTTTCTAATATCAATAAACATTCAATAACCAGTCAATCTGACCTCTAGTCATTTCACTTATTACATAACGTGAGGTATTGATTCATGTGTATTCATTGTCTTTTTTTCTAATAAATGTAATTTAAAAGGAATTCAACCAATAGACAGTGCTCTTAAATAACAGTATGGTTATATCCATGCCAGTCTGTTCATACAGTGCAATACAGTACTGTACTAGTATGATATATATACCTGTGTGCATCCAGTGGTACTCAGTGTTTGTGAATATTAATGCTATGATCTCCTTACAGAGCCATAATCCCATAGAGACAAAGACACAAGTGCATAATCCTGAATCTTCTCCTACAACACTACACCACTGATAGACTGAACACAACTGGTTACACCTTTAAAAGGTCCTGCGATACCCTGAAACTGTCTTAGCTGTATTCTAAATGTTGATTACATCCTGCAGAAACACAAGAAACAATACTATAAACTCCTCAATCACAGATATCCCCAGCTATAGGTCCACGGTTTGAGAGTATTAGGTGAGGTATCTTGACTAATGAGTTGAGAACCTCATTTCAGAGGAGACTCAAACCCAGCTCAGATACAGACCCTTTGACAGAGGTGGAACACAAGTCCAAATCTACCCCCCCCATTTATAAAGCCTATCATTGGTCTCTTATTTCACATCTCTCCCTCTCTCTCTGGTTATGTAATACTGCAGTTGTGCAAAGCTGCTGATGTGACGGATTCAAGTACCTACACACACACACACTAACACACACAGATACCCGTGCCCACTGATCCTCCAGACCTCACTGTCCTCTCTGTGATGGTGTCCTTGTTCTGTCATCATTATTGATGGTCACATTGATCGCTGTCCTGAAAACTGAATTCTGTTAAATGTCACTGAGCTGTCGTATTTTTCAGCATTCCTCCACACTCAAGCCTGTTTTTTATTTGTCAAAATCTTTGTATCTCTGTGTGTTATTGGATGTCACATGGGGGCAAAAGAGAAGGGACAGAGAAAAGGAGAGGGAGAGGTAGCTGGGTTACATCATGTGACCTCGCCAGCTGTTGCTGTACGCCTGTGGGAGAAACAGGGAGGGAGGTGAGGAGTAGGAACAGGGGGCAGCAGGAGAGGGAGGGGTCAGGAGCTTGCCGGTACACAATGTGACTGGTGACAATCCCTTGTCCTGCAGAGAGAGAGCGAGAGAGCGAGAGAGAGAGAGAGAAAGAGAGAGAGAGAGAGAGCAGCCGCAGGGGATGAACACACACTCACACACACTTACACATGCTCAGGCAGGGATGTGAAGGGGAAGCTTGCTCACACACACCTCTCCTGATTCAGCGGAACAGATTTACTCGTCACCTCTCCCTGCAGACTCACGCAGCGAGCCTGCTGCATAACAACACAATCCCAAACCCAACGGCACCTGCCCCTTCCGCTATCGCGCCCGTCTGTCTGCGTAGATTAACGGCTCTGTTACAACTCCGACTGCGTGCTCACTGGCGTCCACTGCAGCTAAGACACGGAGGGGGGAACACGACAGGCTGAGACCCACCAGAGGTAGACGAGCAGCGAATGTAAATGATGGAGAAGCTAAAAAGCCTTGAGCACACTGAGGATGGGCTGCAGGACAAATAGATAACACAAAGAGAAACAAGGGGCTCTCTTTCTGCGTCTTTACCTTAGGACCTCCTGTAGGGAGATGTTGATCATTATGGGATAGATGAACACGATTGACCACTGCTATGGATACCAGCACGCGAAAATTCACAGTGCGGAGATGGTTTTCTATCTACCTGAAGAACAAGGCAGCAAGGAACAAGAACAGCACAGGCTTCTGTCAGCTTGAGGTTTGTCACACTGTTTAGATCTACATACAGGAGCACAACAAACTTCTTACACACGTGACAGCTGCATGTTGTGTGTTTGTGTGTGTGTGGGGAGGGTTGCATCAGTGTTGCACCATGTGTTTGTTTGTTGGCACAAATATTCAGACAAGAGCAGTAGTGAAAAAACAGAAGCAGTTTCATATCAGCGGTGGAAGAGGATATGAGATGAGTCTGTGCGCACATGTGGATGGGTGTAGGAAGAATGTGTGATATTTTGTGAGGGGGGGGGGGGGGGTCATTGCAGCATGGTTACAGCTGTTGCTCCGCCTGCCTGCCTGTCAAGAATCCAAAAAACAGAAGGGAAGAGGGATGCTGTGTGTGCTTTGACTAAGAGAGAAAGAGACACGGGCTAAATGGATATGCAGTCAGACAGACAGAAATGCTAAGAGGCAAACAAGCAGCCAGCCAGCCAGCCAGGCAGGCAGGCAGGTTGATGGATAAATGGATGCAGACAGATTGATTCACTGGACGGCCACAGCAGTGGAGATCTATTTATAGCCCAAACAAGCCAGCAGGGAGGAGAGGAGGGCAGGATGCTGTTTGCAGCACATCTACCTGTATGTTTGGGATAAAAATAGAGGCTCACTCCCCTCCTCCTTCGCTCTTTGTTGTTGTGACTGGGGATAAAACATATCAGACCTTCTACATGTGTGTGTGACTGTTGGTCTCCCTGTCTAAAAGAGGTCTCTTTACTTGATTAACTGCTCCAATGACAGCCCACAGGAGTGTCATGACGCTTTGATGACCCATGTCTGGGAAATCTCTTTTTACTTACCTCCACTTGATGGAAAGGTCAGGGTTCAGGGTCGGCATCTCAAAGGTTTAAACGGAGGCCTTGACTAGCGTGACTCCAGCTGCCCCTGTTCAAACAGTAAAACAGCAATAATGCACACAAGCAGACTTCTGCTGCAGAGCTCTCTGTGGAATGAAACTTTACAGCAAGTCACACCTCAATCACTGACATCACAGCAGTTGATAGTTGTGAAAAACATCTGTATTAAAAAAAAACCCTGAGACTTCAGTTTTAATGTGGGAGGTATTTAATTACCTCTAACTCCCAAATATGTTTTGAAATTATGCTTTTTTTTGCCTTTATTTAGAGAGGATGGAATGGTGAGTTGAGCAGGAAACCAGAAAAGAGTGGGAGATGACATGCATGATAGAGGCAGCAGCTTTGAGTCAAAGACCAAACCACACGCAGGGATGATAGCCTCTGTTAGCCCCTGGACCAAATCAGCAACCCCAAATGTTGTTTTACCTTTCAGTGCAAATACTAACTCAAGAGCTTGGTGCTTAGATATCGCGTCTCATATCCTTACTGTCTAAAAACTGTCTTTATTCTTAAAGTTTTATATTAACCTGTAATCTCTATTTTTTGGCATATTTGCCATGGTAGAATTTGAGCTTCAATTCATTTTGCATATTTGCACATAGACTAATGTGAATACTGTGGCCAAAGATTACTAAAGAAAATCCTTTAGAGACAATATCCTTTGACAAGAGTGGTTGTGCTTTGTGGGGTTTAGAGCTGCATTGCTGCTATGCTGTCAGGTCAGAAGCTGAAATGCTGTCACGTTAGTTTCTTTTTTTTCTTTCACCTAAGGTAACCCTGCAGACCTGCTTGTTGCTACACTTCTCTTAAGAATTAGGCAGCAAAAAAAAGAGTTGTCTTTCTTGTAGAAGAGTAAAATTAGATAGTAGGTGAGAAATATCATTCTAAAAGTTTTCATCTCTTTATTTACACAGGCTAAATCTAAGTGTGACCCTAAGCTTCTGCGGAAAATGTTTCATCTCTTGTCTTTAGATCAAGGTTCAGGATGTGATAAAATTCTTTAAAGGCTCAATCGAGATCTCATAACCTGTTCAGCTGCATGTTTTCATTAGGGTAAACCAAGAGGAAACAAATGTGCTGTTTCTGTAACACTGCTGAGACAGCGCCAAGAAAACTGCTGTCTCAGCTGAAGCAGGTGTGAACTTTTTGAAAGTTTGAACTTTTTTTAAACGGACTATAGTTTAGAAATTATAATACAGTATAACGTTATTACAGGTTGTCATGAGACTTAATTTATCAAGCCAGTTTGCAAGGATTTATTTTTCAGACATTTCTCGATAGATTAGCAACAGAATGGGGGAAAATGTTTTTTTTTTTTGGCTTTTTATCATATTTAGATTTTCTAAATATTGAGGATCTGCAGATACTCAGTCCAACACTTGTATTTGCCTGGATAGTATAACTGCACCCCATGTTTTATTTCCCAATATATACTATTATATTTGATTATTTATGACGCAAAACAAACTTATCACACAATTCAAATGTTTCATTATTTACTTGACTTACCTGTCTTTGTATCTGGGTCCATCAGTGTCGTATTAGTGTGAAGTGGATCAGCCTCATCTGGCCCAAGTGTCATTTCACAGCCCTTGGTACTTTTCATGATCACGGTTCCCTGGTCAGTGGTCTGCTTTAGGAAAGAAGGCAATTCAACATCAGCTGTAGCCACATTTTTTGCACTCAAAGTCTCAGCCATGTGGTTGCTAATGCTAAGTTAACTCCTTGTTTGTGCTGTGCTGCAAATTGTTCCCAGTTTGCAACAGCTGACCTAATGATCAGCAGGAATTGCTGACTACTGATCAATTAAAAACTGCCTGGATAGGCTCAGGAGATCAGGATTGAGACATATCTGCAAAGTAGTGTCACAAAGACTTTCTGCCATAGGTTGGGAGTTGATCTTTTGCTTCTCTGAATGAACTTAAAAGGCTCAGCTCCAATATAATAGAAAATGAATATCCAGTATCTGTTTCAGGGTGTTTGTTCCTAAAAGTGATAAAAAAATGATTCTACTAGGGGTTGATTTATTGTTATTTATCCCTAACTAACAATATTTACACTGCTGCAATTTTGTTCTACTTCTCAGTCCCATGACATGTCTCACAAAAAGTCAAATGTGTCTCTCTTTCCTCAGGAGGACAGTATACTGAAGGAAATCGACATCAGCCACCATGTTAAAGAGGGCTGTGAGAAAGCAGACCCCTCCCAGTTCCAGCTGCTCAAGGTGCTGGGACAAGGCTCTTACGGAAAGGTAAAGGGTATAAATATATTGTCATGATAAAATCTTAGTATTCTAACCAAACCTTATACGAACAGATACCAGGAGGCAGATTCTCTCACATCTATTGGAGGAGGTTGCAAGGACAGACAATCCTAAGGGGACTGAAGAGATGAGTGTTGACTCTCCCACCCAAAAGATTAGCCCTGACACTTAGCCAATGCTGACAGCTCGATGCAGGCTGTCCTTAGTTGCCCAGCTGGCCCAGTAGGTCATCACTAAGGCTGGCTGCTGCAGAGGGGCAGCCTTTCTTCAGTTGCACTCTGTATAATATTTTAAACACTTTTAGGATGACTTTAAATTTAGAATATCTTCATTGAATACAAACATGTTAAGTGAATGCACTCTTAAAAAGATGGGCATAGAAACTGCCACCCAGAGGATTAGCCTTGACCCCCTGCCGACAGCCACCTGCAGGCTGTCCTCACCTGCCCAGCTGGTACAGTAAGAAATGCAAAGTGGCAATTCATCATCAGCTGTGCCCAGTGATTATAATATTGACATAACTTAGTTAATTAGTGTATCTGCTGTAGAATTCAAACTTAAACTTAGACAGAGGCACATTCATTCATTAGTATGCTGTGTGATTGATTTTACCCTACAGGGTTATCTGGGAGCATCTGAGTCCAGTCTGCAGAAATTTGCTGTCTTGCAGACACACGAGCATTCAAGCTGAACACAGATGTTGAGCAATACGGCCTGCTGGCTATTTTTGGCTCAGGAATGAGGGATGGAGGGAGAAAGACTGACTGCTATATGTCTGCAATTAAATTTTGGGCATTGTAGTCAAACTTTTCATTGTTTTCTGTAACATTACAATTGATTGAAACCCTTTTAACAGCAAAAACAGACCATAGGTACATGTCAGCATGTATAATGAGCAGCCAATTACTTTTAGCCAGATTGTTTGTACTGTCGCTTTTTCTCTTTTGTTTCCTAAAAGAGGACTATAGGCTGATGAGACTTGATGACGAGACTGATGAGGTTAACTCTGAGGTGATGCGGTGATATTAATAGTTCTGGGAATTATGATATCATGTAGAGTAAGACTGGTAAGAGCACTTACCCTCCAGTCCAGTAAGGCCGCTGATGGTTTCAATAATCCAGATGGCAAAGTCCGGAATGGCAATCTTGGGGCATGCAGTGGGTGCTGCAGTCATGGTCTCCTCCCCCACTACTTTCATAAAGCTCAGATGTGACCTTAATTTTCATTAAAGAACATTGCAATCATTGATCCGAGATTGTTATTGACCTAGATGCCTTTATGTTGCAAGGACTCAACAGTAATAGAAAATAAACAATTAGTTGAGCAGCAGGCTGATAGTCTATATTCTCATTAAAGTTAACTCTTCACTGAGTGGGTCGAACAGTTCCGCTCTTCTCAAGTCCAGTCCAGTTAATTGTTTTTCTGCTATTATTTTCATTTTCTTTTTTAATGACAGTCACTGAAAATAAAGCCATCTGGCCCTGTTGAAGAATTTCTTCCTCTAAAAATATTCCATGGTTAATTATTTCTGGTTAAGCAGTCTGACAAACGTGTGCCATAGATAACAGGGTTTGTTTAATTTGTAAAAGCCAGATGAATCATCATCAGTGACAGGGTCTGTTAGAGGTCCGCACGGCGCAGAGATAAAGCTCCAACAAATGTCAGTACCGTGCACGTGCTCTTTTCAACTTCGGACATGCACGTGCGCACAGGTAAATTGTGTATTAGGCCACTAGCCTATTAGCTAGCTAATTTATGTCGTTTGCTTTAGCTAAGCTAAACAGGCAAATTGAAGTAGAGGACATTGTTATGTCTCACCGCGAAGAAGCACATGGGGTAGTATTGAATGATAATGGATAGACGCTTACCTGAGTACGGTGGCCCACAGGCGAAGTCGATATTGGACTAAGGTCGGAGCTGCTGCATTGTTGTTTAAGATGTAGAAGCAACAGGTGCGCATGCTCTGACAGACCATAGGCTACACCGAATCGAGGTATTCTACATTAAGTACCACAGTGCAGAAATATTTGGCTAGCTGCGAGTGAAAGCCTCGTATTAAGGCCTGAATAAGTCTGTGTATGAGTATGTATTAGAAAATGTACTTAAATAAATAATAACAATTAAAAAATCTTGTTCTTTGGGTACATAGTTCTGCCCTCAGCCATTGATGTACAGGTCTACTGATTGTAACTGTTGCCACTGCTTCTCTGACGATGATGATCATGATGTTTGTTTGATGGCAGGTGTTTCTGGTGAGAAAGATCAGAGGAGCAGACAGAGGACAGCTATATGCCATGAAAGTTTTGAAGAAAGCTACACTGAAAGGTATGAAAGACAAGTTAAATGTGAATAAGTTATACTTTAGTTAAAAGCCCATTCATCCCATTGGTCCCCTGAATTAATACATTTCATTTTTTTCGTCAAGAGCTGCAGTTTTCATGCACTGTATTTCTTACATCAAAAGTGAATCAGACATGAGATGAAAGATCACACTTAATCATGTTGCCTCAGACAACTTTTCTGTGTTGTTACACTGAAAGACAGAGGGTGGAGTTAAACGTAAATACAAGACAAACAGCCAAGATTGCAGTGGAGCTCTGTCTTGTGATATTTGGATTTAAGCACTAGTGCTTGCAAATATTGTGAATCCAAATTGAAATCAAATACTCAACCCTCAAACAGCACACAATATGCTGCAATAAAAACATTTGCAGAGTGTTTACTCTCTAACATCAACATTGGCTATTCACCGGAAAGAGAGGAGATTTGTAATTGTCTCCGATTGCCCTACATTCAGAGGGATTTGGGGTAAAAGAGGTTGGTTTGTGCTTGTGAAACAGATGAACTGTTTTTGCGTCAAATGGGATTATTGTAAACGAGGATGTACGGTGAAAAAACAGGTTGAGATGCCATGTGCTGATTTAGTGCCTTTGTACCATCCTCAATCCTCTTAACCTGCACCGCTGGAGTTTAAATAGCCATGGTTTCAGTCTGTCAAGGAGACAGATGCTGCAATAACACAATGAACAAAACTCTGCTGTATGGTGCTGCTGTACACCAGCAGCACCATGAGATCAATCTAATTCAATTGACATTTTCCAATTAAGTTAATGCTGTTTCATCCTACAGAAAACCGCATCAGAGGGTTTTTCTGATGGAGGTATAAATAACCGAACATAATGCTGTTAAATAAACACTTCTCCCCTCACTTTCTCCTTTCCAGTCCGGGATAGAGTGCGGTCTAAGATGGAGAGAGACATCCTGGCAGAAGTGAACCATCCATTTATAGTTAAACTGCACTATGGTGAGTGTGAGTCTCTGATGGGCTTCATTTAGTTCTTGATTTACAATCTGACCCGCTGAAGTTACTAAAACATGGATCTTTCATTTGGAGAAGAGAGAGGAAGTGTTGACTAACTCTTAAATTCCTAACATAGCAACACAACCTTTTGAGGTTGTGTTTCCATGTTCTTGAAAACATGGAAAATTTAGAGTAATTGTTACTGTGCAAACATGAGCCTTTCATAGACACCGTTTGGTTCAACCATGGCAGAGTTTCCATTCACGTTATCATCCCTGTTTATAGCCTTGCCCGAGGTTTCAGCCAATTGGATTTATGATGTTCACACACACAAATACAACAGGAGAAATCCTTAAACCCATTTTATAACCAGGAAATCAGTGTCCATCTAAAACAATTCACTGACACCAGTTAACCGTGCGCACACCTGGTCTACCTCAGCATTAATGCAATGTGCAACTTCTACAGTGTAGCCTCTGCATGTGCTGTAAAACTTATGAATATGTGTTAATGTGTCCGTGCAGCCTTCCAGACAGAAGGAAAGCTCTATCTCATCCTAGACTTTCTCCGAGGAGGAGACCTCTTCACCCGTCTGTCTAAGGAGGTGAGTTTGCTCCTGATTGGCTCCCCCACTCTTTACTGTAACATTTACTGAATAAGGAGCTTTTTTATCTTTTCAAGCCTTCACTCTACTGAAGTTTATATTGTGGGTGGTGTGACACCAAGGCTGCCAGTACTTTAAAATCCTGCCATGGAGACCACATAAGTATGTTGGTTGAGCAAAGTGTTTGGCTGGAAATTATTTTTTGAAAGATGGTGCTGTTTTATTTCATTTTCCTGCTGGGACGTGTGATTTTGAGCCAATCGCTGTTCTAGCTGCAACATAAGGCTCATTTTTAGGAACCAGAAATAAACTAAACAACTAAGTCATAAATGAAGGCAGCTCAGTTTTCTGTCATATGAGTCCTAAATACAGTGTAAGACATTTTCATCATAAACAAGGGCACTTTCACTTTCATGTAAGTGAGAAGTATGCATGGATTTCTGAAGGGTTCAGTTTAAGGTTATTTGTTCTTGTAATGTTTTTCTTGTCTTATGAGTTTATCCTTTGTTTTTCATGTTTGAATTGTAACTTATTACATCAAAATGCTGCCCTTGTTGTAGGTCATGTTTACAGAGGAGGATGTGAAGTTTTACCTTGCTGAGTTGGCACTAGCCTTGGACCATCTCCATAGTCTGGGGATCATCTACCGGGACCTCAAACCTGAAAAGTACTTGACCATAAAGATTCCATTTGATATTTCATATTTCATTCTGCTGTGAAGCAGATTCTCATGTTTATTTTTCCCAACAGTATCCTATTGGATGAAGAAGGACATATTAAGATAACAGGTTGGAGCATTCAGCTGAGGACACTTTCTGTCCATTAATGTTTTACTCAGTATGAATTCTTCTTCCTAAACTCCTTCTGACCTCTGTATGTTACAGACTTTGGGTTGAGTAAGGAGGCTATTGACCACGATAAGAGAGCATATTCCTTCTGTGGAACAATCGAGTATATGGCTCCAGAAGTGGTGAACAGAAGAGGACATACACAAAGTGCTGACTGGTGGTCATTTGGGGTACTTATGGTAAGAACTGTCAGATCTTGGGTATCTCTTTGTGACAGTTTTCTTTTCACCATTCATGTGTACATTGGATCTTGAGTCTGAGAGCGTATTCTCTCTTTCTACTGACTTTTAGGTTCTGTCTGATCATGCTTTCAAAGCAGCAGGCATTAATTTCCTTTTACTGAGCCAAGGACTCAGCTCTTAGATAATGAGCCAGTGGACTAGTTTTTAAATTGGCTTTCTTCTGGCTGTAAAGCTGCTTAATTACCATATCTGGCTGATTAAGTTCTATCACTTTCGGTCATCCTGCATCTGTTGAATTTTGCTTGTTTTGTGTAGTTTGTGGCTTATCTTGCTAACAGTAAACAGGGGTGAACATTCGCTGATGGCTGGCAGCTTAACTAGGACACAGAGGGAAGGTTTCAGCCCTGTCTGACCTTGGCTAATAATAGAAAGCATTAAAACAAACAAGCAATAGCTTTTCAAAAAATCCCTGTGGACGGTGTAAAGACTTTGGAAAGTGGCAGACAGTTGTGTAAGGAGCCGATTTATTAGGAATTACGACAGCATTTGAATCCAGAAGCAATTGTGTTTTTTTGTCACACAAGAATTCAAAGAAAACATTTGTTTGTATCTGTATTTTAAAGAATGAAATAAGATATGAAAAGCAAAACTATGTAAACATCTACTAACTTATTACATACAATGCAAGCTGTACACATTTGAAGGGGAATAGGGGAGAGTGGGGTAAGATGAGCCATTTTTCATATTACGGATCACTACATCAAGGCAATCATAGTTTTGTCTGTTACTAGTGTATCTGCATATATTTCAAGATGTTGTGCATCCCTGCAAACCAACAGAATGAGTGTAAATGTCTTTAATTGATTCAGAACATTCACAGCTGTATTTTGAAAAGAAAAAGAAACACATTTCAACAAACTGAACTGAAACTCTGATCCCCTTATCAGACTCCTTTACTTTCTCAGTTGATCCACTGGTTCAACTTACCCCAGAACCACTATTATGACTTTATTAGTCCTCTAAGCTAAGATGGTGGACTTTTATTCTAGGTTTTTGACCTCATGTTGTAGCTCATAGATCCCACAATTGATGATAAAACAAATTTAAAATGATCTTTTTTGGTCTGAACACAATTCTAATCAAACTTACAGACTAAATTCACTTTCAAGTGGAAAAATGTTTTTTGTGGAAATAAATGTCTAGCCCCTTCACCCATGTGCTTCTAACCTTCATAGACTCCATGAATTGATACCCATCTTCTAAATATTTGGTCACATGATCAATTTTCTTTCATATTTCCGAGCAACAGGGAGTGGCTCGACTTACCCTCAGGCTTAACTTACCCCACGCTCCCCTAAGTGGACGTTTTAACATACTATATCCTACCTCTCTATCTGTTTTTTGTCTTGACAAAGGAGTATTCAAAACCACAATGTTAGTATCATGATGAGATGACATATTGGTCAAAGCAAAAAATTTAAATTGAAACATTAAATCAGTTAATACAATCTGTTATTTGATTATTTATCAACACATTCTTATCTATACAATTTTTTTTTTTACTCTAGGATGTTAATTTAAAAATAAATAAATAAAACTTAGTTGATGATAATTTGTTTGGTTTCAGCAGCATGATTTTCAGTACATTGTTTCTTCAAGTTGTGTGAGAAGTTACAGAGGTCTCTGGAGATCTCGGATACTGTCACCAATCACTGTTTGTGTTAGTTGGCACCGTTTCAGCACTGTACATCTTCATGTGGTCCTTTTTGTGTCATATCACTGATAAAGTGAGTTTTCAGACAGCATTTATTTAGCAGGCTGATGGTAATATAGACTATTTTAAGTCATCAGATTTAAGCGGCCCTATTCACATACAAATGAAGACCAATAAGCAAACATGCATTAAGAATATAAATCCAGACACTTGAATTAGATCTTTTCTGACATTTTATATCATCTGTTTTCCAGTTTGAGATGCTGACAGGATCGTTACCTTTCCAGGGGAAAGATCGGAAAGAAACAATGGCACTTATTCTGAAGTGAGCGCTGTTAATACTTGATCATTTCTTAGATCATTTCTCTAGTTTTCTTGAAGTTTTGTTTTATGGCAAACTAGTTTGTCTTTAATTTAGATTTCATAAGTGTTGTCTGAAGACAAATTGTACAACAGTTAACACTTTTGCTTGTGTTTTTATGTTTCATTTGTGTTGTGCTCATTGACACACTTTCAAACACCAGCATGTATGTAGATATAAACCTGTTTTGTGTCCTTTCTGTGCAGGGCTAAGCTGGGGATGCCACAGTTTCTCAGTCCTGAAGTGCAGAGCTTGTTGAGAGCGCTCTTCAAGAGGAACCCTGCTAACAGACTTGGTAATGTATATGAACTTGAAGGGCTGAAGGTTAAAAAGGACAAGAGCTGCTTCACTTACACAAACCTGTGAGCTAATGCTGTTAGACCTGATCCTGATGTGGAGGAGTAAAAAAGTCTGGTCTGGACTTGGTGAACAAAGCTTGTAGAAATGTCACTTTCACAAAAAACAGGCGTGGAGCTACAACATGATTGTCACCATTTCCACAGTCCCCATTCATTATTCCAATATTGTTAGACAATACCATTTATATCTGCAATGTCCAGGCGAACAGACCATATAGAAGTCCATTCACAGTTTGGCAGAGTACACAAAAGACTGATTCTCTCTCTCTCTCTCTCTCTCTCTCTCGCTCTGTGCCCTTCTTTGTGACTGATAGGAGCTGGACCAGATGGGGTGGAGGAAATAAAAAGACATCGCTTTTTTGCATCGATAGACTGGACTGTGAGTAAAATTCATATCCTCACTGCTTCATAATTTAAAGGTGCACAACACTGTGGGTTTATAGAGTGGGATAAAACTCAAGAGTACCCTCAAACAAAAAAATAAAATAGAATAAAGCAGCTCTTGGCAAGTGTTTTTGTGTTATTTCCAGGGCTGTCAAATTTAACGCGTTAACGCAGAGTAATCCATCATTATGATTAATCTGATTAAAAATTTTAACCCAATTAACCCATCTGCAGCATAGAATGATTCTAAATCCCTGAAACTTCCCAGGTAATGCCTTTCGAACAGTTTGTGCAAGTAGTGTTACCGTCGCATATGTGCAAATGAGCAGTTGATCCGGTAGTGTAGGCTCCAAACATGACATGACAGGTTAGTTTTATGTGATTTAAAATTTGCAGCTGTTTGTACATTGTACGTATGCTCATGGCTCATTAAACATACTCGGTATAAGATTTTTCTTAGTGGTAAAATCCTTCCCCTGCCTCTGTTCTTGCCTAAGTTTGTTGTAATTAATCCTCTTATCTTTAATAGCTCTTATGTTTGCTCATGCACAAATCTTCTGGTTACACATTACCTGCACTATCACAATCTAACCTTGACATTAACTCCTAAAACATGAGCTGCATAAATAGGATCATTATTCTTTCAACAGAAGGGGCTCCTGCCTCAAGCTTTGTTTTTGTAAGTAGCCTGTCAAACGTTGCTGAATCTTACTCTGCAACAACATTTGCCTTGGGCAAACTTGGGAGCTATTCTTGCCACAGATCATGTACAAGAGTAGAGGGTCATAAAATAAGCTTGGCAGCAGTGCACGGCAAGATTAGCTGACATGAACACATAAAAGGCTGCACGGAGCAGCTTTTTCTCTTTAATGTTGGTATAATTGAGAAAGCCCAGCATTGAATAATCCCATATTTACTCTTATTTATAGAAGAACAAAATCTGTTAAATTGCCTTCTGTCAGATCCTTTCAAAGCTGAATTTTGTTTCAGAGATTTTCAAAAGTCTTGTGACATTTGTTTATCCACTCTTCTGAGTAATGGCTCTGTAATTTTACTTCTTACTTCAAAATCCACTTTTATCTGCCTCACATGTCCACTTATCTCAGCCCTCATCATTGGCTCCTACTGGTTCTTCTACCCACAGCACCCCACCCTCTCAGCACCACAATCTTTAACTTAACAGGTGTTGTTGTTATGGTTTAATTCAATAAGTTATCAATGTAAGGTCGATGTCCACCTCCACACTTAGCTAATTAAATCAGGCAAAAAGCTTCCTCTGATAGTCATTACTATCTATTGACTTTTTCTCAGTAAACCTGCAGTCTGTTAGTACATGTCCTGATGTCTGAAAAGATTACTTCGTGAAACCTTTCATGGACTGCAGCCTCTCTTTCCCTCCATCTGTACATGACAAAAAACAGGTTTCAAGTTTAGCATGATTATTCAGGTGGAAATTTGTGTAGTATACTTTGTATGTTGCAGAAGCCATCAGAGAGAAGCAAAATGTATTACCTCAATTAGTCAGAATAATTCAAGGTGGCCAAGTTAAATGAATATGAGTCAAAATAGGACAAACAAATAGAGTAAGAGACAGTCAACTTCAAAATATGAGTGATTAAAAATCTAAAGATTATACAATCAAACGATTTAGAAAAATTTAGACACAAAAAACACTGTGCATCAGATAGCAGGAACAAGTCTCCTTCTTTATACATTAATTGTGCTCTCCTAATATAAATGGCTGCTATGAATGCAAAACCTCACCAGACTACAAGCAACAAGTGACGATGCAAGGGTGACACCTGCTGGTGTAACTTAATATTACATCAGGACAAAAGAAAAAGGACATGAACATTCACTCTGTCCTGTTGTACAACGTAAAATTACACCATGAAATGTATAATTAATGAATCTCTTTCATCACATCACATCTTTTATATCCAGAAGATTTAAATTATCTTTGGGCTTTGGCATTTTTTTGCCCTCTAAATTAAATGTTTAAGATTCAGCTTCAATGCAAGTGGATATTTGTGAAGACTTGCATGACTGTAGCATCAGTCTGGTGTGAGGTATAAGACAGTAGTTGGTGAAACAGTCCTTTAATTTGTTTATTTATTTTTTTACAGTGTATCAAGTCATTTCATGCAAAGGAACAGATGTTCAACAGAATAAAACCAGAGTTTGTTGGTTTTACTATCAAACTAAAAGTTTGATTTTTTCTGATTAAATGTGATTTCATGTAAATGGAGCCAGCTTGTGGTGAAAGCAGATATACTGACACAATCTTCGATGTTGCTTCATACAGAGGTTATACAAGAAAGAGATGAGGCCTCCTTTCAAACCCACAGTGGGGAGACCTGAAGACACTTTCCATTTTGACCCTGAGTTCACCTCCAGAACACCCACAGGTAACTAACACATGTCAAACACACACATACATACATGAAAGTATATAGTGCATGAGATATGTTTTTACATGAAATTCAATGAATTCAGTATCTAAGTAAATGTATCTAGTGGTTGTTATAGCTGGTGATACATTTAAACCTAAATGTTTGTATTTGTAAGAGTGGTGAGGATATTTTTGTATCATCTTTGCCCATCAGATTCTCCTGGAATCCCACCCAGTGCAAACACACACCAGCTGTTTCGTGGGTTCAGCTTTGTTGCACAAAATCCAAATCCAGAGTCAAGTGTTGCTACAGTTGCGCCATCTCGTCAGGAGTTGGCGAACATCAACCCTATTGCACAGGTAAACGTCTTTCAGCAAGCAGCTGCTCTTTTTTCACTACATCTAATAAAGTAATGAATATCAGACAGTTCAGATTACATCTTATCTTTAATTTTAACCGTTTGAATAATTAAGTCCTAATATTTAATGAGCTCACATTCCCAAACATTACCCTCATAAATCACAGCCAGCTATCTTACTACAGCGGCTGACTCCTAAGAAAAAGCAATTACTTTCTCTCACGTTCGACAAGACTCTGATACTTCTGACCAGAGCAGGTTTGTGTAATATTAGAAAAAGGTGTGTGTCTATGTTTCTGCAGCATCTCAGAGGGGACGTGGCCTTCAGTGATGTTTATGAACTCAAGGAGGAAGTCGGACAGACCACGACTTCAGTCTGCAGGAGGTGTCTGCACAGGGTTACGGCTGTGGAGTACTCAGTGAAGGTGAGATGAGATTGCTGTATTAGGGCTTATGATACAATATACTTTGTTGCCTCCTTGGGGAAAAGCATCCTGGACTCATCCAGAAAAGATCCATTATAGAAAATGAATGAACATAATAATGTTAAAAACGAGCAATAACCCACATGCAAACAGAGAGCACATACTAAGACCACCACAGCTAACAAGCAACACATATTGCTCATTACCTATATCGCATAAGGGAATAGCATTGTAAGAAAAAGATAAAAGCTAATAAGACAAGTCTTTCATGACACTACTGCACAAGCCCCAAAGCCCCAAGACAGGTGGGTGGGTGGGGGGTTGGGCAATAGTGTCATATTTAGATATACAGCCTTATAAAATCATATATTTTTAAATCAGGCCCCATTTTTGCAGATTTAAGAATCTCAATGAATATTTGACCCCAAAGAGTTTTGGAGCGGCTCAGTTACATTTCTACATTTTGCATCGGAAAACAGGCTGTAGTAGATACAAGATATTTCTTCAGATTAAACGTTTCTGATCAAATTTTGTCATGCTGTCACTGACTGATCCAGATTTTTATTCCAAGTAGCGGACAATAATAAAGAAAGTATTCTCAATAAGATAGACTTATTCATCCACACTGGGTCCCAGAGTCCCAGATAAATGATTTAGATCCATCATGATGTGCATGAGACACATTAACACAAACAAATTAACAAATGAATCCAGATGTTAACAAACAAATCCCACTCTGCAGGGGAAAAAAAAACACTGTTGTTATCAATTAATCAATTTAATTCTTCTGAATCTGAAGAGAGTAATTTGAAAACTGTTTCAAGTTTAAAAGACAAGCATCTGTCACTAAAATGTACATTATAGACTCCCACATTAAAATAACAATCTGAGCCATTTGCTGGAAATAGTATTTAGTGAGCATACTTTGGTTTGGTACTTTTGTTAATTATGACATTACAGTCTTTAAATCTTTTCACTGCAGCTGCCTGAAGGGACTTAATAAAACAAATCCAAAATTATTTAACCTTGTTACTATTTAAACATGTTATTAAAAAAGTGAAGGTTCAAAGATATTAGTAGAGATAGAAGAATTATATCATATATCTAAACATTATATAGCTAAAGAGACTGTTTCCAAATAAAGGGTCAGAGTCTTTGTCAAACAGAAAAGGTCATGTGACTGGAATTGTCAGAGCTTCACAAATGCCTCAATTAGCACTTCACTAAAAAGTTTGATTCTTAAAATGTCTGTTGGGACATTTATGAGATAAGAGGAGAGGAGATTAACCAAGAAATAGCAGCTGTGATAATTAACAAGAAATCCTTTTTCCATCTCCAGCTGATTCTAATTAATCACATAATACAGTAATCAGCAAAGTTAATAAAGAGGAGTCTCGAACAACAAGTTAACTCCATCACATTGCAACTATAAACTGTCAAATCTCAATTGTTAAGCTTTGTATATTGTGCAGTATTTTGCACAGTATACAAATGTTTTTAAAGATGCATATTAAGTATTAACAGTTTTTGTCATAGGATATTAAAGCGTTAAAGAGCTCATCGTTTTTATATTATTAAGTCATGTGAGTGTGATCATTGCTCTGAGTGAAAAGGCTGCACACAAGCACTAGCATTTGTGCATCCCTGCAATATCAATTAAGAGATTAAAAGACACAATGCATAACATATCCTGTTTGTTTTTTGTCAGATTATTGAGAGAGCAAGGAAAGATCCTGCAGAAGAGATTGAGATTCTGTTAAGATATGGACAGCACACAAACATCATCACCCTGAAAGATGTAAGGCCTCTCCAACCATTAAAAACATACTGTGACTACCACCAGAAACATCTCATTCATCCTCTTAGCAGTTTTACAAGCCGAGCCCTGTGTGTGCTTCAACCATCAGGTGTTTGATGATGGCCAGTTTGTGTACCTGGTCCAGGATTTAATGAGAGGACAGGAGCTGCTGGACAGAGTTCTGACTGTGCCAAATTTCACTGAGAGGGATGCGTCAGACATCATCTGCACACTGACCAAGACTGTGGAATATCTGCACTCACAGGGGGTAAGGCACAATGAGAAAACCAAGAGAAACTGAAGGGACTGCCTGTAAATTTCCTTTAATGCAGTTGATAGCTTAGCTTTCATTTTTCATCTATTATATACCTGTTTTTCTTTACAGGTGGTACATCGAGACCTGAAGCCGAGTAACATTTATTACTCTGATGACAGCGGACTTCCAGAGAGCATCAGGATATGTGACTTTGGTTTTGCCAAACAGCTCAGAGCTGAGAATGGCTTACTGATGATCCCCTGTTACACAGCCACATTCATGGCTCCTGAGGTAAACACAAGATTCACTAAAAGTTATGATGCAACTTTCAAAAAAAAAACATCACACCAAAAACTAATCCCACCATGAACTCTCTTTACATGACTCCTGTGTGTCTGTAGGTTCTGAGAAAGCAAGGTTATGATGCAGCCTGTGACATCTGGAGTCTGGGGATCCTGCTCTACACCATGATAGCCGGGTCAGTCTAGAGTTTATTAGCATTTTAAACTCACACAGCATGTTTTAGTGCAGCTGAGCTCTCTCCGATAAATAAGTAAACTGCATCTAAAGCTCCCCCTGCTGCTATAAACTGGTTGTGTTTTAAATACAGCCCCCTATAAAATAGAAATACAGTGCACAGCTTATTTTAGCCTTGACCCATCAATGAATATTACCTTTTACTTTCTCTACATGGGGTTTTATTGTCTCTGGATTCAATTATACCAGCGCTTTTATTTCAGTTGTAGATTTCAGAGAGCTCTGCCTGCATATGTCTGATTCATTTTCTGCTGAGTTGCTCTGTGTGAATTTTTCTTTTTTATGTTGTTCTAGTTTCAGTCCATTCGCCAGCAGTTCTGAGGACACAGCAGAGGAAATTCTGGCTAAAATCGGCAGCGGGAAATTCATCACCACAGGAGGAAACTGGGATCTTGTATCAGAGGCTGCCAAGGTTACTATATTACATACTTTCAAGACAGCTGTATTTCTGTAAGCATATTGTATCTTAATGTATAATATCTTTTTTTTTTTGTTCTGCAACTTTTTTTAGGACATCGTGATCAAAATGCTTCATGTGGACCCTCATCAACGCCTGACTGCGCCCCAGGTACTTTAATTATTTTAATATAACTTGGTTTACTTTGACAGGTTATAGACCCCCCACACTATTAACAATCTTCACTTTAGGTATCACAAAATCAATAAAATACATGAAATATTTATGCTTAATTAATCTTTGTGTAGTGATGAAAATAGTTGAGAAAATAATCCGACACAGTGCATATCGTTTCCATGCTTATCTCACAGGTATTCCTACAGTCAACCCTTATGAAACTTCAGTAAACTCTTTGATAACTTTATCTAAAATGTAAAATATTCATGTGCTTTTACGTCCCTCTATAGGTTCTCCGCCATCCCTGGATTGTGGACAAAGACCAGCTGTCTGACAAAGCACTCTCCAGACAAGATGCACCTTCTGTTAAGGTCAGACCTGTTTATAAAGTAAAAATAATTGGAATATCAGACTAAATATTTAACATCCTCAGAAACTCTGTGTTTTTATGTGTTTCTATTCTGCGTCTTGATTGTACAACAACAAAAATGTTAATGCTCTGACATAGGGCTGGGCAATAAAACTATATCGATGTATATCAAAAATGAATTTCCCTCAATATCAATATAAAACACGGTCAATATGCTTTTTGATAGTCGGCATTCTGTCATGTTTTGGTAGAAATGCAGATGTAGGCTCATCAGATGACAACATCGTCGACAACACTGGCATGAAAACGATTTGGTTTTTTGAGATTTGACATGAAGCAGAGTAATGTGTACTGCAAATTATGTTGAGTACATGTTCTCGCAAAGTCGGGGAATGCCTCAAATCTTTTTCACCACCTGAAGCAGTGCCACACGACAGAGCACGCATAATGCAAAAGGTTACAAACCCTGAGCGGGGCACGGAGCCCATGGCGCCAGTGCAGTAGAAACAGCCGACCATTCAGTCCACTTTCTCTAGCACAACGCCTTACGACAAAACGTCAAAGAGACACAAAGACCTCACAGAGGAAGTAGTTTATTGTATTGTAAAAGACATGCTACCAATAAGCACTGTTAAATTTCATATTTTCATATCGTGATATATATTGATATCGACTGATATGAAAAAAATATATCATGATAAACTTTTTTCCGTATTACCCAGCTCTACTCTGACATTTATTAGTGTTTTTGTCAGCTTTGGATTGCTCAAATTAGGGGGGTTTGCCAACATTCACCCCACATGTCCAAAAAATCTCTCATTTCAAGATCTTATTTATAGCCATAAAAAAGATCTGCTTGTTGAATTGCTTGTAATGAGCAAAAAAAATGTCTATTGAATTAGACTAGTCAGTTATTCAAAAGTCAGCTGTCAATATACAGCAAGGCAGGAGGCTGACCTTGGCTCTGTCATGAGAAAAGCCACACTGCCAGGGACAACAGGTGATGTAGGCAAAGGAAGTCTGAGCCGTCTCTGATTTGCTGCTTGCAAATGTACATAAATGAAAAATTACCTGGGTTATTTAAGTAGTGGTGTGTGTCACCATCAACACTGGTTATATTCATGTAGCCTAATATATCAGGACCCTTGGATGAAAAGGTAACTAGTATAAATTAGTAGTTGTGAAGCCCCTAGCCCAAAAGGACTGTGGTGATGATGTGTCGAATTTTTAAAGCATTAGTGTGCTAAAATACAAAAAAGATGTTTCTCTATCTGTCCATGTAGTGGCATTATCTGCCTGTAATGAATTATATGATTTGGCTACTTTTTACACAATCTAATATATTCTCCTTTTTCCCACCAGGGGGCACTGTCTGCCACTTACTCAGCTTTGAAACGCTGTGCTCCTGCACCTGTCCTGGAGCCAGTTCAGTCTTCGAGCCTGGCTCAGCGGAGAGGGATGAGGAAACTAGGGAGCCCCAAAGCTGAGTCAGATCCTAAAGGAAAGGAGCAGCCTCACCAACCCAAGTGAATTTCTGAAGAAACCAAACACTCGCTGATGTGATTCAAGATTTGGATGGCCTTCTGCACAAGCACAAACTTTTTTAAGAGCAGTCCTGACTTCAGAATCAGTTCAGTTCACTCAGTTCAAAAATTAATCCTACATGGTGGGATAAAAATCCAGTGTGGGGCTATGAATTACAACAAATCCCCACATGGCTGTAGAAGTCGACTTTTATGAGCCTTAACTCACACTTTCTTTGTCCTAAACAAAGCAGGATCAGTTTTATTCTGCATGAGACTTTAAAGGTAGTTGGACAACCAGCAGCTTTACAAGTTCTTTATTTAAGAGCAAACATCTGTGTAAATCAACCATCTCACCACATGTTGCACTCTAGCTCTGTGACAATATTTCTCACTGTCTAATAATGGCAATAATATTGCAGGGAAATAGATCTGTTATATTTGGGCCAAACTTCAGCCTGGCCATGCATGTTGGAATACAATATGAGCTGTAGTGCAATGTTCATAGACTAACTCTTACCCACTCTGTTCTGTATTACAGCTTCAGCAGCTTGACAAATCGTTCTTATCATCAAAAATGTGAAAAGTTGTATTCAGTGCCACACACACTACGCCAACTTTCATATGAAGCTCATACATGTACCAGACGTTCAGCTCTGACTTTAGATATGTGCTAAAGTAGATTCTATGTGATGAAAGGGTTACTGTCATTCAAACTATGTTTCCATGAAGCTTCTGAAGTCTACAGAGTTATGCATGTTCAAAATGTAAATATGCTACCAAAGGGACTTAATCCTTACCTTCATATTGCCATTGAAGTCTTATTGTTCACAATATGGTTAATCATTTGACTGTGAGTGTTGCCGTCTTCCATGAACTCCGCCTTTGACTCTTATAAAGTTTATTGTTAAGTGTTTTACTCAGAACTGCGAGCTATGAAGGCGTATACGTCGAAGCATTTTCCTGTTTTTTTTTCTGTGACATATTCAAAGTGTTACTTGGATTCAGACTACTCTGTTCATTAGTTTGTATAAGGAACTCTGTATTGAGTGTGATTGCTCATTTTCCTGTGTGTGCCTCAGTGTCCGGTGTTTGCAGTAGGCTCCTGTTCGCTGTTATTGTCTGAAAGCTGAGATCTTGCACAGTGTCAGAGGATTATACGTACTGTCTCTTGCTGCGGAACTGTTTGATTCTATGAAGTCCTATTAATGCAAATACGAGGTAAGACCAAACAGGGTGATTTGTAGATATGATGAGTAGCACACATTGTGTTGTACAGTTTACCAGTAGGATTATAGATTATGATGCTCAACCATTACAACACACAAAAAGCAGTTAGCACTGTAGCAGTGTTACAGTAAACCTGTACATATAATGTTGTCCTTAAACAGACTCTATGTGTTGCGGTGCATTGCACAACTGTCTAAAGAGGAGCTGAGACTGATGCATTGAAGGTTGTAGATACTGTGTAGTATATGTTAGTAGTAGCGCTGTAAATAATGGTAACTCAAGACTGTACATACTGTTGTGCTGAACCAGCATTAAAGAGGTTAGATTGTTTATGAATGGTGTTGCACACCTTTAGAGAAGCTGTACATAATGTGTTTGCAGATAATATATTGAGATTGTACATATTCTATTGTGTTGTGCATCCATTGCTCAAAGTGTACATACTGTCTATATCTGGCCAATCAATAAAATTATTGGCTAGAACGCCAAAGTTTTACAAATAAAGGAAAAGACTGGAAACAACTTTGGGAAATTGAGTTTTTAATCGCATTTATGAACCAACATCTGCAAAAATAGTTTAACCATTTAATTACTGTACAGCCTTTATGCCCTGATAATGTTTACAAGTTTAAACATAAACAGACCAGCCAGTACATCACTTAGATCACAGACCTTTTATAACATCTGACACTAGTGATGGAAAAAAAAGAGATAAACAATCATCTGTGTCTTAGTAATAATATTTTTTTATAGCAGTTTTAAAAACAGAGATTTTTAAAATGCTTTTGACAAAGAGTCAAATAGTCATGATGAAGCAGCTGCAACATCCTCACCAAACTGAAGAAGGGAATTAAAGGAGGAAGAAACTCAAGAGGGGCTGAGGGTAGGTCTGGACAAAAAAACTCAGTTTATGATTTTTATTGATTTTTCTTCATCTCCTATAAATAAAACCACAAGATGACAAAGCATAACTCTGAACACTGTGGTTTGTTTGAGGTCTAATACTTTAAAACCAAACCACTTCCAAATGACTGATGAGGTTTAGCCTTTTTTGGGGAATAGACTCTCCACTTATGCAAGCAGCCGTGTTGCTGTTGTGTTTGTTTGTCTCTGCAAGAAGTAAGCGAGGGGAGAAATAGGGGGCTGTGTTGAAATAAGAGCCCGGCATAGTGGCAGAGGAAGTAACAGAGAAAATACAGGTTTTCATTTTTGTTTAACCAACAAAATCAAAAATGCAAATAAATCCATTGATCACAAAGCCCTAGTTGATAGTAGCATTCAACTTCGACTCATCAAAGTGACATCTTCTGAAAAAGTTTGAGTACAATTTAAAAGAGATAAAGGAGGTTACATGAGGCAAGAAATCAGCTACATGATGGTAGGTTTGGTTTACAACAGGCACATGCCAGCAAGTATGAAAGCTAACACTCAAATGCACTGATGTAAATCAAATGTTTTCATCTTTAAAATATACTTTAAAAATAAAACAATAAATACTTTGATAGGAAATAAATATGCATTGTATGCACACACGCATGGTACGAAAATCTATCCAAGATATTCTCTAACATGCAAACATGAAATAAACTTATTCAGAGATCAATATTTTTTTCATATTGCTTCAAAAGTCCTCCGTGAGAAGCTGATGGACACATGAAATTTAATTTCTCACTGTTGAGAGTTCGGTTAAATAATAATGTGACTGCAAGTTCCTGCCAGTGCCACTAGATGGCAGCCAATCATCTCTCTATCATCCATTGCCAATCTCTCTCTCTCTCTCTCTCTCTCTCTCTTTCTGTTTCTTACCAGAAGTTGTCCCTTAAGAGCCATAATCCCTAAAAAAAAAAAAAAAAGAAAAGAAAAGTAGAAAACACTTTAATTTATATCAACCACCAGGCTCACACTCTGGTCCATAAAAGCTTTTAGCAGGCGCTGAGCTGATGTGTCAGGTGGGTGTGGCCGGCTCATCAGCCCTGACATTTAAGTGCAGTAGTGCTCAGAGCAAGAGGGAATGTAGGATATGAGTAGATACAGATGACAAGCCCCCCTGTGAAGATGATTGCAGTGGATTGACAAGAGGAGACCAAACAACAGATAGAGGAAGTAGAAGGTGTCGGGAGGGGAGACATGAAAGGCAAAAGATAGAAAAAGAGCTTTGACAAACAATAACTCAACCCAACAATTACAGCAGCTCTGTCAGAATTTAGATTAGCTTTCATAAGAGGAGAACTTTACAATAGTTCACTCATGTTACAGCAACTCTGTCTAAGGTCATTTATGTTATACTGAAATTAAAAACAACATATTGCTGCATCTCAAACAATCATAATAACAGGTTTTGATCTTCGGAGTTACATAAATGTGAAGAAATTACATACAAGTGGAATCAATGATAATATTTATAAGTACAAATAATCACATCCTTGTGAACCAGAGTACTTGAGGTGTTGTTCTGGAGCAGGACTAAACCTCTGACCTACAAGGAGGTGATACTGAAAAGTCTATCAGATGTTTTATCATATTGAAGAGAAAGAAAAAGTTCTGTTAAAATCAAAGAGAAAACATCTGTGATGAAATTTCAGTAAGCACAAACGTATGGTGGCAGTTTTCCAAGTGACTGGCTAAACTGAAGTGTATGACAGGGTCTTCTGTACATTTTGTTGTTAAATTGATGTTATTATTTTACAAAATGTGCCTCTACAGCTTATGAATGACTTGGAGGTGGAGAACCCCCAAACAACAAGATCAAAAAAGAATTTGGTCCGATGAAGTTTGTTGTAAAAAGTCGAAAAGCTAATACTACGAGATCAACAGAGCACCAGGACTCTAGTATCATTGAGACTGCATTTCAATATTACCCCTGTCAACTGTTGCTGGGTAGTATCATTTAGCACATTATTCCAGGGTCCACGCCAAAAACACTAATGGCAGTGTAAGTGTCAGCTGATTATGAAATTCTCTGAGCTGTACTCTGCTTTCAGAAAGCTGTTTGTTATTCACTATTTCCTGTTGCAACACAAATAACCTCTTCTGCTGCACAGTGCATTAGTCAGCTGTTTAAGTCTCTGCTGGCTCCAAACATGACAAAAATATAACCAAAATGAAAATAAAAAAGAGTGATTTTCACAGCAATGATGACATGCTGTTTACTGTGGACATGAGAGGACACTTGTACAGGTCCACAGTTACCTGGTGGTTCAGGAGTGTGAACTATGAGCTCCCTTTCTCTAATTTTCATAAAGCAGAAAACCAGAGAAGCTGAATAGAGGTGCGTCTCAAAAGTAAGTTTTCAAAAGTATTTCAAAATAAACCATGTCTGTTGAGGGGGAGAAGTGAGATGAAATAACAAACTCTACACATATCACTGTGTCAAGTGGAAAATGTTCAGTAGCCTCTTTATTTCTCTAAATAATTTCAATTTGGGATTAAAAAATATCTGTTTAATGCATGAAAGAAACAGACCCAAACAGATGACCAGTGTACAGAAGAACATTTAAGTATTGTGTTTGAAAAAATGTGAAGAGAAGTTTGAGAAGTTAAGATGAACAAAAAAAGTGTACTCCTACACTAACATCTGTGTTTGGGTTGGAGTTTCTCAGAATCAGCGAAGTTTACTTGGTTGAGCTGAGCTTGTCTGCACTGGTTGATAGCTGGGCTGAAGTGCTGGTGCTTCCCAAACCGAGAGGCCGAGCTGACTGGGATGTTCAGTGAAAAATACACTATACTGACAAAGACCTCACATAACCCAACCACAACCGAAAAACACATATCCTTTTTGTCAAGGATTTTTCCCCTAATCCCTGAAAATAGATTCACATGACCCCTTGGTTGATTGATTTCTTAGGCAGAACTATTGGAAGTAGTTCCTAGTAGAGAGCAGATCTCTCCAATGAAAGGCCATTTCAGATGTAAAAAAAATTCTATAGGGGATAAAAACCTAAATACCAGGAAAACAAGGAGCGCTAAAACCTGGAAAGATAAATCTGGATTCAGTCAAACTCTGATAAATATATTACATTAAACCGACCTCAGAACGTAAAATAGAAACACTTCTTCCATTTGTATCTGTATCTGTCCCTCTTCTGCTCAACATCCCTCCTCGAAACAGAGTTCTGAAGACAAGCGACTTACACACTGTGACAGGGACGGAGATCCCACCACCTATGGCACTGGATGGGCACACACACACACACACACAAAGAGCCTCGGACACCCTGTGGCACTACAGCCAGACCTGCCACTCGGACGTTCAGCGAATCAGACGGACAAATCTGTAACAGACGGCTCCTGACAAAGAGATTATCACCGTGACAGGAGAAGCGTGTGCAGCTGTGGGTGGTGGAGTTTACAGCGGAGAGGTGGGGGTAGGGAGAGAACTCTGTGTACATTCACACATTTGGCTTTCCTGAACCACCGAGCTGGTGTTTGGAGTCAAAGTCAAACTTACTTCAGTGTGAACATGAGAGGAAAACAGCTCAGTGTGCTCTGCCTGTCAATCTTCTGTGTTTGTGTCTGAGAAGAAAGGAGGGACAGAGTTTGAGGGACAGAGGAGGGATTAGTCTCCAACACAAAAAAAGAAAAAACTGTATATGAGAAACAGAAAAATGGGAGATCTTCGTATGACAGTATAATCTTGAAGAGCATTTCCCGAAAGTTGAAATATACCGCCCTGATTGGGAAATTTAAGTCATTTATTTGTTTTCCTTTGCCAGGGGACAGGATTCAAAAATACCCACAAAAAGCCTCTATCAAAGTTTGCTGGTACGCTGCAGAAAACAATAACATGCTTCGGACCACTTTAGGGTTTAAATCCTGTCACAGTTAGTGTAATGATGTATAGTGAGTAGGTGGTTATGTCAATTATAATCCTGAGGTCTACTCTCACTATGAAGTGATTCTAATTATGTTTACCAAATTAAGTTGTATACAAGATGACACATTGATTAAAAAGACAGTTTCATTGATTAAAAGAAATAATCATCTATACAGCTTAAAACACATGTGTCTGTTTGTATCTGTGTTTCTGAGTGTCTGTCCAATACCACAGTCAGTGCTGTGTATCTTTTCTCTCTATGCCGGTGTCTGTTTATATATAAATTACTGTGTGTATTGTCGTATGCAGCATTAATTGTTTGGTTGTGGGTCTGTACAATCATCTCTGGACTTTCATATTGGACAACTGCTAACACCCCCGAGATTAAAGGAGTGTGTGAGCAGTGAAATCAGGCTACATTTCAATTCACAGTCAAGTTAAAACATTGCAAAACATGCAACTGTTGTTAACAGTAATAACACATTATAATACCTGACCTTGTAAATCATGATAAAATGCTTTATAATGTGTTATGATTATTGCTATAAAACATTATGATCATTCGTGAGTGTTCACAACTATAGTTATACAGTGCTATAACGTGATTATAAAGCATTATAAATATATTTATGATGCATTACAGAGATAGGTGTCAAGTAAAGTGTTACCAAATTACGCACCCCATGTACTGGGACTACAGCCCTCAATCCGTTAACAAGCATTCATTTCCAGCCCTTTTCCACCCTCTCCTCTCTTTTCCTGCTCTGTCCACTGTCCCATCTCCCAACTAAAAGGCATAAAATACTACTTAAAAAATCTTACTGCTTATTTGTCAAAACTCACATTTAATTGAACATTTCCACCAATAGCGAATGTTAGACAAGGTGAGCGGGATACGTCTGTCCTCCTCAGTCAGCGCTCCTTCTCCTCTGAGCCTTCAGTCGACACACCTTTGAGCAGAAATGAAACAAATTTCACAACTCTTGGTATTTGCTGTTGTCATTACAGCCATTTACAACATTTGTGTAGCTCTGGATTGCAGGTCACGATGTGATCCACTTTGGCTATCAGAGAGTGTTGGGATCCCGTAGCTCTTCTGGCTGCTTTCACATGTACTGAGTAACTTTCGGTATTTCTCACCTATAGACCGCCTGAGACAAGAATAACTGTTTTACTACGTAAACCAGTTGAACAGTTTTTGCCACAGGTAAAATTTGCCCGACTCCTTTGCACAGATTGATTTAAATGATGTGTTTTCTCTGTTGAGAATTAACTGTGTTTTAGAGTTTTCAACCATCAACTATTTAAGACTGTCAGGTAAGAACTGAACCCAGAAAACACTGTATTTCTGGACAAAATGTTTGAAAACCTACAAAGAGTGGAGATAATGTCATTTGTTTCAATTTTGGTCTAATGTTGCACAATATTTTACCAATAACCCCACAAAGAGTTGCTCTGTTTGCACGGATGTACTAAGCAGCCACTGCAGATGAAATGATTGATGGCACACAGTTTGATATTTCCTGACACAGTTTTGAATAAACCCACAAATTGCTGCCATAACGGTGATATAATCATGTAATCCAAACACAAATATGCTCACAAGTCAAAAGGTGCCAGCGGAGGATAAGTGAAGCTCTGCAGAAAGTCAATTAATCTTTTCAGCGGTCCCCCTTCCCTCCACCCTGCTTAAAAGCTTCATTTACCTCCTATGGAGAGGAGATAGAAACACCATTAGTGAGATGATGGCAGGACTGGAAAGGGGAGAGGAGAATCTCACAGTTGGATGAGCTGAAACAGTATAGGCCCCCGTCTCCTTAAAAAGTGTGTGTGTGTACGCGAAGAGGCGAGAGCATCTTCTGCATGGGTGAGCTCAATTAGTTTCTATCTTGATTATCAAAGGTAGTGGTGTACAACTTTTAAGGCGGAAGTACGCCTCGAATCCCGGGGATGGCACAGGATGGGTTGACCTGCAGAGTGGAGGGAGAGTTAGACTGAGGAGATATTGCTTTGGGGTTTTCTGCCACATGGAGGTAGCGCACAAGGTGAACATTAGGGGACAAGACCCCAACCATTATTTCCATATTCAAACCCGAGTCAGTGTGAGTCTGTGGGTGTGTGAGCATCGCATGGGGACCCCAGCTGGATAAATGACATTCATGTGTGTTTACATGCACGCGTTTGGGTGTGTGAAATGCCAGTGAGCATATAGGCGCTGCTTCACTGAGCGCGGCTGGCTACAGGAGCACAATTGGGGGTCTCTCTGTGTGAAAGAGGTCAGAACACACACACACACACTCATATATACACGCTCATATACACACAGATACAGAAGCACAAACACAAAAAAGGAAGTTTGGTTGAATACTCAGGACTTGGATGATCAAACAGTATGCAAATCTGAACGAATTTGCCTCTTTCTGTCGGTAATCCAACCCTATAGGATTGTCTGAGTTAGAATGAGTCACACTTACAATGCTGTTAAGCTCCATGCTCCATACATATATCACAATATTGTTGCATTATTTTGTATATTTCCTGACATTTCAATCCGCCCTGAGGTCTCCAGTTTTAAAATCATGTGAGTCAAGGTGCAACATGTTCCCTGTCTCCCCTGCTGGTCTTAATTACAGCGGGTCTGATCTCAGGTCAGCGGGGATTTACTTGAGTTTTTAAAGTAGCTCTGAGAGAAAACAACTTTATTTATAGAGCAAGAATTGTGCCAAATGTAAGAGAAAGATAGAAAACCACAAATGAAGGAAAAATAAAAGTGATGCAAATGTACAATTCTTAAAACTATATTTTATAAGAGGTAAAAAAGCTATTCTTTTTGTCTGAGACAGTGATTTGGTGTAGCTCAAAAAAGTGTTTCATTGTTTGTTTGTTTGTTTGTTTTATGTGATTTTGGGATTGTAAGCAGGCCTTGATCTGGATGGTATTGCTGTACTCTACCAACACATTTTACCCCCACACTTTCATTTAATTGTAAAAGTTCATAAAACCCCCATTCAGTGTACCATAAGAGATTTTTCTTTCTATGATTTTCAAAGAAAAAACATATTATTGATACTTAAAACGTGCTTTAGCAAGAGTTTGGGCGCTTTTGGTAAAGTGCAACCTAAACTCAAGTATACCATAAAGAAATTAATACAGCAGCTTTATAAAAATAGTGCTGATTGGACGATATATTTGGCAAATAAAGTATGGCTGTAACAATTACAGATGATTGAAGTCAAAGTCACACACACACACACACACACACACACACACACACACACACACACACACACACACACACACACACACACACACACACACACACACGCTGTGGTACGAGCCTTAATACCCTGACCCACACACTCTGAAAGGCTCTTCACATGAATCCCAATTCTCAGTATCACTAAAGCTCACATGTACCACTGAATGAATATGCAACTATTTGTATTGAAATCTTGACTTCAGAGAAGAGGTCAGCGAGGGGTCAGGGAACCACAAAACTCAGTCATCACTATGAGCAGCTGTTCTGTGTCAGGGAATATTCTTGCATGCAGTGCACGGCACAGATGTGTGTTTGTACTGTTATTTTGACTGAAAACCAAATAAAAATGTTAGTAGTAGTAATTAGTTATTGTAGGTTAGAGCAGAATAGAAAAGTGACAAGTAAAATTGGCCCATGCAGAAAACATGAACAGATAACTTCAGGCAAGAAGCCCATGAATCCTCTTCTCAGTTACTTAGACCTTCAAGTGTGGACCCTAAGGGATGGATTCAAGACATTCACATGCATGTTGTTCAATATGTGCTTTATTACATGCTCTATACTGCCTCCAGGAAATAAGAGACCCTGTGCTAGGATTGTCAGAGTCAAAGTCAGAAAGCATCAGCAAAGACCTGGTAAACTTCTCTTTCTGTGAATATGGCTCCACCTCTCCTGCTCTGTGAATGTGTCTGTGTGCCTGTTTGCCTAGTGTGTAAACAAATGTTTTGTCCCAGTTAACTAGGTCCCAGTCGGACCAAACCTATTTGGCAATGGTCCACTGATGCTGGTGTGTGCATGCGTTAGGTTACAACAATATATACACGGGGCATATGTGTGTGTTGTGGATGTGGCAGCCGGGGGATAGCATGCTGCTGCTGCTGCTGCTGACACTGGGCCTGTCTGCCTGGTGTGCCCCTTTCTGCACCAGTAGAGCTGGCACTGCCTCCTGCCTCTGCCCAGCCGAGTCACAGTGCGCCAGCTGGGCGCTACCAGGAGAGGCCCTGCAGAGAGAGGACGCAGGTCAGCCGTGACAGAGGGATACATACAGAGAGAGAGTAGGGATACAACCAGACTGGGAGAGGAAAGTAGCAGAGGAACTGAAATCAAAGGATGGAAAAGACAGTGTGAAATCAAGAATTCAGAGAACTCGAACAACAAAATACAACCCCAGAAAATAAGTTAGTTTATACCTGAGCTCTTTAATTTTTGTTGGTTATGTTTCCTCTTTGCCCTGAAGTGTTATTTCTAAAACTAATACTAAGTTCAGTCATTTCTAAACAAACACTGCACTGAACATGTAAAAAAGAAAGGGGTTATGACAGGACAGCAATAAGAAGGTAATTTATGCTACAAAGAGGCTAAAATTTTCAACTGAGTATTTTTAGGTTACAAATCTTTGGTTGAGAACATCATGTGCTACAGTATTAGCTACAGAAACACTGCACACATCAACCATTTTTAGCATGGATCTCATTCATTTGCTGACTTTCTCAGAATTTAAAAAAACAAACAAACAAAAAAAACCTCTCTTGGATGAGACACCTCCTAACCTCCCATCACTGTCAGAGTCCCCAACTGTCAAACAATAAATGGAAAAACATCATCAAAACATTTCACATGTGGTGAAGTATTCTTTTAAAAATCTTTTTTTTCTGAAACCAAACAAAGATTTTTAAACACAGATTTCTTGTACTTGTAATAATTTTCTGTCCTTGGTAATTTTTCTTAAATTCAGTTCATTTAAATCAATTGTATATGCTGCCTCCTTGCAGCCTGCTGCTGGCTGGGGTCATCTGAGGGGTCATCTCAGTAACAGCTAATGTAGACTGGTATCTTAAAACTACTCAAACAGGTCTAAATATATCAGGAACAAACTGTGCATCCTATAAACCATTTTAGCATTTCCATGTCGCAGACACTGTAGCTTCAGGAGTGCAAAAAAAGGCTGAAACTCCAGGCCTACTTGGAAAATGTCAAACAACGAGCCCTTTCCTTTAAGTACAAGTGTGTGTGAGTGTGTGTGGAAGGACTAATACCTTATCTAGCATCCTCTGCTCTCAGTGTGTTTGTGTGTGAGTGGGTGAATGGGACATGTAGTGTGGGAGAATTTTGAGTGGTCTAAAAGGAGACTTAAAAGGTCCTTTACAAGTACAATCCATGTACTTGACACAATTAGCAGTCAGTAAAATTAATTACAATATTTGTATTTCTCCCAAGAGCTGGTTCTGCTGGTTGGAAATGGCTTCTGACATAATTTAGTAATGCTCTACTACTACTACTAAGCAAGCACAGATAACAGCTGGTATTCAGTAATGCTGTGTTGTACTTTGATCTAGAAAATATAGTCTCAGTGAAGAGTGTGTACTGTTAAGGGATGTATACACACAGTTACATAGTAAAGGTGAGATATGGTTATAGCCCCATTAGGTGATTTTATCATTCAGTGTTCACATCCTTAAAATCAATAATATCTGTTATTATTGGGACGGACTAAGATGAAATACTTGATCTGTAAAATAATCAAATTACAAAAAAAAATCTGAGCAGAACATTAGTGTTGACCAAGAGCACAAATGACATATCTCCCACAGTTTTGAGGGACAAATAAGGTAACAAGAAAAAAAAAAGTCCTCCTGAAATCTGTCTGACCTTATCTGCCAGCTTTGGGGTGATATAATAGTGTAAAAGATCAAAGACTGTTACATTGCCCATTGTGTAACACCCTTTAAATGAATCTCAGAAATTCGATATTCCTAAAACCTCTCCAGGAATAGAACCAAAATGAGTGGGGTGTTTGATGGATGGAGAAAGTTCTAGGTCGGACGGGAAACAGAGAAAGTTAGAAAGTTATTTTTGGCTCATCATATAGATGCCATATACAGCACATGTACAGTATGTCACCCTTATGGCTTTAAGGATAACAGCTGGCTGTGCACACCTCTGCAGTCATCCCTTTGATGTCCTGTATCTCAGAGCCAAGCCGGGCTGACTTTGACATTGTGGAGCTGCAGGCTCATCCTTAAAGCAGTATCAATGGTGCAGCCTTTACACCAGTACAAGCAAAGACCCCCAACACCCTCAGCTCCTTTCTCCTTCTACTCTTCCCCTCCCTCTCCACCACTATAGACACCCCACTCTGAAGCCTGCACCCTCTCCACAGCAGCCCCTCTCCTCCCCTTCCTCCCCCACCCTTCCTCCACAGGCCCTGGATCTCTGGCTGGGGCAGGCTGGCACAGCTGTGCCGGGAGCCGTGCTGTCACAAGCGGTTAGGGTGACAGCCACTCACACTTCATAATGTCCCTCTCACAGGTCACCGAGCGACAAGCTGGGTCACCTCGCTCCAGCAGGCAGCCCCAGGGGAAGCAGAGTGCCCCCACCGCCACCTCTCCACCCCAAACCCTCCACCCTCCTATCGCCAAGGAAAATATAGAGACAGGAGGGGGCAGGTGGAGGGAAGAGGTGCTCCATTGTGTCGGGCTGGGCTACAAGAAGCTCTCCATGCTGGAGACCACTGCAGGGTCATGATCAGGGTGGGCATGCCACTGCTAGTTCCTCTGATACAGATGATGCTGGCAGTCAGTGTGGGTTTGGATCTGAATGAGACACTCTGATTGTGGACTTCAGAAGAAATATGATGAAGCACTGCCACACCTTAAACCTAAAGTTTCATGGTAATCTCTTTTCACCAACATCTGCAAATACAGAATGAGGAAGGAGATTGGTGGTGTCAAAATGCTCTGGTTTCTTTTAAGTTCATGAGCATTTCAGTGGGCTTTGGTCTAAGAAGGCTGAACAGACTGCACAAAATGTAAGAAGTAACAGATTTCAAACATAAAGACAGATTCATCAGCTCATATTCAACTTAAAGCTCTTTGTTAAATACACTTATAATGCATGGTGATGCCTTTATATGATATCCAAAAGCAAACAAGATCATCTGTAACAAGAAAAACAATTTATATAGAGTAACTCTAATGCTTCAAACTAGTGTAAGGAGGTAAATGTCTTCAACAGCTACAGAAATAGTCCTGTTATTACATCTTGTTCACAAGAAATGAAACATTTGGCTGTCAAAAGATGCTTGTTATGCATGTGTAGAGCAAGATTAGCAAAGACTGCTTTGTCCACAGGGGAGGACCACAATTATCACAGACTGAAAAGTTCCGTCAAGGAGCTTGAAGTCGTTATATTTAAAGCGAGCCTTTTTTGTTATTGTTTGTTGCCCAACTGAACAGTAACATTTCAGCAGGCTTTGAGTTTTCATATATTTTAAGTTTAGGACATAATCTGAAGACAAACTGGCTCTGGTAATCTGTAAACAGATTTCTACATAGAAGTGCAGCAAACAGGCTGCTTTTAGATTTTAGATCTTTCAACACATTGTAAAAGAAGTCTTAGCTGGTTGTCTAGTATCTCTTGCTAAGGGATGGACTGACAGCCTCAGAAAGATGACCATTTTCTCTAGAGACGATATATCTCTGTCCCCAAATAGATGGGTTAAGTTATACAATCCAGAAACCCATCATCAGTTGTCATCGGATGACCATTTAGCCCGTCCAAGTTTCCTTTAACAATAAGTGAAGTTTGATTGTTTGAACACTCTTTAGAAAAGACCATCCACAACAACTTTGTGGAAACCATATTAAAGAAGATGCCATTGTATCTTTTGGCTTTGATATGTATTATTTTATCAACCCAAGGACACAGCAGCCTATGTGATGGATAAAAATGTAAAAGAAAAAAAAAATCACGTGACAAAACTGTCACTCTGAAGCATTCAGTCAGGTTGTGAGCCTCAGTTACAAAAAATTACCATAGACGTCATGATAACCACTGCATTGTGGCCTGTAATAGTGTTTAATATTGGAGGCTGCTTGTGCTGCTACTTGCCAATGCTAACACTCCCTGATCAGTGATGTAAGATAGGGTTACTCGTTTTAAAGTTACAACGTCAATGTCTAGGTCTCACAAGATTGAAGACACTGAAATAACTCAGCAAACATCAGTCAACTGGATCATAACTTTCAAACATTGACCATTTTCTCAGTCCAGTTCAGTTCAGATTATTGAGGGATCCAAAAGACTAATTGGTAAATCGAGAACAGACTATGTTTCTATATCTATTTCTCTGGTCTTCTTGTCCACTCAAAGCACTTTTCATTCCATGTCACATTCACCCGTTTACACACTAATGGTAGAGGCTGCTGTGGAAAGCACCATCAATTTTGAATAATCCCACTTTTAAATAATCCCATTTACACATTACTGAAACCACCACGAGGTGCAAATTGGGGTCAAGCATCTTGCCCTAGGGAAGACAACAGGATCTGGGATTGAAAAACAATGTCAACTGACCCCCGGTTTTTACCTCTAATTTTCAACCAACGGAAAATATGTTTAAGCATTATGTTAACCTATGGTGCAACACCTTCCTCATTTATATGCGATCACTTGCAATCAGACCTAAAGCCTGTAGTTAATTATATTGATATTTTTAACTGTATGACAGCACTACTCGCTCTACATCTACAATTAAGGGACATCAGATAAAGAAAGCAGTATCATCGATACATGTTTATCATGAATGTGATTTTCTTCTTATCCCTCGTTTGTGCTAAAGGATGGTATGGGCTTGTAAATGAACATAGAAGAGCACCATATGTCCCTGACATCTGCCATTTAACTGTCATTAAAGTGCATTACCTCTGCTCTCAGCCACATTGTGAAGGCTCCTCTGATAGCACCACAAGACTAAAGGGAACACATTAAGATTCACATTAATGGGATCAAAGTGACGCTCTCTCTAATTAGTTTGCCATTTGCACCTAATGCATAGCTTTCAGGTCATCACCATTTTAACTGTCCATCTCAATATGTCACTGGAATTAGATGGATGGTCCTCTATTGTCCTAAAAATAACTGAATGATCTTAGGATATATATATTTTTTTGCCTTATAAGAGCAGCAAAAAAGGAATTTGGATGCTTTGTTTGTTGGCGTGAGAACTTTAAAAAACAGAAAGAAAAACAACAGAATGCAGTGAGTTGTTAGGTAAAGTGTTTTCCTTCTTTCTACGCTGGCAAACAACAAGTTAAGCATGTGAATTCAGGGCCAGATAAGCTAATTGGCTCCAATGCCTGCAGTTGGCTTCAGCTGTGAGTGAGAGGCCTCATACCTAATTCCTGTTATTCAAACAGTCACACCCTGAGAGCGCTTAATTCACTAAAGGTGCACACACACCCACTGAACATTGTGTAGCAATTAATTTCGCTCTCCCTCCCACATCTGGCGCTTCGGTGTGACCCTGCCTCCGCTGCACCGTGTCGCTCAGGCAAGGCAGGCCTTTGCAATTTCACACGTAGAGGACCCCAATGAAACGTGAAAAGAATATGTGGCATTGTTAAATTGCATTAAAGAGTTTAAAACAGTAGATATGGGGCCCCTCCCCTCCCCCTGCTCCCAAGAAAACAAAGCAGTAAATGTGCTCGAATGCTCAGTGACGAGGCGTGTCACAATGTAATATGCACCAGGGACACATTTTCACAGAGGGGAAAATTTCATAATGAGGCCTCACTCTTCTGACAACACGTCAGGAGAGAGAGGTGAAGTGATGCCACAACAAGAGTCACGCTAGAAAGACCTTAAGGCCTTTCTGGGTCCAGCTACGACATGCCCCCATTTATTCTGAACCTCCTTTTGAAATAATCTCCTCTGAGCTATGAGCACATTGAATCTAAAGGAAACTAGCAGAAGTTAAACAAAGGCCATACTCCCAATCACTGCAAAAATGCTGCATTTTAAAGCTAAGGCCTATCAAGCAATACCAAAATGGATTGTTACACTCTTGGCACACCACTGTGCCCATCAATGTCACTTCTAGACCAACAACCAATCAGGATCAAAAAGTGGCGGGACTTCTGGTAAGGTCTTTGTCAACAAAAATGATAGGGAGACACTGCCCATACTCATTTTATCCAGGTACAATTTCCAGCTCTACTAATGCTTTGACACAATTTTCATCAACTGTCTTATTCATTTATTTATTTATTTATTTTGGTAAAATGACATTTAATCAACGCAAATGTGAAGCTCATAAACTATTGTAATGCAGACTTAAAAGTCACCACTATGGAAAGAAGACATGCTGTGTGGGACAACTCTCATTACTTAGCAACAGTGAATGCCATTGAGAAGCACTTTGAAATTGAGGCAGTGAGCTTGAAATACTCAAGTGCAAGTTTGGGATCAGAGTTTAGTAACTGGACTGAGACCTAGACTTACACAGCATTGTCCACATCAAGACTCAGTAGATGAGGAAAAAAAAGGTTCTGTTTGATGATTTGGCTTAGTTTGTTTCTCTTCCAGAAGAGGTTGGCGTGTGTCTTCAGCTGCATGCACATTTTTGTATGAACTTCTTTAGGAACAGGTACCATGTAGATGCCTACAGCTGCACCACCAATCACGAGTATTGCTCTCAGAGATTTTACAAATACGAGCGAAAACAGTGCAACATGTGATCAGAATGATTAAAATATTTGAGAAGAAGGTGAAGAGACCTAGTTTACTCATCATTATCGTTCACCGTGTCAGTCTGGGACACCCAAAGGGTAGCCCTGCATCATTTCCAGCTCAAAAAAACCCTCATTTCCGCACTTTCCAGCCTCTGCCTGAAACATGTCATTCCTTTACTGCTGATATGAAGTAAAACAGCAAATGGGTGTTTCTTTTTGCACAGTTTCGGAGTCAGTTCTGGGCCCTTTTGTGGCCCATGGGATTTTTTTTTTTTTAACATCAAACATCTCAGGTTAAGTGGAAGTGTCCATGCTGTCTCCTCTGTTGTAAATGAGTTCTTGTTTTATTATCTGCTGTTTTAATGTTTCTGCCAGATTGTGACTCTGAGCCTTCATGAAGGTCCTTCTAGATGAACAGATTTTAGCAACAGCTTACTTAAATCCAGCTCACACTGAATTTCCCATTATTTTCTGGAGGCTTTGACTTTGAGGTGGGAAAAGTAGCTGTGATTTTTCTTCACAACAAACACTAAAATGTGAATTTCCCTTCAGGGATCAGTAAAGTTCTTCTGCTTAAAAAACAAAAGTCTGACATCAGGTTCAGGACAAGTCTCACTAACTTATTGAAACAAGCCATTCAGAGAAGCTGGGAAACAGGTCAATAGAGGGGCAATCATCTGTGTATCTCATGTTTCTTAACCTTGCTGAGGTTAAATGGGCATCGAGCATTTTACCAAACAAATGTGAATGGGTATATAATTTCTGTTTCCTTAAAAGATAAGTGTAATTACCATGATCATTTTTGTTTTCTGACATTTTGAAGTAATTACATGATTCATTAAGTAGAAACTCTGAGAGCAATATGACTGTGGCAGTACAAACAGTGTTCCTCAGGTGAAACATGGTACATCAGTGATTTTTCATAGTGTATTTGATCATCATTTTGTTTTTCTTTGCTCTGTGCACACCATCTCCTCCCCTGCACCCCCCTCTCTCTCTTCCTCTCCCCTTTCTCTCTCTCTTTCTGTCGGTGCCACTGTGCCACTCACCCCGCTCTAGGGCTCTGGAGATATTTCAAACATATCTGGGAAATCAATCTTACAGCAAACTGAAGGAAAACATCGAATGTCATTGAGCAATAAGTATGAAGCCTGTCAGAGGTAGAGCTGAGAGCTCGGCCTGCGGCGGGTTAGGCCTGCCAGTGTCCCAGTGAGAGGCCTCGTCAGCTGGGCCCCCTGCCTCTGTGCGTACACACACACACAAACAGAAAAAATACACACACATGCCCGTCTGACTGAGGGAATTAGAATGTAGTTTATACTGTTATGGTATATGGGTTCACATAATTTAATGCACGTCTGTTGAGTCTCTGTGGGATCTATCTCTGTGTCAGTCACACAGATTGTGTTTTGATCATTGACTGTATATAAAACTGACAACATCATTTCATGTCCACCCATTGTGAAACTAAAACCCTGCCTTTGTGGGCAACAACATCCAGGCAGGTGAAACTAAGACATGCACAGTAGCACTCTGGCCGGTATCCGTGCAGGACTGCAGTAAAACATCAGTGATCCCTCAGGTAGCTCAACAGCAGTTGTTGTTTTATCAGCCACCCAGTAGATTAAAGTCTCATACACATTATCGGCCAAATTCTATTTCTTTCTGAAAACTTATCTCTCTGAATGAAAGCTGTAATGAAGTGCTTGTAATACATAAAGTTTGATTGTGGTCATTTAAATTTTGAAAATCATTAAAAATCTTTCGATCACCGTGTGCAGCGGAGTTTCACAGCTCAAGGAAGAACATTTGTGATTAATACTTTGTGGAAATGCAATCAGACCAAGACACTACGGTAGAAAAACTATCGCGCCTGCAGTGCAAAATGATTATTATGATGATTATTACTTCATGGAAATGATCCACTGCACTCAGTGATCAGCGATCATCAGGGCTCACCCACAAACGAGCGTCTGCCGGAAGAGAGTGGGTGGGTTGTGTTTAGTCTCTTTGCTAAAGAAATTAGGCAAAGTTAAAAAGATGTTTGGTGGCTAGTGCTATGGCCGGGACCAATATGTCCTGTTGATGAAGTTAGGTGCTGTTCTGAGCATTATTTGTAGCTATAGAGTGACTTTTTGGTTGAGGCTTGTGCGTGGAGACATAGACTGCTGTGTATTGCTATCATGTGGTCGTTGCTGAAGTTGGTATAACTAGAGAAGCAAGCAGTCGGCAACATTCATTTCTCTCTCGGGGGTGTCTAACTCGGTGTTATGGTGTGTTTGACCATAACTTAAATATACACCGGAATATCCCTTTAAGGACACATTTGATATGATGTCTTTCCACACACGCAGTTCTTGTCATCGATCTGTGGTATAGTTTCAACTGTAAAGGCCAGACTGAACACACGCACACAAACACGCGCACCTTGAACCTTAGCATCCTTGTGAACATGGTTCAGGGTTTTTTCTCTGTGATGTATCTGAGGTTCACAGACAGACAGACAGCTACACTGACATGAGAAAACATGAGAAAGGAAGATGGATTTCAGGAGGCAGGAGGGGAGAGGAGCAGGGGAAAGAGAGAGAGAGTCGGCTTAGACAGACAGACAAGTGAAGGGAAGCAGAAGTTGATGAAACAAGATGTCACCATTGATGGGTCATTACACCCAAGTAAGCATGGGACACTAGCTGGGCCCGTGCTGACCCCCTCTCTTTTTGTATCCCTCTCTGACAACACACTACAAAACATGCTATTACCTCAGGTTCTCACTGTTACCTTTAAGGCTTTGTGGCCATTTTCCTCCCAGGACAACAAATCAGAGCAGCTCAGTGTTGTAGCCCTCCTAATTGGCCTCCTTATATCCACTCCCCCCACACACACATGTGTTTACATCTCCAGGTCAATTGAATTAGGTCTTATAATAAGCCTGGGTGCTGCATCTGTAACCCTGCTCAGCACATTGAGGCATAAACCGGCACAAATCAGGTGAATCCAGTTAAGAGTGTTTACACTTTACAGCACATGCACGCAGGATTTGTCTCACAGTTCCTTGTTGCACTCATCCTGTTGCTCATTATTATGACTCCAAGCTGCATAGAGATCAGGGCAATGGCGTCTGCAATGTCACATCAGCGGGTCGAGGGTATGAGATGGAAACAGCGACACTAATCTACAAATCCCCTGTGTGAGAGTTTAATAGTAAAGCTCAGCCATTATTTGTTTTAAAGCTTACTCATTATTCAGCAACAATGTTCAGATCACGTAGCCACTGACCATGTCTTCAAACTCAGCCAATTAGGGCCTGAAGATGCAGGAAGTGAGATGTTAACATAAGAGAGGACTTAAGATGAATTATTTTAAAAAGTGTCTAGATTTGATGGATTGTGTTAGTGATTTTGCAGGGACTTTGAATGATAATGAAATGTTTGTTTCCTTTGATGGAGTATGGAGCTGGGATGAGCCCAGTGATGTGAATATGACAGTGGATTTAGGATTAGATAGTCCTTAGGCTGTTCACTGGCAGGGAACAGAGAGGTCATCGTTTAAGTAACAGGACTGGAACAGATAAAAGCATTCATGGATAAAATGTTCTTATGTGTGTTTACAGTCCTGAATCAGCTACTTATACAGTATTGTTATTGTACTTTGCTGATTTTTAATCAAAATAACCACAGTAAAAGCTCACTTATAAGCTTTGTTTCCAAATGCAGTGTGTGTAAATTTTAAAAATATGGTAATTGTGGTAAACGTATGCATTATTCATTGTGTTTGTTGTTTTGACCCACAAAGTAAAATCATATGCAGGCAATGTGCAAACAATCCAAGCCAAAAATTCCTCACCCCGGCCGTTACATCTCCATCATCGGGATGAAAAATACAGAACTGAGCCGTCAGTATGGGCTAAAAGTTTCAGGTTTCCACACATAAAGAGGGGGGCGGCCCAGAGGGACCTCACATCAGCCTCCATGTGTGTGTTTAGACCAGTGAGTGGAACTAAAACCTGGCCCCTGAACCAACGCGCTGTGGCTCCATTGGGAGACATAACTGACAATAACAACCAAATTAAGCGTGCACATGCAGGCGACCGCGTGTTGCGCTGATATTGGTGAGCTGAAGCTCAGTCACTGGCCAGTTTGGTCCACTGATTTTTTTTTTTTTTCGAGGGACGACAACGAGCTGAGGTGCAGCCAGGACTTTGTACTGTGAAATTAGAGCAGGGTGTGAAAGTGGAAAAACCATATAAGCATGAGGTTGAAACACGGTATCACGCTCTCTCGCCTGTCTCATTCCCACGCCTCCACACTGTCAAACCCGATAAAGAACAAAATTGTCCATGATTGGAAGTTATCTTGGTTTCTCTTTTGTGACTAATCTTCCCATCTTTGCCTAAAGCTTGGCGAAATGGTGTCTCTTTGATCCCAACTTGAATTATTTAGCCACTCATACATCTCTCACCCAACATGCAAGCTAATAAAAAAGTCTGAAAAACAAAGTGAAACTCTAAAATCGCTTCTTTTAAAGTACTTAAGGCGAACAGAGGTCAAGAAAGTTAAACAACAAATGAAAAAAACGGATGAGGTCCTGCAGTGGAGATAGAGGATGTAACTTTCAACTCAATTATGGGTGTATTTCCTGAAACTTTACCTCAATTTTGCATCTAATGATTGAGACTCGTCTAAATCTGTCCATCCTGCTGTGACACTGCCACTTTCATCAGCGGGAGCTTTTAAGCTTTCTTACAATAAAAACATGAGATTCATCTATGTGTTTGAGTTCAAACACATAAGCTTGTTTTTCATTGGTACTGCAGTAATTTTGTATAATACCAGATGACAATATTTAGGTGTACCTCTCTGCTAAAAGAGAGCTTGGCAAAGTGGTACCATTTGCAAGTTTAGTGATATATCAGTATATAACTAGGGTCAAGACAGGGCATTTATTTAATCCACATTCAATCAATTACTAAGTTTAGGCAAAGACAATCTGTTGTTCTACAATCCAGCATGTATAGCTGCAAGTCAAAATGCATTTTTACTCTTTTTCAATGACAGATTAACACATACTTCAAGAAACTGCCATGATCATCCTTTTTTTTTAAATTGTATTCTCTCATTTTTGTCTCAGCCTGTCTCAAGCCCACCTCTGACTCCCTGACATGCTGCTCCTGCCGTCATGCTGACAACACTGATAGCATCCCATCCACAGAGACCTGAACAGCACAGCTCGGTCCACACCCACACATGAAGGCACAGAGTGAGCTCTAAAAACACACACAAAGAGGTCAAAGGTGTATAAAAGAACAAACTGCACCTGAACAATCACACTGTACCCCACCAGAGGAAATTCTCGCTGCTGTGAAAAAGTACAACAACCTGTGAGGGACAAACATCACACTCACACTGACACCTCTTCCTGTTACCTTAACCTTTTGGGCCTCCGCTGTCTTGGTGCTATCCAAAGGTGGAGTCTCCAGCTTGAGTAACCACGTACAAACATAAACATACACAGAGCGACAGAAACTGTGAATGCAGGCCGGCAGCCAAGAGCTGGTCTACAGCTCTCACCACACCAGGCCTAGTTATACTCTGTCTGTTTGAGGTACACTGATTACTGCTATTACATACACACACACAAACACACACACACATACACATACACACTACCTTCACTGCAGGGTATGTGTAAACTCACCATGCAGAAGCAGGTCGCTGCATTAAACACAAGCATATGCTAGCAAGGAGTCTTACTATGATCTTGCACAGTGTACTCCACTAGACTGGGCTTCAACACGCTACACTAGTCTGTATTCCACTGCATTACATTGGGCAGGGGCAAGCTAACGCTAGCTGATTCACTGCCACTGTGTAACAAGTGCAAGGCCTTGCTAGCAGGATGCTAGGCTAGGCTAAAGCAAATCAAGGCCTCCTGCAGTCATTGGTGTGAGAGCCCATTTTCACAGTTCACACCCGACCTGCTAATGGCTGATCATTCATTCACGCTCTCTGTTGATTGTGCAGGCAGGGGGTTGGCCAATCGTACAGTTTGCTAATGTAGCGTACATAGTGAGGATAATCGGCAGGAGCAATAAGCATGCTAATGTTCTGTTGGCCATGAAAACCGAGGTCTGGTTTATGTTAGAGCAGGATCATCACTAAGTTCTGCTTTAAATGAAAGCTGCAGGTTGGAACAAGCTGTGGACATGAAGACTTGATCTAAGGAAACTTTTAAACATTCAATCAGCGAAATCAAAAGTTGTCTTAAAATTTCCATGATATCATTATATTGATGGTGTTTATAGACCCTCGACCATATACTTCCCACATCTGATGCTATTTATTTCCAGGTAGGCTATGGAGCTAGTGCAGAAGAAATTAAATAAGAAGCTGCACTGGTAGAGCCTGTCCTCTTTAATCATATTTATAAGCTTTAATGTTTGAAATCACAAATAAGAGGAACTACTGAAACATGGGGTTAAAATATAGGAACTTGGCTATTTTTTTCTTTTCTTTTTTATTTCTCCTAATTTCTGTCCTTGAACAGACTGACACTTGACTTTAAAATGACCCTTACACTTTTTTACGTCATAGCCTTTGGCACATACATGTTACATTCAATGTACTTTTTGTATCAACATCCTTCATTAGTTTTACCAAGAATGTTTTTTCAGAAACAGTTTCAGGAGTAAATCATTCTGTTAATTTATTCATTTAGACATAAGAAATAGTCTATTATTGAAAGTGTAACTGTATCATTTGATTATGTTCACTGTTCCACATAATCAGCTTTCTCATTTTAATCATATTTATGTTTGTTAATGTACACCACCCCTTTGAAATCAAAACAACAAGTCAGTAAGTAAGTAAGGAAATGAATAGATATGTAGATAAATGACTAATCTCACCCTTGGGAACAGCTTTTGAGCACAAACAACTATGTGGCTGTTTGAGCCTTGTTTGCCTCAAGGTCATATGAGGAGTTTTTTGACATTTGTGTTATAGACCCAAATTGTAATGGGTGCTTTTTCGTAACAACCAAAAGCAAACACAACCATCAGCAACAAGACCAGCGACTTTTAAACAGTCCTGTTTTAAAATGTTTTTAAAATATTTGACTTTTACTTGGCTGTAGATATTTAAGATATTTTTTGTCAAAAATGCTTGTGTAAATCATCACTCAAGCATGTACCTAACATGCTCAGCAAAGACTTTTTTGTCCACAGGGGGCACCAAAATTATCATAAAACAAAAGTTCAGTTTATGAACATCATTTTCCAACTGTCAGCCTTTTTTTCTTTTTTTTTTTTTTTTTTTTTTTTTGGCTCTCCGGAGGTGTTTTTTTTTTTTTTAGATAAAAAGTCAGGTTTCACATCTTTCATAACTGAGAATCTGGCCCCTGGTTTGCTTTGTTTCGGTAACCTGGTGTGGTGTGGTGTGGTATGGTGTGGTGTGGAGAAGGTGTAAGTAACAGAAATGAACTAAACCACTTTCATGTATTTGGTTAGAAGGGTTAGATTCATTATTTTTTATGTGATAGTTCAGTTAATTTCAGTTTGTTACAGACTCTAAAGTGTCAAAAGTGCTTTCTTCTGTCTCAGAGATGCACTAACCAAGACAGCAAAGTCATCATCAGTTTAACCACTTTCACTATCACACCAGCTGATGTGCTAATTATTACTTAAATTAGACAGATATATTCAGGAGTGAAATCAGAGTAACAAAAACTAACAGTCTTTGTAAAATGTCTCTTAAACTTCTTTAACACTGATTTACCAATATTAAAAAGGAGAAAAAAATGAGTGAATGTCAAAGAGGCTGGGCCGTTTTTTTGCAGCTTTTATTCAAAATCTGTTCTTATCAATGTACTATTTTTAAATCATAAATTAAGCCTGGGTTTAGACATTAGGCTAAATTGAAATGTCATTGACTTGTCTTCTGAATTTCTGAGCTGTTTGCATTGATGGAGGAACGACGCCTCTGCTAATGAGACAGACAAACTTATCTGAGTCGTGTACATCTAATTCTGTTACTAATCAGTGTAAAGAGAAGTAAGAGGAGCGAGTCAAGAGAAAGAAGAAACTTCACAATTAAAAGTCTTTATTTAATAAGGCAGCTCGCCTCAGGCTGTTAATTGTAAAGGAACATTTCACCCTGTAATTAACATCAGTGTATACCATTTAGCACTGCACACATCTTGCACGGTTTCCTCACTTTCACTGTACTAAGACATCCTAATTGACATGAAGCCTGTATCAGTTTGGCCTCCTCTGCGTCAGTGGCGAGCTGTGAGGCGTGCTGATGTGAAACATGTTGCATCTGCCTCGCTCACAGGTTTTTCACAGCGCATTAGGAGAACCTTGTAGAATCAGTCTTTGGGATCACACTGCATTTTCTGTGCGACTTCACATCCTTCCCCTGTGGACGAGCTCCACTCTGCTCCCCTGTCCATCTGGATATCCCAGCTCACCCCACAGAGTCCACTTCTGCCAAACATGACAAACTTCCTCAACTAGATTGGATTAGAGCAGAAGAGGGAGCGTGCAGTGTGCAGGCCTCAGACTTAAATAGTCTGCAGGCGAAAAAGAGAGTGATAGAGTTAGTGCCAAGGAAGCATAATTAATGCTCTTAATTGGGCCTTTCCTTACAGTGGAGACTGATAGTCCACTCATACTCCGCTGTGGCTCCAGGGCCAATGCCATGCGCTGTTCATGACGTCTGTCCTGTGCTTGTCTGATCTCATACAGTTGCTGGCCTTTTCTTAGCAAAGATTTGTCTCTGACAACTCTCAGCTGTGGTCAGAGGGAGATGAAGAGACTCCTCGCTTTGTTTTTCATACTTTATCATGTTTAGAAGTGATCGTCTCCAGCGGTTCTTGATTAATTCAGTCCCAAAAAGTCCCCTTTGTGTCCCCTCTGATTGAGCTTTTGTCCACAACAAGATGGATTTAACCTCTTGAAACCTGTTCCTCTCTAGAGGTCTCACTTACAAGCCCTCTCCTCCTCCCTGTGACCCCAGGCTTAGTGACATCAGATGGGCAGCGAGGTGTAAATCCGCTGCTCCCACAGACCCCCGCCTAAGTTAAGTCAGGTGTGACACACACTCCTTCCTGGTGGGGAAATGTGGTCTGTCCACTCGGACCGAGAAAATAAAGGTAGAAAGGTTTGTTTTTTTATGCTGGACAGAAAACAAGAACATATCTTGGGCTCCGGTCATCCTGGTTTTAATACAGATATGGGACATACACTGGTCAGATCTTTTTGTTGAACCTCTTACTTGAGCCGAATATGTAAACATGACTTTCAAATACATTGAATATTTTTTATATCTAGACTGGTGTGTGGTCTAGATTTCAAAAATATGCAACGTATAGCATGATCAGACTTAATGGACCTTTTTTGGACTATGACATTAAAATGTTCAACAATCAAATTATTTAAAAAATAATGCAGATAAAAGTCAAAACCAATAGCAATGATGCAGCATAAAATTTGACAACAAGATTTTAACAAACCACAGGCAACATCCAAAAAACAAAAGGATCAATATTAATTAAGTGGACTTAACCTTTGAAATAATGACTCTAAAAACACTGTTACGAAGAGAGAAAGTATTTGGTCAGGCTTAAAAATCACTGAAGCACAATTCAGAACCACTGTCAGATGTGTTTACTTTTGAGTCATATTCAACCGCTGCTCTCAGATATTTAACGGTAAGTGGAAATCTCTTGAGATTTCTGTTTGTAGCATTCAACTGCAGCAAATATATAATTAATATCAAATTTGATATCATATTATATAAGTACCTCCATGTAAGATCCTGCAAAAATGTTTCGAAGCAATGAAATACAAAGGTATAAAAAATTTATAGCAAAAAAGTGCATGAAATAGTTCAGGAATGTATATCAAAAACCCTGGTATACAGAGATATGATGATATAATCCGTACAGACAAATTATTTGATTATATCCGCTGTTGGCTTACGAAAAAGGTCTTCAACTTTAAATGAAATAAAAACTTTTTGTGCATCAAAGTGAAATATATTCAAACCTATGCAGACGTATGAATTTGTGTGTGTACTGTATGTATATGTGGTATTTGTCTGTGAACTATTGCTTATGTATATAAAAATATGAAAATAGTATGTCTTATTTCATGAACATTGTTTACAAAACCATAACAATTTATTTGTATGAAGGGTTTGAAGAAAATGTTGGTGGAGAAAAAATATCTTATAGAGGAAGATTATTGTAAATTGTTTATCTCTTTGAACTCTTTTTTTCACCAGCAGGGGTCAGTAGTGCACTTCTGTCAAAGCTCTTCACCAGCTGAAAACTCTCTCTCACACAAACCAGCTGCTCTAGCTTTTAACATGAGCTGCACTGATTTTATTTCTAATATATAATATTCATTAACCACATATGTCTGTTGGCTCAATTCTGCGTTAATGCTAAGTATATACCATTTAGAGTTGGGCAAACATAAAACCATAAAAAGGAGGCCCTCTCATGAAGGTGATTATTTGAATGCTTATTAAAAAAAATGCAGATGAAGGTCAGTAACTCGTGGACCAACATGGAGTGGTTATTGGTCATTTTTAAACCATAATGAACTTTAGGAGAAGGACAGAAAGGTAGAGACAGATGATACCTTGTTATTGTCAAATCTAATCAGCATTTACAATATTCACCTCATTGAATCCAGATATCTCATGACATTCTGGCCTAAATTTCAATTCACTTTATTTCTGTGTCTAATTACACACTATTAGAAAGTTTATCTATTTTTGCTGTCTGTATGAGGGGCTGTCACTGTTGATTCTGCAGTATTTTCACTGAGAGACAATTAAAAAATTATGAGGAATAGATAAAACCGAGTAAAGGGAGGCTTATTTAAAAAGAAATAATCTAATTTTTAATTTGCTTCATCTGCACATGAGAAAGGATGCTGAAATGTTCCTTGACTCTTCGGTCAGATAGAATGGCAGCTTAGTGCCCAACACGAGGAGAGACTGACACACTTTCTCTGTGCCTCCACCCTCAGGCCTGGGCTAATTAAGAAGGGACTCTGGTTTTATTTACTGTCAGCTCCTGGCCCCTGGGTGTGTGTGTGTTTGTGTGTGTCTGTATTTGTGTGTGTGTTGAAGTGTGTGAGAGAGAGCAGGACTGATTCTCCCCTCTCTGAGACTGTTCTCAGTCACACCAGTGAAGTGAGGCCTTTACCATTTTACCCACATTCAGCCAAAGGCACAGAGATAGTGCTGATGCTGCTGACCATTAGCCATTAGCTCCAGCTTCTTTTTCTTAGAGGGATTCTCCTCAGAGATGCAGAGAGGTGCTGAGCATGGCAGCCAGCGCTGCGGGGGGAAATGTAATTACTATGGCCCCAATCTGATGAAGATATCACAGATTCATCAGAGACATGCTGTGGACATTCACTGTGAGAGAAAGAATAAAACCTGATGCAGCTCATTATATCATCTTTATCACACAATGTTTTCAAGACGATAACCCTGAAAATAATGGATCTGTTTATGCAGAACACACACAAACACTGACACACACAGTTGACCTCTTACAGTCTGCTAAATAAATTGAAATACTCAAATCTGAGTTCAGGAGTGTATTTATGTCAGATAGACATTTGTGACATCCCAAACAGATGAGCCTAAAATGAAACATACACACGTGTGATGTTAAACTGAAATAGTGGAAGGTACCAGGTTGTCAAAATTTTCAGTACCTCAATGCTTTGATACTTTTCAATACTATTTGCATAGAACAGTACAGTATTCATAGTTTGTTTGTTTTTTTCTTTTAAAAGCATGAAAAGCACTAATTATTATTATAAGAAGTGAAAAAAAAGATCTTCACCCATATTTTGAGCCAGATGTAACCACATACATGTGACAGAGTGAGCAAAGATTAAGTGTAAATTGAGTGATCCAAAAGTAAACAAATCAGCAAGAGTGAAAAATGAGAAGAAACTGTGTGATTGTTTTACACTCTAAGGAACTTATAAACACATCCACGGGTGTTGGATTTGGTTTCCTTGCAGTAGGGCCATGCACCTTCTACTCAGCTCCGCCCTCCATCATAACCACAACACTGCTGAGACACTTTATTCACATGTCAATAATCACAGATTTTGTTCATTTATGAGCACCTAGAAAAGACACCTGATGTTTCTGCAGACAGAGAGCGGAGAAGAGAGACAACAATGTCACCTGGTCCCTTTATGTCTTCTCTGGTCCCTGCCTGCAGACTGTTGATGGGACGCTGGCAGCACAGCTCAATGACTGAGAGCCTTATAGTAATGAATTTTATTAATCAGAGTATTTCATTTTTTATCACTATTACGATTTTGTCAAATGTTGACCTGTGTAGAGGGACATTTTTTTATATTTTTTTGAAAATGAAAATTAACAAGACTAACCACTCTGGATGCCTTTTTTTAGATTGTGAAAAAGTAATAATATTTTACCAATCTCTGAGAGAGTGTGAAAAAAAGTTTAACACAGGTAAGATTTTTATTGATTTATTTTTTATTTTTCAAAAGACACCCTCTATGAAAATCTTAAACAGTACTTAGGTGTATATTTTCTCTTTAATACTTCAGTGTGAGTTTGTTTGTTTTTAGACAGTCGTCATTCCAAACCGAGCAGATCCATCTAAACCTTCATATATCTACCAATAAACTTGATTATCTGAAAATTTAAACTTTCTCCCAGGTTAAAAAGGTTAGTTGTTTTTCAGATAGAGGCCTGTTTTTCCACCCTATTCTCTTTAACCTTGCACAGCCACTTCTGATGAATCCCCACAGCCTGTGTTGACTGTGGATGGTCATTTGTAGTTAGGCTGACAGTGGACATCCGCCCAACATTGGCTGATGTTGATCAAACAGAACCTGCAGTCCCCCACTGGCCCCAAGCTGATTCAAACAGTACCTCAGCAGGACGCTCTTTACAGGGTTCCTCCACAGCTCCATTTGTTGGTGACAGCGCTGCAGCAGAGGTGACACACCGCAGTGACAGGGGCAGCCCCCCCTCCTCCACCCTCTCCACCAACATCCACTCACCCAGCGGTGGTGTCCCTGTGAGCCCTGCACCTCGGCCACGTCAGTCAATAAACCGCAGGCCGCCACGCACACACACACAATGCACACAATGCACACACACACACACCACAAACAGACAACGTGGATGAAGAGAGAGAAAGAGAGGGAGTGGGAGAAAGAAGGAAGTGATGATGGATGGAGGAGAGTGTTTCAGACTCTCATTATGTGCTGTTGTGTCTGACAGCGACGGTGCTGTAGCTGTTACGGGGAGTTGATGACCCAAGTGACCCGGAAAGCGAGGCGTGGCCCACACAGCTGTGGTCACCGTGGTGATCTCACACAGTGTAATTAATGCACACAATCAGAGGTGTCTGCATGCATGTGTGTGTGTGTTCCTGCGCGGACACGCGTGCAGGGGTTTCGCCTGCTTATTACAACCAAACAGTGAGTTACAATCTGACAACAGAGAGCTCTGGGTAATTTCCCATCATGCCTCATCAGGAACAGCAGGGGGGCCAAGAGCCTCGCCACATCAGCTCACACTCGGACCTGGGTAGAAAATTACCGTCATTAAACAGCGATGTGAGAGAGAGAGAGAGAGAGAGAGAGAAAGGGGGAGCCAAAAAAGAGAGAGCAGACAATGGGATAGACTGAGGCAGGCAGAATGGAGGGATCAGATGAAAGAAAAGATGGAGCGAGGATACAGTAAATGCCAAAATCAGGATGTAGTATTGATCAGGGTGAAATGGAGTGTCTGTGGGCCTCAAAAGACAAAATCTATGAGACAATCCACTCTGACAAAACACACAGAGCAGATCTTTACCAGTTTTCTCGTCTTTTCTTCCTCTGTCCGTCTGTTTCAGGCTCTCATTAGCGGCTGGCTATGATTGTTTTGGACTGAACAGTGACTCTGTATCGATCCGGTCAGCTCTCTGAGGACTAATGTAATCAGTGCCCTCGGCCTCTGCAGGCTTAGAGGCAGGTGGAGGAGGAGGGAGAGGTGAGCAGAGGAACAAGAGCAGAGAACAACCTAAACTTAACCACTCAGGATCGGCCAAACATGGACTGTGGTTACTGTGGACTTTGTGCAAAGTAAAGGACAGAAAAACACTTATGGCTTTCTGCACCGATAAAGCAAGTTATTTGAGATAATGTAGTGGAAGCTCACTGTGCAAACGCTTCATAATGAACCACCAAAAAGAAAGCATTTATTATGTAAATTCTTTATCTAAGGGTGAAATACCTGTGAAATAGCTCGATATTTAGATTTAATCAGACCGTTTGGCTGAGTAAAACTGGCAAGATCACAGAGAGCGAATACAAAACAGCGATGGCTTCAAAATAAAATAATTATTAAGAACAAAATAACTTTTATATACTTTTCAGATTGAACACAACTGGTTTATGAATGATGATGACGCATCTTTGTGAGAAATAACTTTGGTGTCAAAGCTGTAAGGATGACGCTCATTTTAAGTTCTGTATGTTTACTGATGGCACTGTAACCTCAGTCCATCATGATTGACTTGTTGACCATATTATATTGATCTTAATCAAAGTATGATACATGCCACAAGAGATTGTTGACAAAATAATACAAGGATGAAATTGGTTCATTTAGACCAATACAATGAGACACAGTTCAGTGAGTAGTTTGTCTAAACTTTCTACCTCCTCCTATCCATCCATACATGACCTCCATCCATCTATCACTCATTCAGCTTTGAAAGCGACAATAATACTCCACCTTTTTACACAGTGTGGGTCTGCATTGTTTTAAGAAGTGCACAGCTTAGTATGTTGTGTCTTGGATCTAGAGTTTGGGTCATTTCTAGAAAATTAGGATTGTCCACCACACAGATAAGTCTGGTGATGGATGTCATGATAGCTTTTAGTCTTTGGTGAGGTTTGGCCGTATGTCAGAGGGAAGGCCTCAACAGAGACTGAGACTTTTTGGGGGGGTTGGCGGCCCTGCTGTTGCTGTAGAAATGAAGCTTAACATTCGATGCTATTGTCATGCCATCTTAATTGGTGAACCAAAAGATCACCTGTGTTACAAATGCATTTTACTTCAGCTCTGCATACTCTGTGAACAGCTACGTTTTTATCAAGGATGCCTCCTGATTTACAAAAACCAAAGATGTCCATAGTGGTGTCTTGAAACCTGATGGCTTCGTCTCTGCATGCCCAGAACATTGTAATAGTTTCCTTTAAACAATTATGAATCTATAAAATTCATGCAGAAGTGTCACAATGCAAATGCAAACCTGCAAAGTTACTTGCATCCTCAGCTTGAAAATCAATGCAAATTATGTAACATTTGTAGGATAAAGAAATATGAAGTTGTAAAAATGGAAATACTCAAGAAAAGTATAAAGTAGTGGTAGTGTTTTGGTGAAGTTACACAGAGTGAAAGCGTCTCTTGAGGAGAACAGAGGGCAGGCTCTCCTGTCTCATGTTAATCTTCCTCACAGATATTCACTCAGTCTGATGGCTAAAAGATCTGCAGCCAAGCTGTGAGCAGAATCCCTCTCTCTCTCCTGTCTCATTTCAAGTCAGCTCAATGCAAAAAAGACATGCTAATATCTGACTACAAATCAAGAGGAGATGTTATAAAAAGAGCTTTGAAGCTGTAAAATCACAGCTATTCTGAGAGAGGAGACAAGCTCTGGTTGTTCTTGGAGGGACGCGATGTTTCATGACAGTCTGTACTTCCACAGCTCCCCGGCCGTCTTGACAGCTCTACTAAGGCCCATGGCTCTTCTTAACTCCTTCTGTCTTCATGTCTTTTTCCTCAGCCCTGTGTTGAAAGTGTTTACCCTCCCATCCTCAAACATTAACTTCTGTGTCCCTGCACATATGTCTACAGAGCGCTCTCACCCACCTTGACTCCCTCTTGTTTTTCCCTCCTTTTCCTAATCCCACACCGCTCTTTCCTTCTCTCCTCGGTCTGCCTCTCTTCCTATAGCTCTTGCGCAAACAGCATCACTTGATCACTTGACTGAATGTTCACCTGGCTGCTTTGCTGGCTCGAGATGAAAGGGGGAAGGAAGAGGCAAAAAAAAAAAAAAAACAAATGAGATGGAAAATAAACAGAGAAAAGAGAAAAGGGAGAGCGAGACTGGGAGACCCAGGAGGAGAGGTGGACATATGCAGAGCAGAATGGATGTTTTGTGGAGGAGCTGCATCCCCCAACAATTCTATAACACATACTGTATCTTCACCAAAGCCACACACACACACACGCAAACACATAGGCAGGCGCACACACATTTCCCATGTAAAGGCCTACACAGATGCGCTCTGTGTTTGGAGGATGGAGTGAGAGAGAGTCTTTGCATGGATGACCCAGTTGGGCTTGTGCCAGTTCTGGAGGAGCCTGGAGCCAAAGTGTAGACCTGGAGACACACACACAAACACACACACACACAGAATCACACACTCACACAAACATACACACACACACACCATCTGGTCCCGTGCCTTTTAATAACTGAAACAAGGCACAAGATGTAGGCAGCATGGTGCATGGTTTCCCATCAGCCTGGCAGCAAGAGAGCAGTAAGTAACAATAGCAACAACCGCCGTGAGAGCAGTAAATACACCGAGCATTACAGGTGTGGATGGAGGCTCAAAGCGGAGCATGAGGCCTTTTGTATGCAGAAAATTTGTTGCAGGAGAGAGTGGATAATGCCTTTATGGGCTCCAACACACAGGGTGTTCAAAAAGACGCAGCCCGCTCTCTCTCTCCATACAGCCAGCATAAATTCTTTCCCTTCCTTTGCTCTCTCCCTCTCTTTTCTTCCTCTCGCTCTTCCTCCCCCGCTGCGTACAGGAGTCAGTCTGACTTTTGATCCTGACATCTGCGTCTTGCAGGAATGTCTGTGTGCTCTCTCTGCCCTCTGATGTAGCTCCAGGAACTAATGGAATGTGAAAGAGACAGACGGGCTTCTCGTCTGAAAAACACTGCCCTCTCCCTGCACACGTGTGTACATATGAGTGTGCATGCTCTATGCATGCATGTGAGTGTCTATGAGGACTGAGAGGGCAGCTCTTGCTCTCACACATATCCACTGCCTGCCTCCATAGCATGCAGAAAATACAATAAAATGACAAAGAGTGAGACAGGGAGAGAAAAGACAAATGATAAACGAGTCGAACACCTCTACTTCTGATTTTTACAGATTGCAATATGGAGCATGGATTTACGTCGGCTAACCTTTGAGCTGTAGTGTACGGGGTTAATCCCACCACTCTTTCACTTTCTTTCCCTCTCTCACTCTCCCTCATTCAGCGGGGAGAGTCTGAAGGTCTAAAAGGGTGTTTACAATTCACTAATCTGACTTCAAAACCAGCTTAACTCTGGGAGACATCAAAGGTGCGCGCGTGATGGCCCCACTGATCCCAGTAAGGGGGGGATGTATGATAGACTGGAAACACAGTGAGGAGGGGGGAGGGAGGTGAGAGGAAACTAGATATTTCTGAGATCTTGTGATGACTGTCTCACTTAGTCCAAAAAAAAAAAAAAAACTGCTCCAGACTTATGATAAGGCTTAAAAATGAAAAGCGCTTCATGAGGATCCTGAAAATACACACTGTCAGACTGATGGTTCTGGATCAATTACTTCAATGAAATGATCAACAGAGCCACATTTATCTAATGACAAGGCTGCTTAAGTCAGAGACACACATCTTGATATCTAGCTTTAGATGAAATGTTTGCACTCCAATTATAAATGAGCCTATCTGGCTTTACCATTATATTAAAAAGGGGCAGTTAATAGATCTGCCTCTCTTTGTCATAAACATATTCATTAAGAAGAACTGAAAGCTGCATTTTCCAACAGTGTTGCTCTATGTGGACAGGGGGACGTC